CTGCAAACACACACAGCTATACTTACAAACACACACAGCTATACCTACAAACACACACAGCTATACCTACAAACACACACACAGCTATACTTACAAACACACACACAGCTATACCTACAAACACACACACAGCTATACCTATAAACACACACACACAGCTATGCCTACAAACACACACAGCTATACCTGCAAACACACACACAGCTATACCTACAAACACACAGCCATAACTGCACACACACCCACAGCTATACCTACAAACACACACAGCTATACCTGCAAACACACACAGCTATACTTACAACCACACACACAGCTATACCTACAAACACACACACACAACTATACCTACAAACACACAGCTATACCTACAAACACACACAGCCATACCTACAAACACACACAGGTGCAGTGAGGGAAAAAAGTATTTGATCCCCTGCTGATTTTGTACGTCTGCCCACTGACAAAGAAATGATCAGTCTATAATTTTTATGGTAGGTTTATTTGAACAGTGATGGACAATAACAACAAAACAATCCAGAAAAACGCATGTCAAAAATGTTATAAATTGATTTTCATTTTAATGAGGGAAATAAGTATATGACCCCCTCTCAATTAGAAAGATTTCTGGCTCCCACACAGCTATACCTACAAACACACAGCTATACCTACAAACACAAACAGCTATACCTGCAAACACACACAGCTATACCTGCAAACACACACGCAACTATACCTACATACACACACAGCTATACCTACAAACACACAGCTATACCTGCAAACACACACAAAGCTATACCTGCAAACACACACAGCTATACCTGCAAACACACACACAGCTATACCTACAAACACACACAGCAATACTTGCAAACACACACAGCTATACCTACAAACACACACAGCTATACCTGCAAACACACACAGCTATACCTACAAACACACAGCTATACCTACAAACACACACAGCCATACCTGCACACACACACACAGCTATACCTACAAACACACACAGCTATACCTGCAAACACACACAGCTATACCTACAAACACCCACAAATACCTACAAACACACAGCTATACCTACAAACCCACACACACAACTATACCTACAAACGCACACACAACGGCGCACACAGTTGCAGCAGCTTAGTGTCTACCCGGTCGGTGCCTTCTATGGTTGTTTACGTACGCATTGTTTTGTTTTGCGTACATTTGTCGGGCGAGTAACACCTTTAGCTGGCACGATCCCCTTAAGATCGGACTGTGTTATGAACGGAGTGTTACAAGCGAGTTTCTCCGTCTTCACAAGATTCCGGTGGAGTTGGCGGAGAGCCAAGCCTCTCCGTGGATTATCATCCCGGCGGGGAGGAGGCGAAGGCGGCGTAGAGAGAGAAGGCAGAAGCGAGGCTGCAGGGCCGGTGCGCTAGCCAGGCTATGGAAGCAGCCACTCAAACCACCGCTAGCCAGCCTATTTATCACGAATGCCAGATCCCTCGCGAACAAAATGGATGAACTGAGGCTACAGACTACAGCGAACAATGTAGTGAAGGACAGCTGCATTCTGCTCTTCACAGAAACCTGGCTTCATTCATCCATCCCGGACTCTGCTATTGAGCTAGCAGGCTACGCAGCACAGTGCCATGGCATAACGGCGGACTCCGGTCAGAGCAGAGGAGGGGGGCTCTGTGTGTACATGAATAACAGCTGGTGTACTAACACAGTGACTGCGGACAGCCAATGCTCCCCAGATGTGGAGTATGTGACTGTTAAATGCAGGCCCATTTACCTCCCAATAGAGTTTACTGTGGTCATGATAACCGCTGTTTACATCCCACCAGATGCTAATGCTGACTCAACTATTGGACTTTTACATGGCAGCATTCGCATTCAGCAGAGCAAGTATCCTGACGCTGTGCAGATTATAGCAGGGGATTTCAACCATACTCTTTGGTTCTATTCGGTAAAGTCACGTAGGTAAAAAATAAAACAACAAAAATCACGACGTTTCGGCCACAATACAAGTGGCCTTCATCAGGTGAAGGGACCAGACTGTCTCGAGGACAGCGCTGGAGTGAAACACAGCCACGCTCAGACCGCGACCTTTAAGCTGTGTGCGAGGAAACAAGGTGCCTTGACAAAGGAATTAGCATAAAAATTAGCATTTGATTGGCCGACTTAGCATGATGAACGGTGTAGAGGTGGTGTACATGCGGGTGAACATGCCGGTTGGCGAGGGGGGGAGGGGAAGTTTACCATGCAGACTTAAATTCCACCAGCATGTTAAGTGTGCTACTTGGGGAACGAAGACTCTGGACATGGTCTACACCAACATCAAACTAGGCTACAGGGCTAGACCACTACCACACCTGGGCCAGTCTCACCATTTGTCCCTGCTTTTGATCCCTGCATACGCCCCCATCAAGAAAACGTCTCCTACCATCACAAAAACTGTCGCCAACTGGCCTGAGGGTGCCACCCAGCAGCTGCAGGACTGCTTTGATAGAACCAACTGGGGGGTCTTCGAACATCAGGACCTGGAGGTGTTCACAGATAGTGTATTGTGCTACATTAAAACCTACATAGACACTGTCACTGTGGACAAACGCATTCGGGTCTACTCCAACCAGAAGCCCTGGATGACCCGGGAGGTCCAGCAGCTGCTGAAGGAGAGGAACATCGCCTTCAAATCCCGAGACAAAGCTCTCTACAGCACAGCTCGAGCTAACCTGAAGAGAGGCATCCGTGAGGCCAAAGCAGACTACAGGAGGAGGATTGAGGAACGCCTGGACAGTAACGACAGCAGGCAGGTGTGGCAGGAAGTTCAGCACCTCACCAACTACAGGGCCAACCTCGGAGCTGCTGATGGTGACACCGCTCTGGCAGAGGAGTTGAACCTCTTCTTTGCCCGCTTTGAGGTGACACCACCAAGGACAGCATCACCAAACCCCACGGTCCACAGCAGCTTGAACCTCACAGTAGAGGAGCACGAGGTGAGCCGCACGCTGCGGGCAGTCAACCCGGGGAAGGCTACGGGACCTGATGGCGTCCCGGGACATGTGCTGAGGGACTGTGCTGACGAGCTGGCTGGAGTCTTCACAAAGATTTTCAACCTGTCTCTGGAACAGTCTACGGTACCACCCTGCCTAAAGTCCTCCACCATAGTCCCCCTGCCGAAAAAAAACCCATTTCCAGCCTCAACGACTATCGACCAGTAGCACTGACGCCAGTGGTGATGAAGTGCTTTGAAAAACTGGTCCGGAGTCACATCATTGCAACATTGCCCCGAAGCCCTGACCCCCACCAGTTTGCCTACAGAGCGAACCGATCCACGGAGGATGCCGTGGCCACAGCACTACATGCTGCACTGTCACACCTGGAGCAGCAGGGGAGCTATGTGCGGATGCTCTTCGTGGATTACAGTTCTGCGTTCAACACCATCCTGCCACACAAACTGGTGGTAAAACTGGGCGACCTGGGCCTTCCGCATTCCACCTGCATGTGGATACATAGCTTCCTCTCGGACCGCAGACAGAGGGTTAGAGTGGGCCGTCATACATCCACAGCCCTGAGCCTCAGTACTGGCTCCCCCCAGGGCTGTGTACTGAGCCCCCTGCTCTACTCCCTCTACACACATGACTGTGCCCCCGTCCACCATAGTAACACCATTGTGAAGTTTGCTGATGACACCACAGTGGTGGGGCTCATCTCTGGGGGGGATGAGTCTGCCTACAGGGACGAGGTGGAGCGGCTGACAGCATGGTGCAGGGGCAACAACCTGCTCCTTAACACCGCAAAGACCAAGGAGCTCATAATAGACGACAGGAGAAAGAAAACGGACACTCCACCACTAACCATCAACGGGGACTGTGTGGAGAGGGTGGCAGACTTCCGCTTCCTGGGAGTCCACATTGGAGAGGGCCTGACCTGGAGCGCCAACACCTCTGAGCTACTGAAAAAGGCCCAGCAGAGACTTTGCTTCCTGAGAATACTCAGGAAGAATAACATCACACAGAAACTGCTGGTGTCCTTCTACCAAGCTTCCATCGAGAGCATTCTTACATACTGCATCTGTGTATGGTACACTGGCTGCACAGTGGCTCAGAGGAAAGCGCTGCAGAGGGTCATCAACACTGCCCAAAAAATCGCCGGGTGCTCTCTCCCCACAATGGAAGAACTACACAGCTCCTGTTGCATCAAAAAAGTGCAGAACATTATATAGGACTCTTCTCACCCTGGACACACTCTGTTTGAGCTGTTGCCATCAGGCAGACGATTCAGATTAGTCAAAACAAGGACAAACAGATTCAAACACAGCTTTTATCCTACAGCAATTACCACACTCAATACTGCTAATGAACTATTAAGTAATACTGTTTACAATTGACTGTAAAATAGGGATGGGCAATGAAAAAATTTACTTTTATGTGGGTATACTTGGGTAGTTTTTATGTATAAAATGTATTGATTATCTTTTATTTTATTTTTATTTATTTTATTTATTAAAATTATGAATGATGTACTGACTGGTGAGCACTTTAAATTTCGTTGTACTGGTGACAATGACAATAAAAGATTTATCTATCTCTACCTACAAACACACACACAGCTATACCTACAAACACACACACAGCTATACCTACACACACACAACTATAGCTACAAACACACACAGCTATACCTACACACACACACAGCTATACCTATAAACACACGCACAACTATACCTACAAACACACACACAGCTTTACCTACAAACACACACACAGCTATACCTACAAACACACACACACAGCTATACCTACAAACACACACACAATTTTACCTACAAAGACAGGCACACACAGCTATACCTACAAGGACACACACACAACTTTACCTACAAAGACAGGCACACACACGCATACCTATACAGACACAAATGCCTACGAAGACCCCCCCCCCCCCGTAAATGATTGCGAGGGCAAGTGACTGTGAGCGAGCTCGTCCAGACTCACCGCGCCATTCTCGAAGTCGTTGTACCAGGGCTTGTCGAGCAAGTGCTTTTCGGTGGACCTCCTGGCTCCCACCAGCGTGATGTACACGTAGTCGTCGGTACCTGCGAAGTACTGGGTGCCTGTGGCCACGGTCACCACGTACACGGACATCGCCAGCGGAGGAGAGGGAGGCGAGGAGAGCGAGAGACGCCGAGAGACGCGCGAATAAGAGGAACTCTTGTCAATCCGGCGTGTCCGCGAAGGAGTTTCATTCACAGCGCCACCTCCTCCCTCCTCCTCCTCCTTCCGTGCAAGAGGCATTCTTCCCAAGGCGACATTCCTGAGTGGAATGTCACCCTCCAGCCCCGCTCACCACGCCTGCTGACGAACTGCGCCAGCAGGCGACACCTCGTGTCCGTCCCTCCAGATTAACAATTAAAAACACAAATAAAGAAGACAATTTTTACTTGACACGTCCCGTCAGGCGCACGGCTTTCGGGGAGTGCATCGTGTCAGCGGCGTTTGGTTCAACGCCAAGCAAACGCGATATGGTGGCACCGGTGTGGAGATGCAGTGTCTCATCAGCAGGCCAGGCGTGCTCTCTGGAGACACGGATCGCCGGGTGGTGGGATACTCTGTAGTGCTACAGTGGCAGGTCAGTTTATTGATTAGGTATAGCCCTGTGAGCCAATCGGCTCTTGAATCGGGTGCAACCGCAACAAACAAAAACATGAACAAGAAACATCTTAAAGTGACTACGCGCAACAGAAACATCCAGGAAAAAACAGCAAAGTCTTCCAGAAAAAGCACCGTACATCAACGCTGTGTGCAGAAATCCCAGTGGGATGCAAGTCAAACAACAACAACCACAAGACAACTTAGATTAAAGTGATCAGTCTAACTCTGTACTACAACAAACAAATATGGCTAAACCAAAACGTTTTCGAAATCACCAAAATAAAGCAATAAAAAGAACGTGACAACAGTGATCATAGGAACTGTAGCTCACTTGTCCTGGAATCCCGAACAACGTCGGGCCCCCTCACTCACACCGGAGAGGTTCTCAGCGTCCGTGCGCTATGACTTGAGAGAAACTTTTAAAAACACTGCAGCAGGAGCCTCGTCGGCTGACACGGTCCAGGTGGAAGCTGCTTCCCACTGCAGTGACTTTACAAATCGTTTCTTCTCTCGCGCCGATTTGTTCTATTCTACCGGCCGCGTCCTCATTGCGTTCACAAAAACTCATCCCACCGCGGGTGGAATTATCCGGGGGGCATGGGGAGCCCTGCCCCTTTATTAATTTATTTCCAGTAGTTTACTGTTAAGATTAAATTAAATACTATTAAGATTAAAATGTAATTAAAAACATGCACCCGCCATTCCTAACGTGAGGAACAAAGCGAACCCCTCCCAATTATAGAAGTCCATCAGCGCCGATGATTATCCCAGAAAGATCCAGAAGAATGCCCTGCCGGTGAACGGAGTGGAACAACGTGGACGTCCACAATAAACGCCTCCTCATTCGAGACCCAGACATCATCCTGGCTTTGACATTCCTCATCAAATACGCTCGCTGATGGTGTGACCATCATTCGCATCAGAACATCGACGGGCCGATACGCACATATCCTTCATGAATGTAATATTAAAGACGCAAGTTGCGGCCATGCAACCAAAACTGTGGGCAATATAGTAAACAAATATAGACAAATAGATACATAGGCTCACAGAGATGTTATAGACTCACAGAGACACAAAGAATCATAGAGATACACAGAGACGCATAGAGATGAAGTACAGGCGTGTCTCGCTTAACGAACGTATCTCGTTCGTTAAGTGAGACACGCCTGTTAAACAATCATAGTTTTTCCAGCCTCAAGATGTTCCACTCTTGAACAATTTTATTACATGAAAAATACCAATTCATTTATCATATTAAAATAAAGTTATACAATGTAACACCACACATGAGGAACCACAGTGCAAGGACCCCCGTATAGCCAATCACGATATCACCTCCTCTCTCCACTCAATCACACAGCCCTCGCGCGCTCCTCTGTGTCTCCGCCTCCCATACATGCACACACATCTCTCCTCCACTTACAAAGATCCCGCGTGGAGCCTTAACAGACTGCTGGGCCAAGGGGGGTTAGCGAGCACCGATGAAGGCCGGTGAGGCACACAAGCCAGCACCACGCCCGGCCACTTACGTCTCGCTAGTGGCGATGTTTACACACCGCACCAGGTAATTGAGTACGAGTCATCGTTGGGGAGCCCCAAAGACCGGTTCAGGTCATCGTTACTGGTGTATTGGCCGTGAGCGGGAATATAACTCGAGCCGTAGCGCCGCGTGCTGATCGTTGTGCCTGCCGCTCATCACACCAACCACCCTCCTACCTTGATGCACCCATCTCAGGCCTTGTCTCAGCAGCTTTCTCTCTCTCTCTCACCTGAAGACGGTCGAAACGTCGTCATCTATTATTTTTTATTTACGTAACTTGACCGAAAGACCCAAGAATATGATATTCCTGCAGTCACGAAAGCTTGAAGTCGAGATTTAATATTGGGAATATAATAAACCACTGTCGTCTGCGCTCGCTCAACAAAGGAGCGATAGCGGCACGACACGAACTGTCTCCCGGGGGGAGCCCTCTTGTCGTTGGCCAGCAGGTCTCGACGTTTCCATCGTCCCCACATTGCTGCCGGGAGGCCGAGAGGGGCTCGCGGGAATTCCCCGGAGGCCGCCCGCACACCCTCCTGCAGACGATGACACTTCAGCGGCTGGCCCCAGCAAAGCCACCACAACAACTCCTCTCCTCCCGCCACCGCCTCGGTTTGGTTTTCTCGGCGTTCTCTCTCCCATCGCCCTCTGTGTTGTCTCCCACATTATCGCAGTCCTGACACCTAGGGCTGCGATTTCAAGTGGAAAATTTCCATTCAAAAGTGAAAAATGTGATTCTCGTGTTGTTGTGTTCACGTTTCGTCAAACGTGTGGGTTTATTTATGCTAGGAATGGGTCCCCTCCCCCATATATTATGTTTACGTGAATATTTCGCTCTAATTATTGTAAGTCGGAATCGAAGCTCCTACGGCTGGTCCCAGCTCATTCAGAATCGAGATAAGTCAGCATACATGAATATGCCTCCGAATTCACATCTTTGTCTCTCTGTACAAGAAGTGCGAGTGTGGCTTGCAACTCCCTCCTGTCACACGGCCCATTGCACTGCCGATGAGTCGGCACTGCAATGGGCCGTGTGGCCGTGTGGCAGAAGGGAGGTGCAAGCCACACTCGCTTTTTTACATCCGAGAAAAGTGCGTCAACACAAAGCGAACTCTGATGACTTAATGCATTGACAGTTGGCCGTGGGGTTAATGGGATCTGTCATAAAATACCTGAATTTTGTTTTCTAACGTGCAGAGACAAAAATGGGAAGGACGCCAATTATCTACCGATGTATTTAGTTAACTTAAATTCTCCACAGTGATGCGAATGCTTATTCGATGTTAACACTCATTGCGGAAGCTGTGCTTATATTTAATATACTGTATTGTGTATAATACAGTAGACAGTGGTTTACAAGATCCAGGTCCGATTCAACACAGTACATAAAATCCGTGATCTGGTTCCATCTGTAAAAGATGCTGTTCCAGACATACAGTACCCGGACGTTTACAAACTAAAGTGCCTCTGTGGTAGCAGCTACATTGGAGAAACCAAACGACATATCTCGGACCGCATCCGCGAACATAAAGCAGACTTGAAACACGGTAGGACGAACTCCTCTGCCGTAGCAGATCACTGTTAAAATTCAGTGGGTTCACATGACATTGACTTCTCCAAGACAGAGGTTCTTTGCAAGCCAACCGGCTACCATGAGAGATTCGTTCATGAGGCCATCCACATATACAAGCACAGAGACAATTTCAACCGAGAATATGAATTCTGGCTTAGTAACCATTGGAAAGATGTTTTAAACCATTTCGGTTCTTAATTAATTGTATTTTACGGTGACTTTCAGACTGCAGCCCTTTCGCTGGCATTGCCTCTTAATACCTCTCACACCACGGTTAATGGTATGGTCTATAACATGGAGTATAACAACGCATCGTGGCTGTTTCTCCCCTCTCCTCCGTTCCGAGCATAGATGGACTCGTCCGTCTGAACAAAGCTCGTCGCTGTCCGTGGTTGCTAACGTTGAAAAGAAAAAAAACGCCACCCATTTTTTCGCCATATGGCATTGTAATGTATAATGACTTATTGTTAGTAGCTCAGCTAATTGGAGAGTATATAGAGTTTATTGATAACATTGATGTAGTTTATATTTTAGTTTTTAATTAGTTTACTATATGGTATTCAATATATAGTGTAGTGTATACCCAGTTACGTTATGTTTATAGCTCAGCTTATTGAAGAATACATTGAGTACATTTATTATAGTGATGTAGTTTATACTTAGTTTTTTTCACATCGTTATATTGTATGATAGTTGGGTAGTTGCAGTCCTTTAGCATCCATATACTAAATGCCTCTGTTGATATGTAAACTTTGACTTTAACATAGCTATATCTGTGACCAGTCACATGCTAATCCCTCACATTAATATCATGCTAATCTCCCAGTTACATGCTAATTTCTGACTTTAACACCCTGCTAATCCAACACTTTAACACAGCTATTTCAATGCTAAATTATCCTGTTTGATATGTAAACGCCTTTGTCAAGGCGCTTTACTTCTCCCACCTAAAAAGACGCTGCGAATCTTAGCAGCGTTCATTGAAGTGCTGTCGTCCCGACAGTTCCGTTCCTTCACCTGAAGAAGACTACTTGTGTTGTGGCCTAAACGTCGTGAGAATTTCATTGTATTATTCTCATTCTACGTGACTTTACCGAAAGAACCAAGAAGATCAGACTTTTGTTCGGATGTCATATAGGACTGTCTGTGCACAAACGCCACCGTCCCTCAACATTTCGCTTGGGAGATCATCTCTGCCCGGTGCCTTTCCTGGTCCCAGACTCCACATCGCCACCAGCACCTCCTAAACAGATGGCACCCCAGCCAGCCACCCAAAGGGGGTGACTTATTCCAATATTTGAGGCAAACACACAGCCAGAATCTCCCACACACACAGCCAGAGTCTCACACACACACAGCCAGAGTCTCACACACACACAGCCAGAATCACACACACAGCCAGAGTCTCACATACACACGGCCAAAATCTCACACCCAGCCAGAGTTTCTCACACACAGCCAGAGTCTCACACACACAACAACAACCGCCATTCGCCACTAAGTGGCGGTGACGTCACCACGACTCTTGTGCCAGGCCATGTGCACCTTGAGGCCACGTGAAGTGTCGAACGCCCGCTGGTAGGAGGCCACGGGGCAGACCCAAGTGCCACAGGTCGACTGACTAAGATGACTGAGACGACTGGCTGATGCACCACCCGTGCCCCCTACCGTGCCAACCCGCTGTGCCCCAGCCACCCGGCGCTCTGCTCGTTGTTGTGAGCGTCGCCCCTCCGCCCTCCGTTGTTGCCGGAGGGCGACTGCTCCAACTGCCCAGTAGCGTCCTTCACGAGCCTCCTCCACAGAGGCCGACCTTGACACTGCTGGCACCAGTCATCAGCAAGTCCACTCAGCTCCACGTCCTCCTGCACCACACCACTCCATCTCTTCTCTAGCCCGTGCCGCGCCCGCCTAGCCCCCTCGATCCGGCCGAACAAAAGCCGCCTAGGCACGCGGTGGCTGGGCATACGGGCAACATGACCCAGCCAACATAGCCTTGCCTGCTGGAGGAGCTCACCGATGGGTCCTTGCCCAGATCTTTCAAGGATTTGTGAGCTCCTCACACAATCCAGCCTGGTTAAACCAGGATTGATCGTAGGCAGGCTAGCCTAAATGTTTCCAACCGGTGAAGACGCCCCATCAGGGGGGTCCACACCTCGCATGCGTAGAGAAGGGAGGGAATGACCGCGGCCGAGAAGACCTGAAGCTTAGTGCGGAGCGACAGACCAGTCAGCCTCCACACAGAGCTAAGCAACCGATGCAAAGATATTGCCGCTCGACTGACTCGGAGTGAGACCTCCGCTGTCAAACCGGAGCTGGTCATAAGCATACTGCCCAGGTATGGGAAACGCTCCACTCTCTCCACAACTGCCCCATCACCGATTGGGAGTTGTGTGGGTGGAGTGTCCGATGGTACAAAATACCCAGGCAGGTGCTTGTTTTTGGTGGGGCTGATGGTAAAGCCCCATCTCTTAGTGGCACGCTCCAGCCACAGCAGCAGCGTCTCCAACTCCTCCTCTGAATGAGCAGCCATTACCAAACCATCAGCATACATAACGTGTTTGAGCAATAGGGAGCCATCCCCTGACTGCACCCGGGCATCGATCAGCCTCCCACTATATCTGTACCAAATGGAGATTCCCCCGGTACAGCAATTGAAGGCTTCACAAACCACGTGGTCAAAATAGATGTTAAATAATGTGGGAGCCAGAGGACATCCCCGCGGCACCCCAAGGTGCACAGGGAACGGCTCTGACTCCCGGCCACGTAGTCTTACCCGGGACCCGCTCATCCATCATGAAGGTCCTCAATGATCGTGAGCAGAGGGTCAGGGACTCCAAAAGCACGAAGAACAACCCAGAGCCCAGGCCTACTGATGGTATCATAGGCCTTGGCCAGGTGAATAAAGCAGACACGTAGGTCCCGTTGGAATCCTCTACACCTCCGCCGTCGCAGACGGACAGAAAATATGGCATCTGTGCAGGACCGCCTTTTCCTGAAACCGCATTGGGGCTCCGCAAGCCTCTCCTCAGCGTGCCTGGCAAGGCGATGTTGAATAATCCTTGCCAGGACCTTTCCCGGCACACTGAGGAGTGAGATGCCCCTGTAGTTGTTACAGTCTGTGCAGTCCCCCTTCTTAAAGAGGGGGACCACCAGGGCATCCTTCCAATCCTGCGGAACCCGTCCAGTTGTCCAGACTGTTGTTATGATGTCATATAGGGCAGTCTGTGCACAAACGCCACCCTCCTTCAGCATTTCGCTTGGGAGATCATCTCTGCCCGGTGCCTTTCCTGGTCCCAGACTCCACATCGCCCCCAGCACCTCCTAAACAGATGGCACCCCAGCCAGCTACCCACAGGGGGTGACTTCTTCCAATATTTGAGGCACACACACAGCCAGAATCTCTCACACACACAGCCAGAGTCTCACACACACAGCCAGAATCTCACACACAGCCAGAGTATCACACACACACAGCCAGAGTCTCACATACACACAGCCAGAGTATCACACACACACAGCCAGAATCTCACACACAGCCAGAGTCTCACACACACAGCCAGAATCTCACACACACACAGCCAGAGTCTCACACACACAGCCAGAATCTCACACACAGCCAGAGTCTCACACACACAGCCAGAGTCTCACATACACACAGCCAGAGCCTCATACACACAGCCAGAGCCTCATACACACAGCCAGCGTCTCACACACAGCCAGCGTCTCACACACAGCCAGCGTCTCACACACAGCCAGCGTCTCACACACAGCCAGCGTCTCACACACAGCCAGCGTCTCACACACACAGCCAGAGTCTCACACACAGCCAGAGTCTCTCACACACACAAAAAGACAAAGATCCCCCGTGTAGCCTTAACAGACTATAGGGGCAAGTGCTGTTAGCGAGCACCTATGAAGGCCGGAACGGTACACGAGGGGGTGGGTGGCCAGCACCACGCCCGACCGCCTTTGTCTCCCTAGTGGCGATGTTTACTCATTTGAGGCTGAGTCGACCTAGGGGAGGCCCGGGACCGGTTCAGATAATCGTCACTGGTGTTGGCCGTGAGCGGGAATCGAACCCGGGTCGCCAGGTTCATAGCGCAGCGCGCTAACCGCTACACTACCGCTCCCCACACACAGAGCCAGTCACATACACACAGCCAGAGTCTCACAAACACAAAACCAGAGTCTGACACACACACAACCAGAGCCTCACACACACAACCAGAGCCTCACACACACAGCCAGAGCCTCACACACACAACCAGAGCCTCACACACACAACCAGAGCCTCACACACAGCCTGGGGTTCACGTATCATAGCTTTAATTCATTTTCAAAACTGTTCAAGTGCATTCACAGTATAGTACTCATAAGTACAGTACGTACTTGGTAACGGATTATAAATGACTCAAATTAGGTAGACGTATCATTGTATTTGCGTGAGATTCATCGCGAGCCATGTTCGTTATGTAAACTGATGCAGAAAATAGGAGCGTGAAGAATATCATCTTTCACTATTTCGGTTTGGTGGATGACGGGGCCCAGTGGTTGCAGAGGTTCACGCTTAGAATCCAGCGGCCGCCCTGGTTATCACTGCAAGTGTTATTAAATGGAATAATAATGTGTCGTCTCCTTCAGAGTCTACGTTAAAACACCCAAAGTCACTCGCAAGAGTAGGCCATTGTGTGCCAGCGTCAGGCTCCAAATTTGCCAGATTCTAAAAGTACACCACACAATAATTGCCAAATTGGGATTATCATGGGACCTTTTTTGGCAGTATCCAATTATGAAAAATAATAAGAATAGGTTTTAACCTTTCTGGCAATAAAGCAGGTGTCAAGATGTTCAAACACCAAATAGAAACACTTTTGGGTCTGTCCCGTGACCTCTTGCCAGCGGGCGTTCGACACCTCATGTGGCCTTAACGTGCACATAGCCTGGCACAAGCGCCATGGTGATGTCACCGCCATTTAGTGGCGAATGGCGGTTGTTGTTATACAGTAGAGTAATGCCTCGGTTGACGAATCCTATGGGAACTAAGCTCCTTTAGAGCGAAGTCGTCCATGGAGGGGGCGCCTTCGCACCCCTATTTTTGCAACAACAAACATTTTCGGAAAAAAAACAACTTGAGAAATGATGCAAATCGATTCAAAAGAGTAAAAAGTTTTAAACGCTGTGCACGTGTGTCGTGTGAACGCGATCGAGTGGGTTTTGTTGACTTCATTGCCAGAAAGCAGTCAGTCAGGGCGTCTTCACTAGTCTCCCCTCACTTGGCACGACCAGCGCGCTTCTTCCCCGATCTCCCCTCTCCCGCCTCGCCATTGCTCGGGCTCCTGGTGTTAGTTAAACGTTACCATGTGGGGTTTTTACAATGATAAAATTATTTTACTACCACCCCCCCCCCCCCCCCCCCATTGATGTCATCCAACCGACGACCATCTTGTGTTAGTCACCCTTGACTGGGCAAGAAGTGCAGCTTAAATCCATCTCTTTGGTGAAGTGGTGCGTTCATTGGGGTTAGCACAGTCCACGTTAAAGACCATTTTAAACCAAGCAGCCAGGCTCAGGGCAACTATGCAGCAATGGTTTCCTCTTGTATGCCCCTTCTCTGAAGTCCTGGAATGCATCCCCCATGCCTCCCATGTTACATCAACCTTTGGTAACGCAGTTTCTGAAAACGATGTGACGTCATGGAATGCCATCTACTTAGTTAACCCAGGTATTACTCTATTCCACTTCACATGTGTTTCTTGTAATAATTCAGCTGAATGTGAATATTAAAAGAATATGGTAATTGGCTGAGTTTGAAGTTAAAGCGAATATCTCGCGCACCCCTAATTACAACCAAATCTCTCATTAAATTAATCTATACAATGACTACTTTGTGCGGCAAACCACTACACAGCTTATACGTTTGCAGAGATTATATATTTTTTTATTGGAATGGAGGTTGTTGTGTAAGTTCTCTGCTTCAACTCCATTTGAACGTTTACAAAATCACAGAACAAATTTGTCCCTGTTATCCTTGCACGTAATTACACCGACTCTTACTCGAGACAGGATTTCATTCTTGAGGCGTTCATTCAAACGACATCAAAGAGTGGCGAGGTTCCGCTGTAGGGGTGGAGAGTGAAGTCCGTGCCATTCTTCTGCTTGTAATGTCCAAAGTGGCGCACGCGGTACTTGCCGGCCTCCGCGCTGGCCGGGATGGCCCAATACACGGTCGCGTTGCTCCGCCCGAAAATGCCCTTGTCCCAAATGAATCTGCAAAAGAAACGACACACACCACGAGCGCGACTCGCTGCGACACTGCGGGTCCAGTGTGCGGAAAAAATACAGCTTGGGATGCCGCCTTGGCACGGGTCGGACTTCGTGCTGGACCCGGACAGTTGTCCCGAGAATTGGTGTCTGCCTTTTTTTTGGAGCCAGCAAACTGCTTTGTGCCGAGGTCTGGGGATAATGCACGGTGTTCATGACAGACCCAGGCTGACTGAATGATGTGTCTGGACTCGGTTGACAGTGAGGAAGGTGGCCTCCCAAAGGACAGCCTCTCTCTTTCGACGTTTCTGATCGCGTGAAATTAACACGTACGCAAAAGAATGCAACATAAAGCAACGTCATGAGCTGTGATCAATCCACTGCTGAATGAAGCCCCCCCCCCTCATGATCCTCCATATGAATTGAATGTATCACTGTGTCCTTAGTGAACATACTCTCAGATGAATTATATCCCTTGGTTGCTGCTCCGTTATTATTATTGACTATCACCCATCGTCCTTTCTAGCTGGGACACGTCTGGCCCAAGCCCTACTCACTTTGAATGCTGTCATTAGCCTGCATGTGTTCTCTCATCTCCGTGTTTCATTTTATGTCTCTCAAGTGCAATTCCAAGCATGCGTCAGTCCATACTACTTTGCGTGATTATCAGGTTTAGTTCTGCAGTTTTTCGACAGGGTTGGAGGTTTCTGAACCATTGAGTTCTTGTGTATTGTCTGAAACCCCCCCCCCCCCAAACCGTCACAAATGTTTGCATGAGGAACTCCAGCCCTTGCACAGCAGAGCACCTTCCTCTGTCGGAATATGGCCGTGTCACAATAACAGTGGTCGTAACCTTTCATTCAGAAACAACTTCTTCTGTCGTCCTGAGGAATTTCCCCCCCAGTCTCCACTCTGATGCACGTGGAGAGATGAGCAGCCGTGGTTTATACAGGGATTTAATCTCAAGCCTAAATTGTTCTGTCGGCGAGATCTTGCCAACAAAACTCAACATTTTATGATACAACAATTTTGCCCACTGATGGGCGCAAATATCTTCTTATAAGAATAGGTTTCACCTTTTCTGGCAATAAAACAATTGTGTTAAGATGTTAAAATACCAAAACAGAACCTTTTGCAAGGAATCATGTCTGCATTAACCACACATACTTGCATATATTACCATGTTCATCACAAGTATGTGTGGTTAAATGGAGACATGATTCCTTGCAAAAGGTTTATTTATTCTACTGACAAGGGAGTCCCATAAGATCTTCTTATCACGTTGGAAACATTTCGCTAAGCGTCTTGGGTCTTCTGTGTACTTACACTGGAGTGCGTTGATAAGTTGAATGTAACAACCCTTGAGCTATGCCTACTTGAAGCATTTATGAGAAGCATATTCCGAAGTTGGTAGTGGAAATAAGACCACTTGTATATCGGGGCGGTGACACAAACAGCAGAAGCGCATTGACCGCTTATTACATAGGGTCGCAGTTCGAATCCGGCAGGCTGTCCTGGTTATTACTGCAGTGTGTTAATTCGTAAAATGCACGACGTCTCTTTCACGGCGTACGTTTAAGTTCCTGCGACGTCTTTCGAAATGAGTAAGTCATTGTATGCCGGCACCACGGTCCAAATCTGGCCGCCCTGATTAATGCTGCGGTGTGTATTAATTCTGGGGCCTGTATTAATTCTGGGGCCTGTTTTAATTCTGGGGCCTGTATTAATTCTGGGGCCTGTATTAATTCTGGGGCCTGTATTAATTCTGGGGCCTGTTTTAATTCTGGGGCCTGTATTAATTCTGGGGCCTGTTTTAATTCTGGGGCCTGTATTAATTCTGGGGCGTGTATTAATTCTGGGGCCTGTATTAATTCTGGGGCGTGTATTCTGGGGCATGTATTAATTCTGGGGCGTGTATTAATTCTGGGGCCTGTATTAATTCTGGGGTGTGTATTATTCTGGGGCCTGTATTAATTCTGGGGCCTGTATTAATTCTGGGGCGTGTATTAATTCTGGGGCGTTATTAATTCTGGGGTGTGTATTAATTCTGGGGCCTGTATTCACCAAAAAATACTGCGCTCACAGCAAAATTCCCGAGACGTCATTCGCAAGAGAGAGCATAATGTGTGTTATGGTCCAAATGTTTTAAATTGGAAAAGTTACTCACAAGTTACCCAATTGGGATCACGCACAGCAACACTGTCCCCAACTGCGAAACTACTGTCGACTGAAAAACAGCACCTTCCCTCGTGATAGCCCTGCGCGATGAGAGTGAAAGCGCGAATGCTCCATGTACTGAATTATTGTTGTATTTAGACACCAGGAGGTGTCAATCGTGTCGTTAAGCCACCTTTTCTCAGAATGACGACGGCTTGCGTTCATGAAGTGTGGACAATGGCAGCTGGTTGCTCAAATTATTCTGGAACAATTATTGCCATCACCCCACTCAATGATTAAATGTACTCCACACTCTAATTCCCTGTTCCCTGACTCGTGATAACGTGCACTGCACATTTCTGCTCTACTGTCTAGACATGCCACTTGGTTTCCATCTTACCTGCCCAGACCCTCCACGGCCTTGTAGCCATTTACAAAGCTCATCTCACTCTCTCACGTTCGCTTTCCCACCTGATCCGCTCGAGAGAACGGTGCTCTCTCTCCCAATGCTCGACAGTAAAAAAAAAGCACGGTGAATTTAACACTTGTAGGCATTTACGACCAAAAGTATTATTCGTAATAGATTTTTGGGTCAGATCGCGTTAAGGAAAGTGTGTGTTGTAAACCCTCCTCTAACAACAGCCTCATTAGATGGCTGCCAGATATCTGATGATGCGCCACCGGTAACGTTCGCCAACATCACCGGTGGTGCTGCTCAAGCGGTCATTAATCGGTCACGTTTATTCACGCGATAACTTTATTAATTGGCCACGTCGGGTGGAGGAGGGTGTACGACATACATTTTACAAGCACGATCTTACCCAAAAAATCGATCATTAATCGCCGCGTGGTGAGAAGTAGCCAATTCAAGTCGCACGTTGACCAGCAATCGGGAACTGCCTTGCTGCTGATGTTCAGTCTACCCCCCTGTTTATATCTAACTGCCATAGCTCTTCTTAATTTCACCCGAGTTTCTAAAATTGATTATTAAATGTGCTCGTATAGCACTGTATATTCTTGACGCTTCGTGCTCATATCGTAAACATGTTTTGTATTTCACGGTGGTGACATGCAAGGGGGCTCCATTTCCACCAATCTTAACACGCAGGTTACATCTGTTAAAGACTCTTGTGTAAGGTATAAAGCCATTGTTTGCACAATATTCACTCGGCTGTTGAGAAGTGAGCGGAGGATTAGACATCAACAATTGGGTATCTCTGAAAAAATTGCCCTGATAACATTTGCGGTATTACTGTACACATTTAATTATACTTTGGGACGATATTCAACAATCAAGTGCAACTGGAGTGGTGATCAATGCATTCATTGTGTGGTGCGTAGAGGTGGCCTGTGTGGCGTGCAGGAGCTCTGCTCCTTTAGGGAGGTCTGTACTCTCGGTGTGTTTGACCAAGATAAGGACACCGCATGTGGAAGTTGGGTTTTTTATGTACACCATTTGAATAGCAGGGCTGTGATTAATTAATTAATTGCATGGATGCGTAGAGGTGCGGCCTGCGTAATAGTGCGAGGCGAAGTCTCCGTCAGAGAGGAACGAGCACGTAGCAGCGGGCAGCCTCTGGTGCAAGCCGCTACGGGGACTGCGCGAGCAGTGAAGATGGTTTCAATGGAGTGGCACCCATCAGAGATTCGCTTCTAAGTGATTTAGCCAATCAATTACTCTGTCTTAAGAGTTGGTGAATTGCAGATAGACCTACTAATTCGGTCACTTGCCCACTCACTCAGTCACTCACCCACCCACTCACGCACGCACGCACTCACTCACCCACCCACTCTCTCATGTACTCCCTAAACCACCCCAATCACTCACTCACCCACCCACACGTTCACTCCCTCAACCACCCACTCACACACGCACGCACTCACTCATCAACTCACTCACCCACCCACTCACCCACCTACTGCCTTCACATGTATATTTGGGGCAGTGCGAAGTTCGATGATCCATGGTATGCTATTCGTAGCGGCTGTCGCACACAGGAGAGAGTCTCTTATTCTGCACTTGTGCACTAGGATTCCGTACAAGTGAAAATAAACGAGTTTAAAAGCGTTGTTGGTGCATGTGACGGAGGTGCTCTCAGCTCCTTGTGGACTGAAGAAACATCGCTTATAAACTTCTGTACTCCACCGAATTACAATACATGTCACACGGCCACCAATAATAATAATAGCAGCAGCAGAAGCTGATACAATTGTCCTCTCTATTAGAGCAAGCAGTGATAATCAGTTGTTGTGGTCATTAAAGACCTCAACAACTGACTGATAGATAGCAGCTACAAAGTGCTGTTGAACCGCAGCTATGCAAAAGCAATTTCACGCTAACGTGAATGGAATAACATGTAAACCGCTGTCAAACACATCTCTCCAGCACAGGCACGATCACAGTGGTTGGAGTGGCTACGCGACACGTTGGCTTGGCCAGGGCACGTGGAGACGTCCCCCCCCCCCTCTCGTGTTCCCCAGCAGGAGAGGCGACAGATCGTTGGCTCGTCCGCGACAGTACCCGGGCTGCGTCTCACCTGGTCTCCCACGATGTGTCTGTGTGAATCACGCGCCAGTTCCCGGCTTGGGGATTGTGCCACTCCACCGTCAGGAAGGTCCCACCTCGCTGGACAGACGCAGTGCGAGCCGAGGCACACAGAGAGACAGAGAGCGACAAGGCGCACAGACACAGCCCCACAGAGAGACGCAAGCACACATACACAGAGACACAGGCACAACGACACGAGCAGAGAGACATGGGCACACAGAGCGAAAGAGACGTAGGCACATAGACAGACACAATACAGTGACACAGGCACACATACACAGAGACACAACAACAACAACCGCCATTCGCCACTAAGTGGCAGTGATGTCACCACGACGCTTGTGCCAGGCCATGTGCACCTTGAGGCCACGTGAAGTGTCGAATGCCCGTGGGCAGGAGCTCACGGGGCAGACCCAAGTGCCACGGGTCGACTGACTAAGATGACTGAGATGACTGACTGATGCACCACCTGTGCCCCCTACTGTGCCAACCTGCTGTGCTTTAGCTACCCGGTGCTCCGCTCGTTGTTGTGAGCGTCGCTCCTCCGCCCTCCGTTGTTGTTGGAGGGCGACTACCTCCAACTGCCCAGTAGCATCCTTCACGAGCCTCCTCCACAGAGGCCGATCTTGACACCGCTGGTACCAGTCATCGGCAAGTCCACTCAGCTCCACGTCCTCATGTACCACATCACTCCATCTCTTCTCCAACCCGTGCCGCGCCCGTTTAGCCCCCTCGATCCGACCGAACAAAAGCTGTTTCAGCACGCGGTGGCTGGGCATGCGGGCTACATGACCCAGCCAACGCAGCCTTGCCTGCCGGAGGAGCTCACCGATGGGACCTTGCCCAGATCTTTCAAGGATTTGTGAGCTCCTCACACAATCCAGCCTGGTTAAACCCAGGATGGATCGTAGGCAGGCTAGCCTAACTGTTTCTAACCAGCGAAGATGTCGCAAGCGTAGAGAAGGGAGGGAATGACCGTGGCTGAGAAGACCTGAAGCTTAGTGCGGAGCGAAAGACCAGGTAGCTTCCACACAGCGTTATGCAACCGATGAAAAGATATTGCCGCTCGACTGATTCGGAGTGAGACCTCTGCTGTTAAACTGGAGCCGGTCATAAGCACACTGCCCAGGTATGGGAAACTCTCCACTCTCTCCACAACTACCCCATCACCGATTGGGAGTTGTGGGGGTGGAGTGTCCGATGGTACAAAATACCCAGGCAGATGCTTAGTTTTGGTGGGGCTGATGGTAAGGCCCCATCTCTTAGTGGCACGCTCCAGTCTCAGCAGCAGCGTCTCCAACTCCTCCTGTGAATGAGCAGCTATTACCAAATCATCGGCATACATAACGTGGTTGAGCAATAGGGAGCCATCCCTTGACCGCACCCGGGGATCGATCAGCCTCCCATTATATCTGTACCATATGGAAATTTACCCGGTACAGCTATTGAAGGCTTCACGAACTACGTGGTCAAAATAGATGTTAAATAATGTGGGAGCCAGAGGACATCCCTGTCGCACCCCAAGGTGTACAGGGAATGGCTCTGACTCTTGGCCACGTAGATTTACCCGGGCCCGCTCACCATCATGAAGGTCCTTAATGATCATGAGCAGAGGGTCAGGTACTCCAAAAGCACGAAGAACAACCCAGAGCCCAGGCCTACTGATGATATCATAGGTCTTGACCAGGTCAATAAAGCAGAGATGTAGGTCTTGCTGGAATTCCCTACACCTCTGCTGTAGCAGACGGACAGAAAATATGGCATCTGTGCAAATTCACGATGAAATGTCCACCCGAGCTGATAGGTGTGGTAACCGAGGGGTCAGAGCGTGTAATGTGTAGGAGCGGCTCTGCGCGCATCCGATGGCGATGGCACACGAGCCCAGCGACGGCTCCCTGTCATGTCGCGAGGCAGGGAGGCATCGCCACCACAGTGTCGCGAGGCGATAGCTGCAACGACATCTTAACGATGTGCGATGTTATAAAAATTTTCTCACATGAGGTGTGCCAATAAGTAGTTCCAATGGCTGTCTCTTACTGATTGCATTGGCATGGACACTAAGTTTCACTATACTCTCCAGTAAGACTAATTATTTCTGGATTATGAGATTTAGATTTTTTTCCTCCCTGTAGTTTAAAGCGAGAGTTGGGGGGTGCGTCTTATATCTGGGTGCCTATGTGTCACAATATTTCAGCCTCAAATAATTTGAGTATCCGGTGCGGTGTGTAAGCATCACCACGAGAGAGGAAAAAAGCGGCCGGGCGTGGTGTTGGCCACCCAGCCCCTCGTGTGCCGTGTTGGCCTTCATAGGTGCTCGCTAACAGCACTTGCCCCAACAATCTGTTAAGGCTATCGGGGGAATCCCTGTCTTTGTCACTTATACGATTTATTGGCAAGGGGCACATGTTTTTGGTGCAGCTTGAGTGTCTCGTGATCTGCAGGATATGGCGGCACGCTGCCTTCCCAGCATTGCCACACATTGCACCATTTCTCTATGCCCCGGTGGCAGGAGCGCGAACCAATCGTGTGCGGTGGGCACGACCACACGAACGTCTACTCTAAATTCCTACGATACTGCATATTACAAACACTTGATTGCACAAATGACCCACTTAGCATTTACTTATCTCCAACTGCAAATAGTTAACCTAACCGAGTACAGTAACATATAAATCTACATATCACTGATGGAGCCCAAAACCGCGGCTGTAGGAGGAAGACCAGATTGCCGAAGAGGAACCTCTGGTTTCCATTGCCCACGCATTTAACAGAAGAGTCGAGATTGGCAGTCGGTCACATTTCTCAATCGCATTCACAGTGCTGCGCACAGCTTGTAAATGTGTAGAGGTTACCTCGTCCCCTGACCATTAGAAAGTGGCCGAGGCCAGATCCAACCGGGACTGGCGGATTCCCACTTCTCACAAGATAGAGCTTGACTATGGCACATCATGGGTGCCAGTCCACTGGTGCACGACGACTTAGATTATTCCTCCAAGGTCCTCTGGGAAATAAATTAATGGAACAGGGGTTGCCGGTTCCTCTCTCCGCACCAGCGCCCAGACGTGAGCCCCCATTTGCCATCAGCGGTGGATATCTATCGGCACGCGGCTGTTCTGGCCTGCGCCAGTCAGAGGTCAGGAGGTCACAACCAAACTCTGCATCGACCTCTGCTGTGTGGCCGAGATTTGAGTTCACAGATTTCAGGGCTTTGAAGATGAAGTGAGAATAACGTTTCTATAAACGTCGCAATGTGAGGTAGTCAGCCTCCTATACAAGGCTACGATTTTGTCATGGAGGTCGCCAGGGTCACAGAAAGCGTGAATTTAAGTGAAATCTGTGGAATCCTGGAAACGGCTGTAGGAACAGCTAGATCAGGTGGTTCCTTAAGTTCCCGTGAAGAACTCCGTACGTGACGGACGGCTCGTCCTGCGCTGGCACCCGTGCCCTGGCGGCCACGTGGTGGTTACGGGGGTGGGAGGGACGTGGCGCCGTCAACAGGCTCACCGGTGCCCACGTGGCTCTTCCAGCGAAATTGATTCCAAAAAAACTAACAGTGGCTTAACTTGTCCACTTGGTTTCAGCAAAATAACTTTTAAATGGTTATATTAACCGGTTTTTAAATATTAAAATAAATTAAACTCCATCTATTAAAAGGTAAACGAATGAATTTGTCGGCGGGGCACCGCCCACCTTCCTCCGTGACTTTTCCGTAAAATCACAAAAAAATGTCCTCCACCCACACCGCTTCTGTTAATTTTACAACAAATGACTGAGACAGAATCTTAATCCTACGCTCCACGTGCACACGATTGCCCAAGCGTGTGGGCACACGCGAGGCGTGAAGGGAGCGCTGCTGCTGCTGCCCCCTGCTGCAGCCGTGGCCAGGGTGAGGAGGGAGGTGAGGAGCCCAGGCTGCCAACGCTACCTTCATTCTCGCCCCTAGGGGCATGCACATGATGATGATGATGAACCCCTGCACTCGGACACACTAGCCAATGCGAAGCCGAGTTCTCCAAGGCGACTGCAGAGTTTGGCTGCGAACCCTTCGTGTGTGGAATGAAGGAACGAGGCATGGACGTGGACAGTGGCGCTGCCTCTGCTGATTGACGGCGCTTCGTGCGCGCACCGCTAAGCGCTGGCCGAGTTTGCGGTCGCATTCTGGGAATGCACAGGCAGGTGAAGCTCCTTGCTCTGAAGTTCAACTGGAAGTGGCGCATGCGATAAGGTAATGTAATATAATCTTAATTTTCTTCATTTAAAGTCCTTTTGCATTGATTATTCTTGTAGTGGCTTTTACATTTTACATTCTCACCTGATTAAAATCATCCATGTTAAAATATCAACATTATGTACTTACCATGAATTCCACAGAGTTCCTTGGATTGCCACTGACGAATGTGATGGAATATACATCTCCCTGGAGTGCACGTCAGGAACAACACGCGGAATGGCAAACACGTGTCACAGTAACTCGTCACAATTTCCACAAACAACCAGTTCCATTCTCTGGCGCAGTAGCTGCTGACATTAATTGATAATTGTTTAAGGTAATACTGAACAAATACTGCGGCGCGTTACAAGTTGCAAATATTATTACAGTCATGCCGGCAATAGGCGTATATGTATGTTGAACTTCTTTCGCACCGTACGTAGCCAACTTCGCTAATCGGAGGTGCAAGGGAAGGACAACAAACTAAACAGTTAAAGCAGTTTTAAACACATTTTCAATCTATATTTAAAAGTACATAGCTCCTACTAAAATAGCCGTGCTGCGCGCCCGCTGGTCGCCACTCGCACCCGGCCACGCACCTTGCCGTAGGCCGGCTGCGTGGCCGTCAGCACGTCACCAAAGGTCGTCCCGTCCGGGGCCCTGTCGGCCAGAGTGTCTGGCAGGTTCGACGAGAGTTGGGACTCGTTGAAGAGCGGCGGGCTGGGACCTTGTGGCAGGTCATGCGCCGAGCCCTGGAAACGAAGGGCGACGTCACGTGCTGCGAGTTCAACCCAATGCGGCGCTAGTTACAATGTGGGAAATTTACGTCGTCCTGAAATGTTGTTATGATTGTCGTTACTAAATTGTTGTTGTGTTCTTTCATTGCTTCTTCATCTAGCCCGGGTTACCCTTTGCATCTGCAGTCCACATCTTCAACACCGACACCCAGCTTTGTGTCACTGCCATTCGCCCTTTGGCCTGCCCTCCTCACTCCCCCCTAACGATACATTTTAATTTCCTCTCAACCTCGGAATATGAAGTTGTCACCTTGCTCTTCACGCCAAAAACTCCCTTTGGTGATAATGTCGATGGCCTGCCTGCCTGCCTTTGCCCTCTACATTGTGGGGAATTTCACGGGAAAAGTTATAGCCTCTCGTGTGCTCTCGTAGTAAACTTGGTGCGACAGATGACCCCGACAATTACCGCCCTATCTCAAGCCTCTCCCCTCTCATTGGGATCTTTGAGAAGAGCTTAATATAAAAATAATAATCTCAGAATATCCCCTCTTCTATCCTAAGCAATCTGGCTTTTGATTTTTTAAAATACAGCACAGCCCCTGCAGTACTCGATACTCTTCACATTGTCTTCAACAGTCTCGAATCTCGTCGTCATTACGCCATCCGATTCCCCGACTTGTCAAGAGTATTTGACACCGTGGATCTAATTGCCATGTTGCAAAGTCTAACATGGCTACATTCTTTGGATCGTGCAATCAAACGAATGTACAACTACTTATCTGACAATTTCAAATTTGTCTCCGTCCAATAATAATACATCATCTGATAGGACTCGCCATGACTAAGGGAGTTCATCGGGGCTCTGTTCTTGTCCCTTTCCTGTTTCCTCTGTACATCAGCAATCTACGCATCTCCAGTCTGCATTCTGACATTTAATCCTTTTGCTGATGACACATCCCTGATGGCCTTTGGAAATTCCGTGGAGGAGTTACAACAGCATCGACTTCAGGTCTTTTATAATCTTCAACTTTAACTAAATGTCCTAAAACTGTTTGTCAATGCTAAAAAGACCAAAGTTATGATATTCCATGGCTGACACAAACCTGTTTCACCACCTGTGCATATTATGGCTCTGGACTCGCACCTTATTGAGCAGGTTGATAGCTTTACATATCTAGGCATTATCCCGGAATCAGAACTCTCTTTCAAGACCTACATTGTACACGTGGCCAACAAGATAAACAGAAACAAATGGATTTCAACTAAAACTAAATTTGGGTAAGGAAGCCAAGCTGTGTCACATGTCTCAATGAGATTACGTCATCTCCTGGTTAAATAAAGGTTAGGACTACGCCCTATATTCGTCAAATCACTACGCCTCGTTTGCATATCTGTGTCTCGACATACACGATAAAAGTGTTTTTTTACAAATCTCATCAGCCACACGGCCTTCTGGGAGCACTAATTTCAGCAGCATTGGTTCAACGTGAGCAATCCTCTGGATCGGTTTTGACATTCAGTGTCTCATCAGCAGAGTCAGGCTTGCTTGAACCAGTGGTGTTAAAGAGCTGGGAATTTATTTGGGCTAAACCTTTGCAGCTTCGACGGTTTCACTGCCGACGTCAGAAGTCACAAAGGTGAAGAGACAACCTTTTGGTTATGTGATCATCGGTCGGATGTCGAGAGAGTGTGGCAGTGGGGGGTGCGAGAGAAGGCCCAGAGGGTTTGTAAAGACAAAACAAATGGGACCTAGTGTGTAGCTGACGCGCGAGACAACGTGCAGTCTCTTTGAAGGAGGAGGAGATTGTGCCCAGGCCCGTGATGTTTCACTGTGCTGTTTTGAATGCACATTCCACTCAACCACGTGCGTGCGACTTGCAGAGAGCATCAACATCAACTCCACGTGACTCCCAGATAAACGATTTCGAGCTGCTCAGTGCTCGAGTGGGAGGCGGCTGGGGAGTAGCAGCTGCTGCATGGTTAGGGCTGCGAGGTGGCCAGGAGATGTAAGCACAGCCACAGAATCTTGAATCCGAGTGTCGCCCCCTCCTGGGCGTGCTGGGTTTCCTCCGGGTTCTCCGGTTTCTTCCGACACGGAGCCAAACTACCACGACTGGAACTGGCCACATCCCAATGTAGCAGTGCCCTCCTGACACAGAGGCATGAGACTCGGCAAGGCTTCCCAAGGTGAAAATGCATGATTATTATAATAATTTCAAAGTGCCTGTAACACATGAAGGCAATGATTCATAATAGATTTTTGGGTGAGATCACGAAAATAAAATGTGCTGCACACCCTCCTCCACGGTTGTTTTGGTGACAATTGTATTAGCTCGCTGCTTCTAGTGGAGGAGGGTGTATGGCACACATTTTACAAACACGATCTGACCCAAGCATCTATTGTGAATCGTAGTCACTCCCTGGCGGCTTCGGTGAACAAGCCACAACAAAACGTCACAGCACCACGGGGGGGGGGGGGGGGGTGATGGCATAACGTCCCGGAGACGCACGAACACGCACGGTCACTCACGAGTGCGAGGCGCATGCGGCGACGTGCTTACATTGGCGATGGCGCGGGCCAGGCCGCTGTAGAGCTGTACGTACGCTGCGAGGGTGTGTGGGCCGTAGATGGTCGAGGCGCCTTCGTACCGTTGTATCTGATGACACAAAATGCAATCGCGACGCGGTTTGCAAAAGCGCAAAGGTTACGAAATAAAGCATCTCTCGTGTGTGCGTGGCGCATCGGCGGACCTAACAGAATTAGTAAAGTCACGTAGAAGGGAAACAATAAAATAAAAATATGTATTTTATTGTTTCCCTTCTACGTGACTTTACCGAAAGAACCAAGAATATGAATCCCTGCAGTCACAAAAGTTTTGAATCAGAATTAGTAAAGTTACATTATAAGGTCGCACTCATTACACAAAGTGCTTGGCATGAATGAACCACGATACTTTGCTGATCTCATCAAGTAGCATAAGCCATCGTGCAAACTCCGGTCATCCTCGCAGTGGCTTTTGGTTTACTGTCAAACAGACGGTTACTGCATCTTTCATTTTCATCTGTGCTTCTGCAGCCATCTGGAACGCTCTTGCTCTCTATATTAGGAAGCCACTGTAGCTATGCACTTTAAAATCTAAATTGAAAACTCCCTTCTAAAGAAGTTTAGTTTGTTGTTCTTCCGCCGAATCACCGATTAGCACGGTTGGCTACGTAGAGTGAGGGAAAAAAGTATTTGATCCCCTGCTGACTTTGTACGTTTGCCCACTGACAAATAAATGATCAGTCTATAATTTTAATGGTAGGTTTATTTGAACATTGAGCGACAGAATAACAACAACAAAATCCGGAAAAACGCATGTCAAAAATGTTATAAATTGATTTGCATTTTAATGAGGGATATAAGTATTTGACCCCTCTGCAAAACATGACTTAGTACTTGGTGGCAAAACCCTTGTTGGCAATCACAGAGGTCAGACGTTTCTTGTAGTTGGCCACCAGGTTTGCACACATCTCAGGAGGGATTTTGTCCCACTCCTCTTTGCAGATCTTCTCCAAGTCATTAAGGTTTCGAGGCTGACGTTTGGCAACTCGAACCTTCAGCTCCCTCCACAGATTTTCTATGGGATTAAGGTCTGGAGACTGGCTAGGCCACTCCAGGACCTTAATGTGCTTCTTCTTGAGCCACTCCTTTGTTGCCTTGGCCGTGTGTTTTGGGTCATTGTCATGCTGGAATACCCATCCACAACCCATTTTCAATGCCCTGGCTGAGGGAAGGAGGTTCTCACCCAAGATCTGACGGTACATGGCCCCGTCCATCGTCCCTTTGATGCGGTGAAGTTGTCCTGTCCCCTTAGCAGAAAAACACCCCCAAAGCATAATGTTTCCACCTCCATGTTTGATGGTGGGGATGGTGTTCTTGGGGTCATAGGCAGCATTCCTCCTCCTCCAAACACGGCGAGTTGAGTTGATGCCAAAGAGCTCCATTTTGGTCTCATCTGACCACAACACTTTCACCCATTTGTCCTCTGAATCATTCAGATGTTCATTGGCAAACTTCAGACGGGCATGTATATGTGCTTTCTTGAGCAGGGGGACCTTGCGGGCGCTGCAGGATTTCAGTCCTTCACGGCGTAGTGTGTTACCAATTGTTTTCTTGGTGACTATGGTCCCAGCTGCCTTGAGATCATTGACAAGATCCTCCCGTGTAGTTCTGGGCTGATTCTTCACCGTTTTCATGATCATTGCAACTCCACGAGGTGAGATCTTGCATGGAGCCCCAGGCCGAGGGAGATTGACAGTTCATTTGTGTTTCTTCCATTTGCGAATAATCGCACCAACTGTTGTCACCTTCTCACCAAGCTGCTTGGCAATAGTCTTGTAGCCCATTCCAGCCTTGTGTAGGTCTACAATCTTGTCCCTGACATCCTTGGAGAGCTCTTTGGTCTTGGCCATGGTGGAGAGTTTGGAATCTGATTGATTGTTTCTGTGGACAGGTGTCTTTTATACAGGTAACAAGCTGAGATTATGAGCACTCCCTTTAAGAGTGTGCTCCTAATCTCAGCTCGTTACCTGTATAAAAGACATCTGGGAGCCATAAATCTTTCTAATTGAGAGGGGGTCAAATACTAATTTCCCTCATTAAAATGCAAATCAATTTATAACATTTTTGACATGCGTTTTTTCTGGATTTTGTTATTGTTATTCTATCTCTCAATGTTCAAATAACCCTACCATTAAAATTATAGACTGATCATTTCTTTATCAGTGGGCAAACGTACAAAATCAGCAGGGGATCAAATACTTTTTTCCCCCACTGTACGGTGTGAAAGAAGTTCAACATACATACATAAAGTGTATCAAGTCTTGTCGAATTTGCGTGGTTACATAGTGAGCATTACTGTGAAACACGTTCATGCAATATACATTCGTGATCGTGAGTTCAAAGTGCAAATTCGTTTTGGAATTTGGGGGAATGAACTTTGCTCAAGAAGACAGAACGTTGTCCACTCCTGGAACAATCTCATGGGGCCTCTAATGCCACGTTAGGGTGTGCGGAGCATGTCTCAACACATGCGACATTGAGCTCTCGCACGGCTGTGGGAATTGCGTTGTCAACTGAACAAATAAAGACAAAGATCCCCGTATAGCCGTAACAGACTGTTGGGGCAAGTGCTCTTAGCGAGCACCTATTAAGGCCGGCACGGCACATAATGGGGCGAGTGCTCAACACCACGCCTGGCCGTCTTTGTCTCCCCAGTGGCGATGTTTACGCATCGCACCAGGTACTTATTTGAGACTGAGTCGACATAGGGCAGGCCCATGACAAGTTCAAATAATCGTCACTGGTGTTGGCCGTGAGCGGGAATCGAACTCGGGTCGCCGGATTTGTAGTGCAGCGCACTAACCAATCATGTCAGCGTGAGAATTCAATGTACAACGTGCCAATTGCAAATGAGCATTTCCCTTTATTGGGCACTTAAACCCCACAACAACTCAAAGCCCCTTACATCTCATCTCAAGCGTCCCAATGCCCTGCTGCAGTCTAGCCAAGGGGACCCCCCCCCCAACGGCAGCTGTACCTACGCGGCACAAGGTACCACGGAGCACTACCGGCTTGCCAAATGGTCATTAGCCAGTAAGTAGGGGACGGTGTTATGCACGTACGTATGTTGAACTTCTTTCGCACAGTACGTAAACAACCGTGTAAATGTATTTGTTTGTCCTAGTGAGAAACCTGTGAGTATGTTAAACAGTCTCGGAATTGGAGCTGTTGAGGAGGAGTCGGCGGAGGAGGATTTGTGCGGAGGCGGCAGTGCTGACCTGGTACTCCTCGAAGGTGGTCACGTAGTGGGTGTAGACGTTGCTGAGTCCTGATATCATCACGTCCACCGACTGGAAGAATTCATTCCTCTGCAGTTCCTACGGAAGAATAATCGGGAGTCCTGATACGCGCAACTCTACCGTGCTGCACAAACTACACAAGGGGCATTTGGTAGCAGTCACTTCTATGACTGTTAAGTGCACGATGCGGAGATCGCTGCTGTTCACATTGCAAAGAGCGAATTTCGATACAACACATAAGCCTTCAAAGACACATTTGTTGAGTTATACAATCTTCCTCTGCCGCATGGTAATAACGTTTACAACGAATAACGACGCTAGATCGAGCTTAGATATCCGGACAAGAACGTGATGACGTTCCGAATGAACTTCAGTCGCGATCGATTTGCCGCACTGCACCAACAAGTGGCGAGTCAAACCACGCGATGCGTTTACTCGGATGGCTTTGATATTGTTTTGGTTTTTACTCCGGGGTACAGAAGAAGAGTTACAAAGAAACATGGTCTCTGTTCTCCCAGGAGCCACGCAACTCGCAAATCGTCTCCTTTCCCCCAAGCTCTGATGGCAACAATCTCGCTCAATCCAAGGCATGTTAATGACGCTAATCTATTACAACGTTAATGGCGCTGTTTGTTGCCGACCGCTCGACGTTTTGGGCCCGGGCTTATGCCCAGCAACGGTTGTCAAACACTGCGTGGCCGGCCGCTCCGGGGATATCCCCACGTGTGGTGGGCGTCCTAACGCCGAGGCGTTTCTTACCTTTTTCACAGCTTCTCTCAGCCTCCTCCCCGACATCGTCCTGCTCACCGTCACAACAACATCGAGAACCGCGACCACCAAGTTGACCTTGCCATCATCACCATCACCACAGGCGTCGTGCCGATTCGAACGCACGATTGCAACAGATGTTTATTTAAGGGCTCATCGTCTGAACGTGACATTATTTTAAGTGGTGTCGTCGTGTTTGGTTTGCGGCGAGTGTCAGCGCTGTGTAAAGGGGCTCGTACGTGAACTCTCCAGGCACGGCCAGGACGGCAAAGTCCCCAAACGTCACCATTTGGACGTCGACGATCTCAGGATGCCATGGGAGAGGGCGAGTCATCTGCTCGACACAATAACACATCGCTCGCTGCACCGACGCACGCTACACGGACGCACTCATGGTTTTTGTTACGCGTTTCTTACTTTGTATTATTATTATATATGTACAGATCCCATCAGCCATACGGCCTTCTGGTAGTGGCATACTTTGAGCAGCACTCACTCCCAGAAGGCCTCGTGGCTGATGGGATGTGTAAAACAAACCTTTTTATTTATTCTTTATGCAGAAACAGAGATATGCGTAGGAACAGACATGTGGAGGCATACATTGTTTGCTTCGTTCATTGGTCAAACCCCACGACCGTGGAAGCAGCGCATTCCCACGAACAGCAAAGTCGCGACTCACATCTCCAGTGTCGAACAGGATGGGTTTGGGAGCCTGGCATTCCGTGGTCTCATTGGATGGAGGGCCGGTGAGAAAGTCCCGAATGGCGTCCCAGAATGCGTTTCCCTCCGTGGTGCCTGCAGAGGGCAAGGGTCAGTGCGCGCGACGAGGCGAATTCCACGTATCTATCTCCCTGCCGAGCCGTTTTCACGAAACCAAGGGGTTAACAAGAAAGGAATCGGTGGATCAATTAGCATTGAGCAAACTAACTCCCTACCTTACAATCGTCAACAATTAATTGTTATTATGAGGCAATCATTGACCTAAATAATTGGTCACACCTACTTGATCTCCCTGGGCTGTGGTCAGTGACCTGGTTTGCTCTTGGTAGATTCTGGTGGAGCACCTGGCAATATCTTACAACACTGGAGCACATTGCAACATCTAAGCACTCGATGATTTGTTCCGGTTATAAGAGCAGCACTACTCTTGTGAGTATGGATTACCAACTGGATCGTAATAAAGACGACAATATTTGTTTATTTATGCCGGAAGCCACTCCGATTAGTATTTTCAGGAGGATCCTAAATTGTATGTGTTTTATATTAAGATGTGTTCACACAATGAATGAGTAAAGTAGAACACCCAGAGAAAGCCCAGAGTCTGAGGGGGTAACATTCTATTCCTTCCAGATGGAACAGATGATACAGTAAACCCTCTATCCGTGAGCGGTACGTTCTGGAAAACGCCCGCAAATGTAGAAACCTTGTTCCAATGGGAAAAACATGGGGTTACGTTCCTGGTACACGTGCACATGGGGGAAAGTGGTAAACATGATGATGATTTGACGACGATTTAGGTAGTGGTGATGAATTCAGGAGGATGACTCTTCGGGAGATGCAGGTGTTTGATAACAACGCCGCACAGTTCGTTATCAGTTTAGCTCTGGGGGAGGGCTCGCCGCAACACACTTTTCCTGATTGCATTTCGCATTATTTTGAATGGACCTCACAATCGACTCGTTTCTACCAAAATGTATAAACGAGTCGACTGTAAGTACGTATAAAGTAAAAGTGCAAACTGGCGAGTTCTGAGCGGGATGACTGCGAGACTTGAGGACTAAGCGGGCAGCCGAGGAGGCGTGCCCAATCTTGGCGGCAGACCGTTTCAAATGTAGTAACAACATTCTGCACGCACCTCCCCGGTGTGAGTGGTCTGTAGGCACTACGTACAACTCGTGAATACTGGAGTCTGGCGGGTAGCGAATTGGGAATTTAGTAACTCGCGAATCCGCCTCCTCCTGGCGAGCCAGGCTACGGCTCCCTGATGCCCATGGGAAGGGAGTTTCACAGCATTTGTGCGGTGATCCACCAACCCTTGCTGGCTCCATAGAGCTGCATTACTGGCCACGTGCACAGCTGCCACCGCCAGGCTCTGCAGGTAAGGTTAACCGAAGAACTTTCAACATTTTAACACCAGCACAAGCCGTAAACACGAAGCTCGCGCATTGCTCATTCAAAAGGCACGTGCACATAACCCTTTTTCTTACTGCACAACTGAGCCAGCTAGGGCTGTGCCGAGCCAGCCCTGGCAACTCAGGGGGCACCAGGGTGTATTTCCGCTGCACAGGCCGAGCCGCCCTGTGGAAGTCCCACGTGACGAACAAGTGATGATGTCTTGCATGTCCAAATTCACCGACCGACACAACACACGATGAAAGCAATTAACCCCACCGCTGGCCCTGCTTGGACCTGAGACAGATTTGCACGTCTCACGAGGCCAGCGTATCACGCTATTTGTTCTGTATCAGAGTTTGTAAGCCAGGCGAAAACCAAACCACTATGGCGTGGCTCGAATGTGCCAATGGAAAAAGGGTAAGAGAGGTGCAGCTCACGTGTATGAGATACACAGAGCCAGAAAGGCGCCTGGAGACAGCGGTGGAGGTAATGCAACGTGGATATAAAGAGGTAAAAATGCCACCGCATCTGGTGATGCTGTGTGAGAGTGGGGCCAACCCTGTTGGACACGATGATCATCGTTGGTCAGGGAGGAGCGGAGTGGTGGGACTATTTTTGTAAACACAGTCGTTGAGCACAGGCACAAAGGCCCAAAATGTAAAGTGGCCAGGAACAAACAGTATTCTCAAAGTTATTTTTGTTTAAAAGTTAACACAGTTCTGGAAATGAGTTCCGGCCAGAACTCCACTTTCCTGCAATTATTGGAAAGAGTCATCGAAGCTATTGGTCAAATACTCTCATAGAAGGACACTCTGGAAACAGCCTCCAGAGTTGAGGCTTCCACCGGTACGATATTATACGTTTGAAGATTTGATAAATGGATGTATGTACATTGAACTTCTTTCACACTGTACGTAGCCAACCGTGCTAATCGGAGGTGCAGGGGAAGGACAACAAACTAAACACTAAAAGCAGTTTTGAAGAAATGTATTTTCAATCCCGATTTAAATATGCTTTAAGGAACCCATTCTCCATGTTGTGATTAGACCGCTGTGTTACTGCTTCCCCATTGCCGTAAACCGACATTTTCCACTCTAATCCATCTGATGCCATGTTCTCCACTTTCCTCTAATTGCCTGATGTCGTTGCATCCCTTCCAAGTCATCACACATTCCCCGTCTCTTATACATTTAATGTTAGTTAATGTAATTCTCCCTATATTTATCGAATTAGTATGACATTATTGCTAAACGTAGTCTTGGATCTGTTTAATTTGAACAGGTGTTCAATGATTTTATGATGTATTCTAAATGACGTGATGCGAACCAGGTCGCCAAAGAAAAAGAGGTCACGTTCGTGACGTGTGTCTCACTGGGCCTGTGTTTCAACTGGCTAAATAATGGAGTCTGCCGTTGCTGCTACCGCTGCTCCTACAGCAGGGGGCGTTTACCCTGCGTAAAGTTCAGTGACCCCGGGCCGTCGGTGGTGCCGGCTGCAAAGCTGTATCCCAGGGCCGGTTTGCACGTCTTCGCCTGGAGAACGAACAACGACAACAAGAAGAAGAACAACAACACAGCTGCATCTCTCGTGACGAGCAAGTACCACTCGTAGCGCTGCCTTGCAGTGCAATGCCCGGTGGAGACTGGTACGATACGTCCAATCAGATCAACAGGACACGTGGTTTTCGCAGCATTATTATAGCACAAGTCTGTCACGAACTCACACTGTGTTTCACGCAGGGGTGTAGTCTGTCATCACACGTGACATGGGTTTACCCAGTCAGGTACTTTGCGGGTAACTTTTCAAATTTGAACCATCACGCTGGCACGCGATAGCCTACTCTTCTGCTAATGACATCAGGGGATTTGTTTACGTCTGTCCGTGAAGCAGGTGGTGCATCTTTTACGGTTAACACACGTGCAGTATTCACCAGGGTGGCCTGCCAGAACGGAACGGTGAACCTCTGCAACAAGCGGCGAGGGCACTACCGCGGGGCCACGTCACCACTCCGCGAATCGGTCTTTTTGACGGATGTCTTACTGTGTGAGTGGAGTTGAACCGAACAACAACATCGGTCATGTTCACCCACTGCTGGGCAGAATTCACCGGACCGGTCAGCGTCCTCCCCTCTCCCGAGAACAGCTCCTGCAAGCCGGGAAAAGGGCACCTCGATTTGTCATACCCCGGCGCAAAGAAGCCATTCATCCCGGGCACAGAAAGCACTGTCACGGAACAAGTTATATCATAGTTATCTCACACGTTATATCATATATCATAGTGTTGGGCAGAGGGAATCAACCGTCGTCCCATTTTAGTCAGGTTCCAAAGTTGACAATGGTGAAACTCTAAATGAGTGGTGGCCCTGATTCGTGTTGAGGTTTTACTCATCATTCCTATCTTCGATTCGTGAAATAATGGTCACTTGTGTAGGAAATATGCTCAAATCTGTACTTACCAATTCATTGGCGCAATTCCACCGTTGGAGGCAAGGCTCATAGTGGGTGGTGGTTATGGCAGGGGTCAGGGCAGTGCCAGGACAGTTTGTCACGGCAGAGGCGCCAGGTAATATGAGGACCATTCCAGCACTGGTGGAAAGTTTCCCCAACGGCCGAGTCAATTCATGTTTGTGTCTGAGGCCTCTGGAGGGAGCTCGGAGTGGGTGTGTGGTGACCCACTCCATAAGGTACATGCAGCAACATTGAGCAGCATATTACAAACACACTGTGGAGGACTCTCCAATTTCATCAGCAAGTTTAGAGCGTCTCTGGGTTTCCGGGAATGCTGACTTGGAATTATTTCTCTCCGACAGAGATGAAGGTGAGAATGAAGATTTGACCAAAGATAGTAATTATTTTAATGGTAATGCGAATTATATTGCCGACGACGATGATGGTGATGATGGCCCCAATAGCTGCATGAATCTGGCCTGTGTAGTACGCAGATGTTGCAGGTTAGTTGGCGGCCTGCGTCTAACAATAGAAAGCATCGATTACTTTAATATGGACGACCACGGTGGCTCCAATCCTGACCCTGACTCCTATATATTTGGAGTTTGAATGTCCTCCCTGGTTGATGATGAATTTCTCTCTGGATCCTCTAGTTTTTCTTTACACATTTAGAAACATCCGTTTAGATTATTTGGCTGCTCCAAGAAATTCCCACATGTGACGATGATATAAGCCATTTCGATGAGCTATTATGTGTGGCCAGGTCAATTCTGAAAAATAGCTAATAGTTCGCTGGGGTTTACCTGTTAAATAAAATAAATTAGTTTTAAAAGACTTCAGTTGTTGTATCGTGAGAGTATGTGTGAACATACATACAGTGAGGGTAAAAAGTATTTGATCCCCTGCTGATTTTGTACGTTTGCCCACTGACAAAGAAATGATCAGTCTATAATTTTAATGGTAGGTTTATTTGAACAGTGAGAGACAGAATAACAACAAGAAAATCCAGAAAAACGCATATCAAAAATGTTATAAATTTATTTGCATTTTAATGAGGGATATAAGTATTTGACCCCCTCTCAATCAGAATGATTTCTGGCTCCCAGGTGTCTTTTATACAGGTAACGAGCTGAGATTACGAGACCACTCTTAAAGAGAGTGCTCCTAATCTCAGCTTGTTACCTGTATAAAAGACACCTGTCCACAGAAGCAATCAATCAATCATATTCCAAACTCTCCACCATGGCCAAGACCAAAGAGCTCTCCAAGGATGTCAGGGACAAGATTGTAGACCTACACAAGGCTGGAATGGGCTACAAGACCATTGCCAAGCAGCTTGGTCAGAAGGTGACAACAGTTGGTGCGATTATTCGCAAATGGAAGAAACAAAAAAAGAACTGTCAATCTCCCTCGGCCTGGGGCTCCATGCAAGATCTCACCTCGTGGAGTTGCAATGATCATGAGAACGGTGAGGAATCAGCCCAGAACTACACGGGAGGATCTTGTCAATGATCTCAAGGCAGCTGGGACTATAGTCACCAAGAAAACAATTGGTAACACACTACGCCGTGAAGGACTGAAATCCTGCAGCGCCCGCAAGGTCCCCCTGCTCAACAAAGTACATATACATGCCCGTCTGAAGTTTGCCAATGAACATCTGAATGATTCAGAGGACAACTGGGTGAAAGTGTTGTGGTCAGATGAGACCAAAATGGAGTTCTTTGGCATCAACTCAACTCGCCGTGTTAGGAAGAGGAGGAATGCTGCCTATGACCCCAAGAACACCATCCCCACCGTCAATCATGGAGGTGGAAACATTATGCTTTTGGGGTGTTTTTCTGCTAAGGGGACAGGACAACTTCACCGCATCAAAGGGACGATGGACGGGGCCATGTACCGTCAAATCTTGGGTGAGAAGCTCCTTACCTCAGCCAGGGCATTGAAAATGGGTCGTGGATGGGTATTCCAGCATGACAATGACCCAAAACACACGGCCAAGGCAACAAAGGAGTGGCTCAAGAAGAAGAAGCACATTAAGGTCCTGGAGTAGCCTAGCCAGTCTCCAGACCTTAATCCCATAGAAAATCTGTGTGGGGAGCTGAATGTTCGAGTTGCCAAACGTCAGCCTCGAAACCTTAATGACTTGGAGAAGATCTGCAAAGAAGAGTGGGACAAAATCCCTCCTGAGATGTGTGCAAACCTGGTGGCCAACTACAAGAAACGACTGACCTCTGTGATTGCCAACAAGGGTTTTGCCACCAAGTACTAAGTCATGTTTTGCAGAGGGGTCAAATACTTATTTCCCTCATTAAAATGCAAATCAATTTATACCATTTTTGACATGTGTTTTTCTGGATTTTGTTGTTGTTATTCTGTCTCTCACTGTTCAAATGACCCTACCATTAAAATTATAGGCTGATCATTTCTTTGTCAGTGGGCAAACGTACAAAATCAGCAGGGGATCAAATACTTTTTTCCCTCACTGTAGAGGAATATCAGTCCATGCACATGTTAATTTATAGGCAGGTGTGCCACTCTTTGCCACACGTTCTTGGGCGAGCCTGATTGTGAGTGGTGCATGAACCCCGGTTAGGGCTGTGAGCAGTGGCGCTTGCTTCATGGCCGGGTTGCCGAATTCCCTTGCCCGAGTGCGAGGGAATGGGCTGGCATTCCTGGTTGGGTTGTAGTTCAAGTGCAGGCTAACCCCTTGCAGTCATGACTCAAGGAGGTGTTTCATTAAAAATTATGATGATCATCATTAAAGTAGGAGTGCTATGATGGCAATATGACAATGCTATGATTATTATTACTACGTTTGTTTACCCAGGAAAGCCGAAATGAGTTCCAAGACTCTTTTTCAGGAGGGTCCTGCCAAGTTTTCACAACAGCGGTTGCTGCTGTGAGTAATCTCAATTGAGTAATTTTAAAGTAATCTTTGAGCATTGGGATGTTTTACATTTTGCAGTGTTTTGCTTTGCAGGGAACTGGAGAACCCAGAGGAAACCCACACAGAACAGGGCGGAAAACATAAAAACTTCCCACAGAAGATGCTCAAGTGGGGAATCTAACCCACACAGAACAGGGCGGAGAACATAAAAACTTCCCACAGAAGATGCCCAAGTGGGGAATCTAACCCACACAGAACAGGGCGGATAACAAAAAACTTCCCACAGAAGATGCCCAAGTGGGGAATCTAACCCACACAGAACAGGGCGGAGAACATAAAAACTTCCCACAGAAGATGCTCAAGTGGGGAATCTAACCCACACAGAACAGGACAGAGAACATAAAAACTTCCCACAGAAGATGCTCAAGTGGGGAATCTAACCCACACAGAACAGGACAGAGAACATAAAAACTTCCCACAGAAGATGCCCAAGTGGGGACTCTAACCTAGGCCCTTCTTGCAGTGAGGCACGAGTATCGCCGCTGTGTCACCACCTCCCTGCTGCCACCGTCATGATAACAGTGTTAAGATGGCACTATGGCAATGTTCATGTTGATAATGATGAAACCGACTTACCTTGGCCTTTGAGTAAATGTTTTCCCCAATGCGTTTTGTACTTTCGAATATGTCGTCTCCAGGTCCCATGCTGATGCACGTCTTTGACTGTGACAAACAAAGACGCTCGCCGCTTCAACAAATCACCCTCCGGGTACGATGCACACCTTGTTCACCACGAGAGGGCGATGGTACCCAGAATGCCCCAGTCTGCTCCGTAACCCCGAGGGACCACCACCGCTAAGGGCTGTGTCTCATGTTCCCCTGGTCCCACAGTTTGGAAACTGCTCTTCTGGCTTCAATAACCATTCCTGACGTTATTATTATTTAGCCTCACTGAGTCTCAAGATTATTTATTTCAGAGGGTCCTGCAAAGCTTTCACAGGAGGAGGTGGTGATTGCTGTGCCTAATCCCCATTGAGTAACTTGCGGGTAACTTTTCAAATTAGAAAAATGTGGAGCATTGTGCTCTCTATTGCGAATGACGTCACGGAAATGTTTACATCCACTGTGACGGAAATATTTTTTGTTGTTAATACACATCTCAGCGTTAATTAGGGCGGCCACAGGAATTGAACCGTGAACCTCTACAACAAGCGGTGAACGCACTGTCACTGGGCCTTGGCACCACCCAGAGGCCGTGGCATCCACCACACGCATCTCTATTCAAAGCCCAGAAGACTCTCTCCTTCGTGGCTTTGTTGAATTCAAGCTTCGTGACCCACATGGTCACGCAGACACCTGCCTCTACAACTGTCTCTCGATACGAGAGTTGACTTCTGTTAATCCACGATGGTCTAATCTGCAGTCTCACTGTCTACTGCCACCTGTGGTAGACGCAAAGGCCGACCCCTAACTACGTTATTGACAAAACATCATACTGGGGAAGCTAAACATTAAAACTGCAGTGTCCAGTTTCAATCTGTGAAACAGCCGGAATAGCACAAGATACCCAGTCCACGCACAATCGGCCTCGTGTATTAAAAGACTGTGGGACGTTGCCACAGTGATGTGATGGACTGAACACCGGACTTGAACAACAGAGGTCACCGGTTCGATTGCATCTCCTTGTGCGGCATTTAAAACAATGGCTGAAGTTTCTTAAATCCTCCCCGCCTCTGTTCACCCGGCAGTATAAATGGGAACAGCACAATAATTTGATTGGCAGGTCTTGTGTAGTGGGGTAAAGTGTGGGTACTCCCACCTCTTCTAAGACTGGCGTGGAGCAGTAGGCCAAATACCCTCTACAGCAGCTCCCTTTAGTGGAGGCCCTTCCACCAGCAGTGGTGCGCGTTAAGCATCACAGCTGTTTACTGCGATGTGGAGCAATTCTGTGGCAAGGCAAGACACGTACCCCTCCAACAGCGCAGTAGCTGTTTAGGTTGGCACAGGAAACCCCAGTCTGGCTGCAGTGTGGGCCCTTGGTGTTGGGTGAGGAATCTCCCAAATTCGATGAAGAAAACAGCGCCACAAACGGTCCCTGCAGGGCAACAGGCAGACGCCGCGGACGACAGGTTAGTGCAGTCGCTTCCACCAGTCGCATGGAGGGTCACCGAGCGGTTCGAGACTCTACTTATCAATGCGAACAGGCTAAACACTTGGATGTGGTGAGGCTACCAAACGTCCCCTTTTGGCCAGCACAATGTACTGGTTTCAGAAATCACAAAATAACTCTCAACACATTCGTCAATAACGCCGCGGCTTTAAAATAAAAAAACACGCAATCGGCGCTGCATTCGAGCTATCGCCCTTCCACCAAGCTGCTTGGCAATGGTCTTGTAGCCCATTCCAGCCTTGTGTAGGTCTACAATCTTGTCCCTGACATCCTTGGAGAGCTCTTTGGTCTTGGCCATGGTGGAGAGTTTGTAATCTGATTGATTGCTTGTGGACAGGTGTCTTTTATACAGGTAACAAGCTGAGATTAGGAGCACTCCCTTTAAGAGTGTGCTCCTAATCTCAGCTCGTTACCTATATAAAAGACACCTGGGAGCCAGAAATCTTTCTGATTGAGAGGGGGTCAAATACTTATTTCCCTCATTAAAATGCAAATCAATTTATAACATTTTTGACATGCGTTTATCTGGATTTTGTTGTTGTTATTCTGTCTCTCACTGTTCAAATAAACCTACTATTAAAAATATAGACTGATCATTTCTTTGTCAGTGGGCAAACGTACAAAATCAGCAGGGGATCAAATACTTTTTTCCCTCACTGTAGAACATAGAGAGGGCAGAGAGATCGAGTGGCTACGAAGAATCTGAAACATGTTTTCCTGATGACCAGTTTTCAAATTGGCGTATGAATAATGATCGATTAAGTAGCTACTGAGCAAGAGGAAAACCCTTCAAAAATAATCAACATTTCCTCGATATCTCCCGGCCGGGCTCCGCTGCCTCCATCTCCTCTGTGGCGGCAGGGGTTGTGGTATGGGCAGTGGGAGTGCTGTGAGTCTGCAGACGAGTGGTAAGAAGGAAAAGCTCAACACGACCATTAACATAACAGTGGCCTTACAGGGGGATACGTATTTATAATCGGCGTATCAATGGCTGGTATTTTGTCTTCTATTAAAGAAAAGACTTGCTTGTGCGTGCGGTTGAATGCACACCGGTGTAGTATCCGTGGACACACATGTCCACAAGTGAATTGTTATACATGCTGGCACTCACCTCCCCAGGCAGGAAACCAGGGTTCATCTCCTGCTCGAACAGGTAGGCGGCATAGCCCATGTTGTCGCTACTGATGAGTTTATTCGTGAGGTTCATGCTGACAGCGTGGACCGCAAACCAGCTGTAGGACACACATAGGACACAGCACACACACCTATTAAGGCTAGCACGGCACACAAGGGGTTGGTGGCCAATACCACTCCAGGCCACCTTTGTCTCCCCAATGCTGATGTTTGAGTCGACTGCTCTATCACTCACGCCGTACAATAGAGGAGTGTCTGGGTTACCTCCGTACTGAGGCAGCTTTGCGTCTGAGTGCGACTGTTTGGGTTTATAAACTGAAACTAGAAGCCTCTTTTGTTTCACCAGGTAAGGCCCACTGAGCTATATTGTTATTTTTCAAAAGTGACCTGGCCACAATTAATAGCTCAATGAAGTGTGGCTTATCACGTGGAAATGTATAGCAGCCAAAGACTCTGAACGCGTGATGTTGATTCTAAATAGTTTAGGTAGATACTCTTTGGTTCTATTGGGTAAAGTCACGTAGGTGAAAATAAAATAACAAAAAATCACGACGTTTCGGCCACAACACAAGCGGCCTTCATCAGGTGAAGGGACGAGATTGTCTGGAGGACAACGCTGACAGTCTCGTCCCTTCACCTGATGAAGGCCGCTTGTGTTGTGGCCGAAACGTCGTGATTTTTTGTTATTTTATTTTCACCTACGTGACTTTACCCAATAGAACCAAAGAGTATGGATCCTAGCAGTCACGAAAGCTTTAAATCTAGAAAAGTTTAGGTAGAGTCGACCTTGGGACTGAATAGCCGAGGTAACGTTGGAGTGATATGATAGTTGTTGAGGTTATAACGATAGTGTTTAATATTATATACAGTACAGACATGAAGGCACTATTCTTAGTGCCACACCGTCGCTTTACCAGCAACAGTGTTGAGTATGCCTCGTATCCGCAGGAGTTTTAAATAAACGTACACCGTACAAGTTGGTGTCCTTGTGGAGAATATCGGCAGCAAAATAAGTAAGCAGGCGCTACCTCCTTCTTCCCATGTTGTCCCGTGGCAAACATTGCACGTGTTGATTTGACACCTCCCATTGGCTCTGCACGGCCTTGTGGGAGCTGCGATGTCTCTCACTCGCCCATGCTTTGGTGACGGAAATCGCCGATCGTGAGAGAACAGCGTGGGGTGACCTGAAACACCCCTCCAGCAGACAAGTGTCACCTCGAACACCGTCTCGCTTGCTCCAAATTATACTCCAGCTCTGCCCATTGGCATCGTGTCTTGGCGTCGGCAGATTTCTCCGTTTGGGACTCTTGCAGCGAGCAGCGCATTACCTTTGAAGAGGAGGCTCGAGACGGTTTAAGCAGGATCTTTATTCTCAAGGCAACTCACACCGTTCTTCCCACTCATCATCGAAAACCAACCCCGAACCCTCCAAATCGTCTCTCTTATGTAGCCCGTCTGCCATCCTTTTTTTTAACACGCATTCCCTTCTCGGGCTTACCGCTCTACTGCTAATCCTGCTGGGGGCCAATCCGACCGGAGTGCCCTCCCCTCAATCATCGCAATGGGTGGCGTACACGGCAGCGCCCCCGTGACCCTTAACCCGCGCTCCCGTGACCCTTTACCTGCGCCCCCGTGGCCCTTAACCCGCGCTCCCGTGCCCCTTTACCTGCGCCCCCGTCGTGACCCTTAACCCGCGCCCCCGTGACCCTTTACCTGCGCCCCCGTGACCCTTAACCCGCGCTCCCGTGCCCCTTTACCTGCGCCCCCATCGTGACCCTTAACCCGCGCTCCCATGACCCTTAACCCGCGCCCCCGTGACCCTTAACTCGCCCTCCCGTGCCCCTTTACCTGCGCCCCCGTCGTGACCCTTAACCCGCGCTCCCATGACCCTTAACCCGCGCCCCCGTGACCCTTAACTTGCGCTCCCGTGCCCCTTTACCTGCGCCCCCGTCGTGACCCTTAACCCGCGCCCCCGTGACCCTTAACCCGCGCTCCTGTGCCCCTTTACCTGCGCCCCCGTCGTGACCCTTAACCCGCGCCCCCGTGACCCTTTACCTGCGCCCCCGTGACCCTTAACCCGCGCTCCCGTGCCCCTTTACCTGCGCCCCCATCGTGACCCTTAACCCGCGCTCCCATGACCCTTAACCCGCGCCCCCGTGACCCTTAACTCGCCCTCCCGTGCCCCTTTACCTGCGCCCCCGTCGTGACCCTTAACCCGCGCTCCCATGACCCTTAACCCGCGCCCCCGTGAGCCTTAACTCGCGCTCCCGTGCCCCTTTACCTGCGCCCCCGTCGTGACCCTTAACCCGCGCCCCCGTGACCCTTAACCCGCGCTCCTGTGCCCCTTTACCTGCGCCCCCGTCGTGACCCTTAACACGCTCCACCGTGACCCTTAACCCGCGCCCCCGTGACCCTTAACCCGTGCTCCTGTGACCCTTAACCCGCGCCCCCATGACCCTTAACCCGTGGTTGTGTCGCGTTTGTGTGTGAGGATGTCCCGAACATCCTCTACACCTTGTATAACAGACTGGCCCAAATTGAAGTGCCCCTGTTGAAGTGCCTTTATTAGGCGTCCTCAATACTGGGGCTACACCATTCATATACCCAACAAGGAGGTTTCGCTGGATGTCAATAGACCCACTACTTAATTTACAGAGCTGCATAAGACCAATTCAGAAAAAAAACAATGTTTATTTTTGTTCTGCAGTCTTTGTTCAACCAATCAGGGATGGATGTGGGAGTCTGATAGGTGGACACATCTTCCGGCTTCACGGTTGACTGATGATCCGGACAAAGTGTGGGGCTACCGGAGTAGTGGGCGAGGCTGGCAGAGTGGCGAGCGGGGCCTATGGGCACAAAGTGGGGACCAACATCCAGACAGTGTAAGGAGGCCACTCTCACTGTGAGCGGTGGGGGTAGTGACTAGGTAGGCGTGGCTATGTGAAAGTGGGCGTGGCTGGAGGAGTGAGAAGCTGCCACCGGAGAGCCTCCTGGTTGAGCCTCCCAAAAATGCTTCGTGAGGAGGAGGCCTGTAAGAGATGTGGGCCTCACGTCACCACTCCGATGGGTGTGCCCTCCTGGTCCACGAGCTTCAGGAGCAATATGTCCTCATCGGTGTTGGTTTTGTACCTGCAGAAATAGAACACCGCTCAATATATACGTTTCCCGTGATAATTTCTGGATGTTGACCACACAACACAGTTGGATTCCTTCAGCGACGACCATGGGAATGGGTGCACTTTGTTATATTGCCATGGCAAGTGGGGACTCGGAACACATCATCTTTCTGTAACCAAATGTTTTTGTAGTTTTAAACTGCGTTTAACACGTAGACTTTCGCGTAAATATAAATGTGTTGTAAAACCCGCCACCATTCGACACAGTCAATTAGTAAGGTTTGTCATCTAAAAAAAACGAAAGGAAAATTAATTATTGGGGCCCCCATTTGCAATGAGATATAAAGTATAAATAAATGTGAGAAATGTAGTAAATGGAGAGAGATGTAAACTAGAGACAGAGATGACGTGAGCTGGACAAATGGAGATGCAGATATAGGTGTTCACGGGATGTAGGATAGAAGACCATTTGAATAGATGAGTTACAAAAAGAGAAGAGCAGAAAATTGGCAATGCCGATGCCTGGCTGCGTTGCGATTGAAGTGAAATTTCCTCCTGCGCAGGGACGAACACAGCGTGAAAAATAATCAGAAAAGGATCTTGGCCCTGTAAAGACCACAAGATAAAAACAGATGCTGCTACGCGCCCTCAGCGCCGTTCCATAAAGTGCCCGGATCGCTTCAGGGATCATCGGCGGCAGAGCTGAGCCATCGTTCGGTGCCATCAGCACACAACGCTCCAGGGAGTTGGCGCTGTCCAATTTGAACGTACCGAGACGAAGCCAAGTGTCACAGCCTGGCACATCTGCGTCTCCGTATCCTCCGTCACTGTTGTTGTTGCTGTTAACGAATTGCCTCGTGACGTTTTTATTTCGGTATATGAAAGTATTGGTGGTACACCGGTGCAGCATAACACACCGGTCCTCATAAAACAGTCTCTAAGCAACATTTGAACCGACATTCCTCTTCCGACTGCTTGGACATCACGAGAACTGATGTTGACGCATCACCACTACCACCACCCCGCAAGATTTTCTGACCGGGGTTGCGAATCGCGGTTTGTGTACCGCTCAATAAGTTCATATTCTGTCCGGTTTTATGGACTCCAACGATCGTAACGGCTACTCGTGTAACGTGTCGGCACCCCGTGTGGCAGGAAATGCAAACATTGCGTAATGTGAAGTGGGGCTTGTTTACGGCGCGAAGAACGTTCCACGCGAGGCACTGCAGTTCAAAGGTTTCCTTCCCGTGGTCGCGAGCGGAGCGCGGGAAGACGTGCAGAACGGTACCTGCTTCTCTCCGCTGCTGGATTATTCAGGTAGGAGAAGGGGCTGCGGTTGATGTTGCTTTCTTTCACCTCCCCTCGGCTGAGAAAGAGGTTGCCTGGCTTCATGTTTCCATGGGCAATGTCAATACTCTGGAAAACAAATGCACTTTGAATAAACAAAAAATTACCGTACCGGTAGAGTCAAGCATTCCACGCCATTCCAGCAATTCATGGGTTCCTGGTCATTGGCGGCAGCAATTCTTCCAACATTTTTTCTGCGAGCGGTCACAATCTGCTGCTCTGGCGAAATCTTTCCGTTTCACGCATGGCTCACCCGAGTTCCGATCAGTCCGTGTGAGCCGAGTTTGCATCAGAGCAGAGGTGTGTGCCAGAAGAGAAGTTTCGCGTGGAATCGTGCCGATGTGCTGTGCAAGGCTCACGTGAAGGATGCCTGAAGTGATGGCTTCAAAGCAGGGTTTGATGAATCCTTGAGAAGCAACCACGAAGAGAGAGTACTGGAAGTATCCTCCGGGTCCCGAGTGAGTGTGGGTCCCACTCAGAACCACGTTCGACTCATTGTACTGTGATCCGTATTTATCCTTTAGCCGCATTAACACCTAAAAAAAGATCATTTCAACATGAACACTGTAACTCAACGGCACTGCACAGCTGTAGTAGTATCCTTTATTGAACATAAGTGTCCTGCATTTAACCGAGCAGGAGATATTCAGGCTTATTGAGATACACAAATAAAATAATAAAAATTTACATTTTTTTCAATCCGCTGCTGGATGAAGGCCACACCGTGTCGGTTACAGGGGTTGTTTGAACATACTTCACCACGGTGGGCATCGTTCATTGGTGAAGGGTGGGCCCAGGACCGGTCCAGATATATCTCGCCACTGATGTCAGCCGTGGCTGAAACTCGGGTGGTCAGTATCGCTTAGTGTCGACGTTAGTGCACTGCTGCAGCAACTGCTGTGAAATGCCTCTGAACCTCGGCTCATGTTGTCCGCACGCCATCTGCGGATCAGTTGCACGTCAGACAAAATGTTTATATTGCCAGGGACATCACGGGCGATAGCGGGAGAGACTGACGACCATCGGTAGCGGCTGCAGATAAGATGGAGATGCGGTGTCAGGGGAGAGAATGCATCTTGGCGATAACGCCAGAAAAACGAACCAGGGGCTCCCATCTCGTCTCCTTGTCAGTGGGTCGCGAAGTGAGATCGGAGAATGGTTCAAATGTGATGTGGGGATCCTTGTTTATCCAGGAGAGACCCACTGAATCTCGGGACACTTTTTTGCAGGAGTGTCTTGCCGATTGTTTTTTGTTTGTTTGCAGTAGAGGGTGATACTGCCGTGTGGAATCCCAATGGAGTAGTTTGCATGAATTGTTTCGGCATTGGAGTGTTTGGCCAATACGAGCTGCACTGTCGACGTTTTGTTTAGCTATGGGTTGGAAAGCGGGCGATTGGGAGAAAACTCGTGCACAGCAGGAGAAGACCGTACAAACGCCATGCGAAAAGGGCCCGAGTTTGATATCGGACCTAGATTCTTCTTGCCGTGAGGCAAAAGTGTTACCATCCTCCAGCCATATTTACTCTGTTGTTCGAAAGCGACCTGCAATTGGTGGGAGTACATTGTGGGTACTCCCTGCTCATCCAAGATACCTGGCCAGTGTGGAAGAGTAAGCCAAGTCCCCCCAGAGAAAGTGACTCACCTCAAGCCTGACCTTCTGCGAGATCATGCCGACATCAACGCTGACGAACACGACCCGGTTGCCGCTGAAGTCGGCCGCGATGAAGGCGCGGCTGTAGAGGCGCGTGTGGATTCCCTTGGAGACCTGCGACGGGCTGGCGTAGCCCATCTGGTGCACAAAGCGTTCACAGTCTCCTCACCGTGCGGCACGGACCTCGACGATGCCGCTCCCTCGTGCATTCTGCTCCGTCAGCAAGGGCCCTCTCCGCTCTTCTGAATCTGCCTGCTGGTGCGCTGCTTTTGCGATGGGCATTCATTCTCATCAAATACAAATTGGGATTAAAAGAGCGAATCAAGTGTGTGTGAGTCGGTGTGTGAGTGGGTGTGTGAGTGAGTGAGTGGGTGAGTCGGTGTGTGAGTGAGTGGGTGAGTCGGTGTGTGTGTCCGGCAAAACAACCCCCTACCTCCTCGCGGTGACGGACAGGCAACTCTGTCGTGGATAGTGCTGTGGGGAGAGGGCCATTTCCAATTGGCCTCTCCCCTCATGGCATCTGTGATCACCACAGTGGCTAAACGGGGGCTCTGGATGGGTGCGAGGGGCTGGTAACCCCTCCACCTTCAAAAAATTACCACGAAACCACGACTTAAATATATGACTAATAAGCTTGTGCCGGAGGCCCCGGGGGGACAGGCGTCTATGATGTCTCCTGCCCAAACTTCAATTGGCGGAGCCAGGAGATTGAATCTCTACCCTCGGGGCTCCTCCAGAAACAACGAAAAGCCACTTCGTGTGGCCACGTGGAATGTTCGAATGCTCACTGTGGAGGAGAGGCTGCCACTCCTCTGTCGGGAGCTGGATCGGTACCGCCTGGATCTTTGTGGCATTCAGGAGATCCGGTGGACCGGTTCTGGCTCCTGCCACCATGAGGGGTGGACAGTCCTCTACTCGGGGCAGCAGACTGCCAAACAACAGGGTGTGGCTCTTCTTTTGAACAAATGAATGAAGGGGGTGTGGGAGCGTGGCGGTAAGGTGTAGGAAGCTGTAAGCCCCAGGCTACTTTGGGCTCGCCTTCCCATCAACTGGAGGCGAGGAGTGGTGGTCGTGGTTACTTATGCCCCCACCGAAGACGAACATCCGTGGAGGGATGCAGGCAAAGCCGATGAGTCAGATGCCCTCTATGACCTCCTGTCACAGGTGCTGGCTAAAGTGGCACCTCGGGATAGAGTCATCTTGTTGGGTGACTTCAATGCCGGAGTTGGTCATGATGATGGCACCTGGTCTAGAGTGATTGGAGGGCATGGGCAAGATCAACTCAATAACAATGGTAGGAGGCTGCTATATTGTTGTGCAGCCCATGGGCTTGTAATTACCAACACGCTGTTCCGGCATCGGCGCATCCACACAACATCATGGATGCATGCCGGGTCCAAGCAAGAACATCTGCTGGAGTACATAGTGACGGACCAGCAGATGCGAGCCCATGTCCTTGACACCAGGACCTACCGTGGAGCTGATCTGCCTTCTGACCATCGACTTGTCATCTGTAAGATGCGCCTGCCATTCTTCCACTCTGGTGGTGGGTGTACACCCAGGACCCCATTCCAATCTAAAGTGGCCTGGTCTCAGTTATCTGATGAAAGTTGTAAGCGAGAATTTCATCATCGCTTGCAGCTGGGGTTGGCATCGTCCCCCACTCCTGATGTCGAGGGTAAATGGGCGAGGTTTAGGACTGTGACTCATGCAGCTGCATTGGCTGCTTTGGCTACGCGGCCCAGACCTCCCCAGAGACCCTAGCTGACAGAGGAGGTGTTCAGGATAGTTGAGAAAAAGCGACAGGCCCACTGTCATCAGCTACAGAATCCCACGTCAGAGAATGAGGAGGCTTACCGCAGCCTTCGCTCGGAGGTTTGTAGATCCGTGAAAAGGTGCTGCAAGGATGGGTGGTGGTCGCGGGTTCCTGAGAAGATGGAGTCTGCCTTAGTGGCCCGCGATCACAAATCTCTATTTAACTCCATCAAAAAAGTAACCTGCAGCGCCACACCTATTACCATTATTAGAGGAAAAACCGGTGATCCAATCTCCGACCCCCAGCAACAGGTTTGCAGATTTGATGAACATTTCTGTGAGGTCCTGGGAGAGGGAAAATCTATCAGCCAGGAAAACATCGTGGTACAAAGTGGGGATGACCCTGCTGAGGCTGCGGTCCCTCAAATATTGGAATAAGTCACCCCCTGTGAGTGGCTGGCTGAGGTGCCATCTGTTGAGGAAGTACTGAAGGCGATCCGGAGTCTGAGACCAGGAAAGGCACCGGGCAGAGATGATCTCCCAAGCGAAATGCTGAGAGAGGGTGGCGTTTGTGCACAGACGGCCCTATATGACATCATAACAACAGTCTGGACCACTGGACGGGTTCCGCAGGATTGGAAGGATGCCTTCGTGGTCCCCCTCTTTAAGAAGGGAGACCGCACAGACTGTAACAACTACAGGGGCATCTCACTCCTCAGTGTGCCGGGAAAGGTCCTGGCAAGGATTATGCAACATCGCCTTGCCAGGCACGCTGAGGAGAGGCTTGCGGAGCCCAAATGCGGTTTCAGGAAAGGGCGGTCCTGCACAGATGCCCTATTTTCTGTCTGTCTGCTACAGCAGAGGAGTAGGGAATTCCAGAAAGACCTACATCTCTGCTTTATTGACCTGGTCAAGGCCTATGATACCATCAGTAGGCCTGGGCTCTGGGTTATTCTTCGTGCCTTTGGAGTCCCTGACTTTCTGCTCACGATCATTAAGGACCTTCATGATGGTGAGCGGGCCCGTAAAACTACGTGACCGGGAGTCAGATCCATTCCCTGTACACCTTGGGGTGCGACAGGGATGTCCTCTGGCTCCCACATTATTTAACATCTATTTTGACCAAGTAGTTCGTGAAGCCTTCAATAGCTGTACCGGAGGAATCTCCATTTGGTACAGATATAATGGGAGGCTGATCGATGCCCGGGTGCGGTCAAGGGATGGCTCCCTATTGCTCAACCACGTTATATATGCCAATGATTTGGTAATAGCTGCTCATGCAGAGGAGGAGTTGGAGACGCTGCTGCTGAGACTGGAACGTGCCACTAAGAGATGGGGCCTTACCATCAGCCCCACCAAAACTAAGCACCTGCCTGGGTATTTTGTACCATCGGACACTCCACCCCCACAACTCCCAATCAGTGATGGGGCAGTTGTGGAGAGAGTGGAGAGTTTCCCATACCTGGGCAGTGTGCTTATGACCGGCTCTAGTTTAACAGCAGAGGTCTCACTCCGAATCAGTCGAGTGGCAATATCTTTTCATCGGTTGAGTAATGCTGTGTGGAAGCTACCTGGTCTGTCGCTCCGCACTAAGCTTCAGTTCTTCTCGGCCATGGTCATTCCCTCCCTTCTCTACGCTTGCGAAACGTAGACCCCCCTGGTGGAACATCTTCGCCGGTTGGAAACATTTGGGCTAGCCTACCTACGATCCATCCTGGGTTTAACCAGGCCGGATTGTGTGAGGAGCTCACAAATCCTTGAAAGATCTGGGCAAGGTCCCATCGGTGAGCTCCTCCGGCAGGCAAGGCTGCGTTGGCTGGGTCATGTAGCCCACATGCCCAGCCACCGCATGCCGAAATAGCTTTTGTTCGGCCGGATCGGGGGGGCTAAACGGGCGCGGCACGGGCTAGAGAAGAGATGGAGTGATGTGGTACAGGAGGACGTGGAGCTGAGTGGACTTGCCGATGACTGGTACCAGCGCTGTCAAGATCAGCCTCTGTGGAGGAGGATCGTGAAGGACGCTACTGGGCAGTTGGAGGCAGTCGCCCTCCAACAACAACGGAGGGCGGAGGAGTGATGCTCACAACAATGAGCGGAGCGCCGGGTGGCTAAAGCACAGCAGGTTGGCACAGTAGGGGGCACAGGTGGTGCATCAGCCAGCCATCTCAGTCATCTTAGTCAGTCGACCCGTGGCACTTGGGTCTGCCCCGTGACCTCCTGCCAGCGGGCGTTCGACACTTCACGTGGCCTCAAGGTGCACATGGCCTGGCACAAGCGTCGTGGTGACGTCACCGCCATTTAGTGGCGAATGGCGGTTGTTGTGTGTATGAGTCGGTGTCGTGGTAACGTCATCGCCACTTAGTGGCGAATGGCGGTTGTTGTTGTTGTGAGTCGGTGTGTGAGTTGGGTTGTGAAGCGCTGTGTGAGTGGGTGTGTGAAGCAGTGAGTGTGTATCATGAATGTCTGGCCAATGCATTTGGCCTTTGGTACCATTGCCACTTCAACAGCAGGGCCTGTGCAGTCCGCTCGTCCAACACCAATCATATAGTTGATCTGCCGACTCTCTGTCTCTGAAATTCAGTAACATAATACGTTTGTATATACAATGATAACACTAATTTTGGCTTATTTACCAAGGAATTAGCAACACTTTTTCAGGAGGGCACTGCATTGTATGTTTGTATATTAAGGTGTGTTCAACCAGTTGATGAGTGGGAGTGAACAGGAGCACCCGGATTTAACTATTCATGCGAGGGGCAACACACTATTCCAAACAAATGGATCAGGTGGAGTCCAAATTTTGCCGTTAGAACAGATGAACATTCGTCCGTACTTGCTGGACCACCTTCTTCTGGCAAGTCTCCACAAATGTGCTATAGCACGTGCCATGTACATCAACATCCCGTATACGTCAGCATCTCGTGTACCGCAGTACCTCGTATACACCAGCATATCGTTCATCTGTACAAGAACACAGCCATTACATACTCAAGCCTCACAAATCCATCTTTATGACTACTCAACCTGACCTCTCCAATCTTTCCGAGTGGCTCGTGTAGGTTAATCAAAATCCCAGCCGGTGAATGCAATTCCTCTCTGGACCCCTCTCGCTACAACCCCTGCGGTGTTGAAATGATCCCCGAAACTATATCGAGGTTTTTTTTTTTTTACATACGAGATCTACGCTCGGCCCGTGAGTGCAGTCCCAGAAGATCCTCGGGCTCCAACATCCAAACTGATGAGAGAAGGCGCCGGGTATTTGTTCTCCATATCTCACTGAGCGGCGCCACGGCTCAGCGGTAACGGGTCTTCGCCTGTTGCAGAGGCTCATAGTTCGAATCCGGCGGCCCACCACGGTAAATACTGCGTGCGTGTGTACACTAACTACGGTGAAACTACGCGCCGTCTTCTCCTCCGTGGACGTGCTTAAGATCCCTTGACGTCATTCGCAAGTGTAGGCCGTTGTGTGCTGGCATGATGGTCCAAATTTAAAAATGAACTCGCATTTGGAACGTGCATCGTAATCATCGCCCCCTCCTTCAAACACATCACAGGAGTGACGAGATTCATTGAGACTGGCATTACAACGTTTGATTATTCTTTAAGTTGATATTTTATCTCATTATCATTATTTATATTATTCTTCTTCCTGTGGGGTGGTCACCTCAAACCCGTAGTTCGTAAAACACGACCAAGAACCCCTGAATGAATTGAGGCTAAACATAATTGTTGAATGTTCAAAGATTATATTGGTCATCTTTAAATAAAAATTCTACATTTAATTCAAAAGAGCATTCATGAATGCATTGTTAATGGAAGTCAAGTTGTTAAAAGAAATAACATCACCCTTTGGATTTCAGTAAAATAAATATAATCCCTTGTGCCCTGACCTTTGGGCCACCCTGTATATTTAGGATATTGAAACTCAGTCAAAATTACAAACTCACGTAGCCAAATAAAACGCGATAAATATTTACGCGTATATTTGTCCATTACATATATTATTTCTTTCTTTATATTTATGATGTAATTCTATTTGTTATATATTTATACTTATTTATATTCCGGATTTATTTATATTTGTTCATTACATACCAGGATTTCACGCGCGAAACCCCTTGAGATGGTTTACAACAGTGGTCAAGCGCCTTGACGCGTCCATCGAAGCAAACATGATGCGTACACAGATTAAAATATCACGTTGAGTGTCCCACTGGAACGATTCATTACATTTCACCGAACTGCATTTAGACCGGGTTAAGCAAGTATGTCTCTTTGGTGTTTGACAGACATGGCATCTTAACAGACTTTGCACATGCGTTTCAATTTACTGATATGTGTGTGCAGCGCTTTATATTACCTGGTTGAGTTTCAGTTGTCTTTAACCACAGTAGCACTGACAGCGACACCGCGACCGCCGTCATCAACGTCAGAATCGCCGACAAAATTGCCACTAAACCCTTGGCCATTTTTCACAAAATGCGACGTCAAGTGTCGCCGCGCGGATGCTGCTACGGGGTCTGGTGGAGGTTACCGCACTGTATTCGCACCTGCGGATTTCACCTTCGTCGAGTCTGAGGTGGGGGTAAAGGTCAGCTTCCCACTCAGATAACGATATCTGTGTTCAGGTGTGGACCCGATAAGGTTTTTTTGTAATTGCATACTGTATGAGCGTGTATTTAAGAGTGTAGAATCACGGAATTCTGTCTGCAGTTCGTATCCTACAGATCAGAGGTTTACAGCTTGTTTTTCAGCATGGTTACGGCAGCACAATTTGGTCCTCCAAGATCTGCGGTCTAAGAGTGCCACGCACGCAATGGTGATGTCACAAACCCATTATTAAATAACACCTTCATGATGACGCAAATGTAAGCAGAACTCCATTCTGCTTTTGCAAAAAACTTATTTATCTGAAGACTAAATATTACTTTCCATGAATGAAAATTCAGATTCAATATTGAAAAAAAATTAATTACGAAGTTAAATTAAATATGATGTTTCGTTTTGTATTACACTTAAGTTATATCCTCTGGATTCGTGTGTTGTATGAGTGTGGTTGATCGTGAGGGTATGGTTGGGCTTTTGGGGCTGTCACCTCCAAAAGGCGGAATTGGAGAAGCTCTCAAAGGTCCCAAAACCAAGAAGCCATCTATGAACACAGGTACTGCTTGGTTTTGTAGAGATGAATTCTCAACCTCACGAGTGGGAGCCCAGATACTGCTTGGTTTTAGAGAGATGAATTCTCAACCTCACGAGTGGGAGCCCAGATACTGCTTGGTTTTAGAGAGATGAATTCTCAACCTCACGAGTGGGAGCCCAGATACTGCTTGCTTTTAGATAGATGAATTCTCAACCTCACGAGTGGGAGCCCAGATACTGCTTGGTTTTAGAGAGATGAATTCTCAACCTCACGAGTGGGAGCCCAGATACTGCTTGGTTTTGTAGAGATAAATTTTCAACCTCACGAGTGGGAGCCCAGGTATTGCTTGCTTTTAGAGAGATTAATTCTCAACCTCACCTACAGGAAACGGTCACTGCCCAAATGTAAAATAAACCACAATACAAATGATACAAAGTTCTAAATTGTTTTTGTTTCAAACCACAGACCCATCAAGGTAAGCAGATTCCAGGGCAAGGATTAAGGGAAAGAGAACAGAAGTAATGTAACCGGAGGTGTTGCAAAGGAAGGGAATATTTAAGATTTTCCAGCAGTTACAATGCAATGAGATAACGTGAGTCACAAAAAACCAAGGTCAACATGAATGGCGGTAACACAATTTGGTCAGATTATATCTCTATCAACAAACAGCGATGAAAGTTCAAGACCTCCACTGCTCAATGACGGCAGAAAGAGTGTTGTGAACCGAAGGTCACAGGTCTCAGACGAAAAGGTCCAAGTGGGGGCCCGCCAAATTGTCGCAAGGTCAAAGGTCTCAGACTCGCAGATCTCAGACTCGCAGGTCTTGGCACTCGCAGGTCTTGGCACTCGCAGGTCTTGGCACTCGCAGGTCTTGGCACAGGCCGCGGTGCAGAGGTCACCAACTCGCAGGACTCAAAGGTCTCGGGCAGGGACCCAGTCGAGTTGTGCAGCTCGGAAGAGCGCAAAGTTCTGCTGGGGCAGCCACCGGGTAGAGGTAGCAAGAACCGAGCAGAGGTGGCAAGGTTGCAACGCCGAGTTGCACGAGGAAAGCTCCTCAACCCCCCCCCAAGCAATCTGCTCCTAACACGGTACCGGCATCGCCTGTGCAGGCAGTCATCGACTTACGAACATAATTAGTTCCCGAGGCCCGTTTGTAAGTCGAACAGTTCGTAATTCGTAACATAACAATGTATTGTATTTAAGAGTCCATAGGTCAGTGTTATGAAATGTGGCACGGTAAAACAAAGAAAAAATATTGTACATTTGAATATTATGCTGTAATAAATACTTTACAGTAATTAAAAGAAAGCAACAAAAAATGTTAACAAATGTTTTCACTGACCTTGAGTCCTGATGCTCGCTTGCTTGTCAGAAGGGGCGCAATGAGTCACCACAATTGGACACACACGGGGCACGCGTGCACGCACACAACAATAACAGTGCTTGTGCCAGGCTAGGTGCACATTAAGGCTACGTGAAGTGTGAAACGCCCGCTGGCAGGTCACGGGACAGACCCAGATGCCATGGGTTTACTGATTGAGATGAGTGGCTGATGCACCACCTGTGCCCCCTGGTGTGAAAACTTGCTGTGTTTTAACCGCCCGGCGCTCCGCTGTTTGTTGTGAGCGTCGCTCCTCTGCCTTCCGTTGTTGCTGGAGGGCGACCACCTCCAACTGCCCAGCAGCAGCATCCTTCACGAGCCTCCTTCACAGAGGCCGATCTTGACAGCGCTGGTACCAGTCATTGGCAAGTCCACTCAGCGCCATATCCTCTCATATTGAGTACATTGATTATATTGATGTAGTTTATATTTAGGTTTTTTCACATCGGTTTATTGTATGGTAGTAGGGTATTTGCAGTTATTTAGAAACTCCCTTTTTGTTTCCCACATAATACACTAGCTTGATACGCGGTGGTTTGGCTGCTGCAGTTCTTTATTATTAACATTTTCCTCCCTTTATTACTGCTAATCCTACATAATACACTAGCATAATATGACTTTGAGACAACTCACCGCCTACACATTCCGCAAGAAGTGACTAAACCCATATCTGCATTTATCATCAATATGCTGAATTCATCTGTTGATATGTAAACTTCTTTGTCAAGGCGCTCTCCTCCTCCCACCCAACTTAAAAGACGCTGCCAAACTTAGCAGTGTTCATTGGAGCGCTGTCTTTCCGACAACTGTGTTCTTCACCTAAGGACGGCTGCTTGCGTTGTGGCCGAAACGTCGTGAGAATTTTATTATATTATGTTTTATTTTTTTTATTGTATTATTTCCCATCTACGTGACTTTACCGAAAGAACCAAGAATATTATATAACTGTTCGTACAATATATCTGTTAGAACAGAACTTGCTACTGTCAGGGCAGTACCTATAATTGTTAATATCTTGGCTGTGAGTGGCCAAACACAAGGCAATGTCCACGAACCCTGCCTCTGTATCTGACAGGGAGTGTGCTGCAAAACAAAACATGCACACATTTACATTTGCACCATTCGCAGAACCAGGGCTCAATCTCCCCGTAAATATTTCCCGGATTGTTGCTCGACTGGCGTGGAGATTGTCGACGTAAGCCACTACCACGAGCGTACGAGGTATACCAACACTGTACGTCATATTATACTACCGTACCCTTTATTATTCCAATGGTCCTATGAGGACAAAATACATTGTGGTGGGTGTGGCTTGGTGCCAAAATAATTCCAGGACAGCGTTGTGGACTGTGTGCTGCCACGGCTGTGGAGCCACCCGGCTCCCGTCACAGCGCTCCCCCCACCACCCCCCACATAAACACACACACACATGCCCTCACGTAGGGCCTCGTGGGGGGGGGGGGGGTCGTCTGCCCCTGAGTGTTTACCCGGGAGACCCCCTCGTAGGGGTGCTCCACGGTTTCTCAGAGCCAGGGAATTGGCAGAACCCCTCCCAGGCCGAATGACACTGCGGCGCCGTGGAGTGACTTAAAATTGTATGGCCACGGCGAACTCACTGAGGACCGCATTGAGGAAATGCCCAAGGCACCCGCGGACCAGCAGGCAGGTGGGGGGTGGGGCGGCACCGGTTGACCCTTTGGGAGGAATACACGACAGGGGGGCGGGGCGGGAGAGGCGAAACTACCGATTGGATAAGGGGCCAGCGGGTCGGCGGCACGTAGGCTCTGAAGCTGGGGATGAAAAGGAGTGAAAGTGGGAAGCAAGCTCTCTTTTCGCTGGGGATCAACAGGAGGGAGGAATCGAGGAGTCGTCATCTCCCTGCTTCTGGAACGTCCGTGAGACGGGTCAGAAAGCAGACGGATTCAGTTTCCCCAGCAAAAGCCACGGGTAGCATCATCTTTCCGCGACCCCCCAACACCACGAGGTCGGACGGTAAAGTACGAAGAGGAGAGGTAAGGCAAGGGGAGAAATCCTGAGAGAGAGAATAGAGGGAGGACAGGCCACTTGAATATCAGACCGTAGGGGGATAGGTTAGATCTGTCCTGCTGGTCCACACCGACACGGGTAGATTAACTCTAATTAAATAGAGAATAAACCACCAGTAGACACTAATCCGTGTCGTGTCGTCTCTGTGAGCACGGGGAGGGAGGGGAGTGCGAGGTGCGGTGAGCCTGTGCGTTGGGTGGTACAGCTATTTGAATCATGCTTCTGCGAGGAGCAGTGGCGGGTGGGGGAGCAGGGGGGAGCGGGGGGGCACAGGAGAACGAGGAGTCGAGGGGCAGCAGCCCTAACAACTGCTCTGGCTCAAATGAATCACTGCTCATACACTCAAGGCTATCCCATCGACACTGTATCTTGCGGAGTCTGTGGTAGTTTCATCACAGGGGGCATTGCCGCTCTGCGGTTCATTCCCAAGTCGGGGTTCGTCAGGTCGCTCGTCCCTCAATCCGCTTGTCCTGGCGAGGGTCGCGGCGGCAGCTTTATTGAGTAGGGCGTTCCACAGCTCCCTTTCCCAGTTATTTGCGACTAAATGGCAACGAGTCACGCTTGCATCACTTGCTGCACTGAGTGACTTTACGAACGTTCTGGTGGCGATCGCCATAATCAGTCTCGGATGTTGTTGGCCATTGCTCTGCTTCTAGTTCTGGGTTTCTAATGCATTACCCACAATGCAGAGAGCTGGTGTGTTGGCCGTGCATTATGAACACAATGAAACAAAAACATCCATCGGTTTATAGTTGCTGTTTTAATAGAGTACAAATATTTAATCACGTTTTCCATAGCCACTTGAAAAAAGTCCACTACACCACACAACACAGAAATGTTGGGTGTAGTATACTGCAGTTACAACATGTGACGTCACTATCCCGATAGATTTAAAATGCATGCAGCTGATTTTGGAATTATTGTGAGTGCAAATATTAAAAGTGACATAACTAAAAGTGTACCATGAACATCCACGTGATTGTTGTGTGAGATCGGTGAGCCATGTAATTTACCACGGCCCTGAGTTTCGTGGTCCCCAACGTGGCGGTGGGTGGTGGATGGTGGTGGTGGGTGCTGGCGTGTGGTGATGCGGCGTGGGTGATGGTGGTGGTAGTGGGTGATGGTGGTGGTGGTGGGTGATGGTGGTGGGTGATGATGCGGCGTGGGTGGTGGTGGTGGTGGGTGATGGTAGTGGGTGATGGTAGTGGGTGATGGTGGTGGTGATGCGGCGTGGGTGGTGGTGATGGTGGTGGTGGGCTCGATGGATCTACACAGCCGTGGGGCGTTGCTTGTGCTGCTGGGTCAGTTGTGAGCCGCAGGGAAGAGCCCTCACACTCCGGATCAAGCCTCACAGTTGGGGCTCTCCGTCGCCATGTACCACACTTCATTGTGACGATTCAGCATTTTTGTCGGTCTGCAAAGAGAATCATTCGTTTGCACGGTGGTGTCGAGCATATCGCACCACTGACACATGCTGCAAGCAGACTGCAATGACGATGGCACTGTAACAGCGAGCGTGCATCCCCTTGTTGCTGCTGCTGCGAATCGAACATGCTTCATACCGACACTTCCACATTGACATTTCAGCCACTGGTCATAATCATTCACGTCAATATCACTTTAGAAGACTTTCATGAGTACAGGGACACCACGTTGTGGCTGTTAATTGATGTGTGGTTCCGTGCGGTAAGCGTCCACCTTGGCAAGCGTGCGCCTTGGCAGCGGGACGAGATCTCTCACCTATTATATGAGGCCATGTAGTGGAAGCCATTGTCGAAGTTCTTTTTCTTATCTTTGAGGTCGTTGGAGAGGAGGCCAGAGTAGATCTTGGAGGTGACTGTGAGAATCCAACCTCCAAACGACTTCACATACATGGTCATGGCTGGCATGCGGACAAAGTACACCTAAGGCAGACACGGGCAGAAAACGACGGATTCGTTAGCAGCGCTCCGCTCGCGTCCTCTTCGCCACCCATAATTATTATCCCGCTTTTGGTTATCCGGTAAAGTCTCCCTGAGTCTCAAGACTTGTTTACGGGGAGGGTCCTGCAAAGTTTTCAAAGTCGGGGGCCGCCATGCAGCTCTGTGTATTCCCAATTGAATAATTAGTAGGTTAACATTTTCAGCCACAGCACTACTTGGAGGTTTATAAAGACTGTGTGTGTGTGTATTGGTACGGACCGGTGGTGCGTCGGTTAGCGCGCCGCGCTATGAACCCGGCGAACCGAGTTCGATTCACGCTCACGGCCAAAACCAGTGACGACTATCCGAACCGGTCCTGGGCATCCCCTAGGTCGACTCAGCCTCAACTGAGTACCTGGTGCGATGCGTAAACATCGCCACTGGGGAGACAAAGGCGGCCGGGCGTGGGGCTGGCCACCCACCCCCTCGTGTGCCGGCCTTCATAGGTGCTCGCTAACAGCACTTTCCCCAACAGTCTGTTATAGGTTATACGGGGGATCTTTGTCTTTACATTTTTATGGACCTGCATCGAGCTGCTGGATAATTGCAATTTCTCAACAATGGCTGGTGCCACTGTGTGCATGTGTAGGGACGTTTGGCTCATACCTCGGGGTTGAAAGGTGAAGGCGGGTTCTCGGCCACGTAAGAAGGCAGCATAAAGTGAATCGTGTATTTGGTTTTCTGCCAGAATTTCCCGCCGTGGGGAACTTTAATCAGCACAGGGGCCGTCATGTTGATTTGTTGCACTGATGAGGGAAGACCGCGGCAAGCAAAGCAGCTGCATCAGATTTCATCAGTCATACCGTGACAGCATTGAGGCACAAGTTCATTATTTCTGTCGCGTAACATGACACAAACAATTTGCGGAAAAATCTTGATTGGCTGCAGGTATTCACATTCTTTGGGTCTTTCGGTAGAGTCACGTAGATAAGTTCGAAGAAAACAACAACACAAACTACCCATCATCGCTGATGATGACGATCGCTTGAGTTGCGATCGAAACATCGTCGGTTTTTTCGTTCTTTTTTGTTATTTCCTTTGAACCTATCTTCGTGACTTTACCGAAAGACCCAAAGAATATGAATTTGCTGAAAGAAAAGCAAAACACTGCATGCTGCCTCGCACTTTTCCTCTTCACGTGAATGATGTTGATGCAGAGCAGTGACTGCAATTTGACTCCGAGTCGGTTGAGGTCGAGGATTGGGTCAGGAGCAAGTGGGGTTCTGCTGCCTCGCTGCCGTGGGAATGCCACCTCAGCCGTCGTTAGATCTTGGGTGGTGCTTCTCAATGCGCATCGCTTCCTCCCGTCTTTTCACACTGCATTAAAGGGCATTGTGCAACAACTTCTTTGGTAAAACTAGGTACGGAACTGCGCATTTAATTGTGGGATTGAGTTTAGTGTGTTTTTATCGTGGTGTTTATTTGTATAATTTGAATGTATATGTCTTTTCAAGCTCCAAATCATGGGTTTGTTACTGGGCTACTGTACAAACAGAAGTTGCTGCGATGTGTTAATAGTTTGTACTGTAAGCACAGCAAAGCTTCACATCAATAACTTAGTAAAGTACAATTACAGCGAAACTGATGTGATAATACTCATGTCGTGATGACGTGTGGTATTTTGTATGTGTGTGCTTCGATGTGCATCCAGCACAAATACCGATGACTTTAAGTTCTCCAACTGTAATCTGCTCGACAGCAGCCAGCACTGAGTGTTCTAACCATTGCAATGTTACAATCTAGAATCATACAAACATTGGCTGTTATTTACACAGCACATCATTCACTGGTTAAACAAATTCTAAAAACTGATGACATCTTATAAATGCCGTCGATTACTCCAAAGAAACATTTCACAAAGCACTACTTTCAAAGGGTGGTAGCTACTTATGTATCTTGCGTATTACTCTCCCTAGATTTGAAGCAATTAATTTCGCATTTATTGTGAAGAGATTAAAAAAAAGTTCTTCCAAATTTGATCGACCAGCTTCGATTAATTACCACAATGAATCGTATCGTGACGAATTCTATCGCAGCGACGCGAGCGGCAACCCCGAGGCCCTTGCAGGTGGCAGAATGCCCCCTCCACTCACTGGCATCATTGTCCCCCGTGATGTACTTGAATGCCCCCTCCACTCACTGGCATCATTGTCCCCCGTGATGTACTTGAAGAGCTTGCGGAATCCCGTCATGGAAGCGTGCTCGTACACCAGGGACTCCACGTCCGTTGCCACCCAGACCGACTTCTCGTACCGCCGAAGCTGCAACGAGGCAAGATACAGAACGGCGGCGGTGATGGGCGCACCGCCGGCGGGCTGGTTGCGGTGCGCTGGCCCGTGGACCACATCCTGCTCCACCCCCCCCCACCAACCCCCCAAATGGCTGTGCAGTTATCAACCTCCAGCGTGTTAAAACACACACACACACGAGGATTAACGCTTCTTGTGATGTCCTTTTTTACTTTTAATTCATACCCTGGTAGTATATTATTTTCTGTTTATATTGGCGTCAATTGTAAATGTTGATGACCAAAACGTCCGTGATAGCAAATTGTTGGCAAGATCGCCAAGTGTTTGGTGTGACTGTCGCTAACTCAGCCCCAACCCCGACAACATAAACCCGTAACCAGAATCCCTAAACCCCAAAGCATGAACTCTAACCACTGACCATAACCGTGAACCACAACGCTAACTTATCAACACAAACCCTAAACCATAACATTCAGACCATAACTCCCAAGCTTAATCCAAATCGTGACCCTAACCACCGAAACATCTACCCCAACTCATAACCTCTTAACCCTTCACGCAAACTACATCAGCAGCATCCAGACACAGTTCAAAAAATCGCAAGGCAAGCTCGAGTGATTGGATAAACATGTGGTCTCGGGATGGTTACAAAAGTATTCAGGGAGAGTAATCGCTTTAACATACACGTAGAGCAGTGATTCTTCTTCTTAAGCTGGGGTGCGAGACATGGCCAGATTTTTTTGGGAGGTAAATAATCGAAACAAATTCAGCACGGGCACGTAAGTACAACTTACTTTGTTTCATGAAACCCTTTGTGTTCATGAACATTGTATGTATTTTTTTTACGATTGACAGGCAGAGTATATCTAAACGTGTAGCTCCTAAGTTTACTCTGGAAGGGGCCCAGAGGGCATAACGGTTGGACGCCCCTTAGCAGAGAGGAATGCAGCGCATCGCTTTGGAGCAAAACAAGAGCGGTTTTGTAATGTGTCAGGAATCTTTGTGAAACACATACGAGTGGCAAATTAATATCACGCGCTGCTGCGTAGGTGCAGCAATGAAGTAGCGCTTTCACAATGCTCCCCAGCCCAGAATACGGGAGGAATTACCGTACGGAAACAATGTTACCACACATTGCCGAAAACCCTGTGCTTAATTTTATTTTAATATCCACTTAATACGAGAGAGGTTGATGGGCAGCCTGCCAGACAAAGAGATACAAACCACGTGTGTGGTGGCTGGGTGTTGCTAACGCTCCACCACAACCGCAGGATAATCAATCACTGCCCTCTATTATAATCGAATCACGGCGGTCGTAAAGCGCTCAGTAAGTCGGTGGTGGTGATGCTACAGCCGCTGCGTTGGCGGGCTGCACATGGTCAATGAGCTGAACAATTTCAACACGTCCGTCAAAGACAGCGTGTGGCCTTCAGAGTAAGCATGCGTGAGACGCAACGTTGCGAGCGACGGGCCGACTCCACGGAACGTGAACACAGAGGCCGAGAAGGATGGCATGGATGGTGAGAGTTTAGAGGACTGCACTTGACACCGCGAGACCCCGCTCCTCCGATGAGCACGGTTGGCAACGTACGGTGCGAAAGAAGCTCAACATACATACAAACGGGCCTAATTATAATGAATACGCTTTAAAATAATACCTGATGAACTTTTTTTAAAATTATGCATGTAATAGTTAGCTATTGCGTAACAACCCCTTCAATAATCAGAAATGTAATCACTGCTAAATAAACACATTTGCGTCCAAACTTAAATGATAAATGGTGCTGGCACAATGGAGCTATGGGTAGTGGCCCCGTTTGCAGTGAGCGCGACTCGCGCAGTGAGCCGGGGCCAACACAAAGTCGCCGCCAAACGAATACCTTCATCGTGCGCCTTGTCAATGATGCAGCTTACGACGGCGGTGGCCGAAAGTCGCAATTTAAAGCTAAATGTGCACATTACGATTTAACTTCACCACACCTCGATAACCCGCACGGTTACCGGTGACGACTTGGCGCATTTACCTCGTACGTGTCAGCTTCGCAGAGGACCTTGAACTTGAAGCATTCCGTGGTCTCGGTACAGAACCCCGGTATCGCCCTGCCACAACAACAACACACATCCAGGTTAAGTGGCATCACGTGCTGCTGCTGCTGCTGCTCTCTTATTAACAACGTCGCGCTGTGTTTGCGTGCGTGCGTGTGATGATCGCATGTGCTTCTCCTTGTTTATTTACTCCTGGGCAAAAGCAGCAGCGGTCAGGACCGCGACAATGACCGGATAAAGCATCTCCGCTGGCTTTTCTTTTCTTCTTCCCCCTGAAACGATCAACTCTCTGAAGAGTGCACGGGGAAATCAGTCTCAACTCCTCGCCTGGCGCCTGGGTGGTAATGCGCCGCTATTTATAGACGCGGACGCGCTCCAAAACGGCGGAGACCTCCTCCTCCTCCACGCACAGACTACAATCGAGGGGTGGGGGGGGGCACCGGGGCAGCTCCCCCCCCAGTCAACAGCGAACAGCCACGTGCCAGCACTCTCGGGAGTGGCCAGTGCCGTGGTGCTGGCAGTGATGCGCTCCAGATGTGGTGGTGCTGGGTGGTTCTGGAAGGGGGGGGGGGGTGTCCGTCAGCGCCAGTGGGGATTGTTTTTCAACGCAGGGCTCGTTGCAAAATGGATTTCAAACCATGTGTGTGGCTTTAGTGCCACGGTTCTTTAAAACAACAACAACAAGCCTTGTGAACGGGGATTTAAATAACTCGCTGCATAGTCGTGCAACTGTGGTCCGTCTGCAGTTTAATAAATAGATATTGTGATTCTGTAATTGTGTTACACAAAAAATAACATTCGAATTGCTTTCCCTTAATTCTACTCGAAATGCGCTGTGTCCACTATGGCAATGCTCTGCGTGGCGTGGGTTTATACCATCATCACGATCACCAGCAGCACCACCAGCACCACATCAGTGTGTGATGGCATCATGATGAGACACGTTTCCTCTGCTTGCATGAGAATGTGGGCTCATTAGGCCAGGGCAACTTTGCTGAACACGATATGTTATTCACAGTAAACCCAAGGTAACACATTTGTTCACCCCTAACCTTTTAAACACACGGAGTTTCTTTTAGGTGCCAAGATAATTAGTGTACACGCCGTACTATAATTACCCCTGCTAAACACCCCTTCGCCACTTGGTGTAGAGGTTCGCGGTTCAACCTCAGCAGGCCGCCCTCGTTAATAGCGGTGGAAGTTAAATATCCCACGACGTCATGCGAAGTATCACTCGCGGCGTTGTTACATTGAGACACGCACACAGCAATCGCTGCGACAAAGCCGAGCATGGCCCTTGTGACGCGAGGTCTTGAGACTTTGCGAGGCGAACCACGTGTCATGTACTCGATCCGTCAACACTAGGTCGAGTCGGTATCTTTACGTTTTCTATAAACAAAAACCGATGCCAAGTGAAAAGCGGGCCCTCTCTATGACCTCCGGTCACGAAACTCATATGGAAGCTGAAGAATGTTCAGGAGGCTTCGAACCCCCCATATCGGGCTTGAGAATCAACAAGCCCGAAGGATGCAATGGGTGCAGGTTCAAGAGGGCCCGCGACGTCGTGGGTGGGGGTTGGAATCTCGGGGTGGTGGGCGGGCGGGGGGGGCCACGGGGTGCTCTGTGCGCGGAGCACAGAGAGGTTCCTGTGTGCGTGTGGGCTTGCATGTGAGTGGGGAGGGTGAGTGGGTAGGGTGAGTGGGTAGGGTGAGTGGGTAGGGTGAGTGGGGAGGGTGAGTGGGTAGGGTGAGTGGGAAGGGTGAGTGGGTAGGGTGAGTGGGTAGGGTGAGTGAGTAGGGTGAGTGGGGAGGGTGAGTGGGTAGGGTGAGTGGGAAAGGTGAGTGGGTAGGGTGAGTGGGTAGGGTGAGTGGGTAGGGTGAGTGGGAAGGGTGAGTGGGAAGGGTGAGTGGGTAGGGTGAGTGGGTAGGGTGAGTGGGTAGGGTGAGTGGGAAGGGTGAGTGGGTAGGGTGAGTGGGGAGGGTGAGTGGGCAGGGGGAGTGGGAAGGGTGAGTGGGTAGGGTGAGTGGGAAGGGTGAGTGGGGAGGGTGAGTGGGTAGGGTGAGTGGGAAGGGTGAGTGGGGAGGGTGAGTGGGTAGGGTGAGTGGGAAGGGTGAGTGGGGAGGGTGAGTGGGTAGGGTGCAGCTACCGTCGGTGCGGTTCACCACCAACCACCACCACCAACCACCACCACCAACCACCACCACCAACCAACACCACCACCAACCACCACCAACCACCACCACCAACTAACACCACCAACCACCACCAACCACCACCAACCAACACCAACCACCTCCAACCGCCACCACCAACCAACACCACCAACCACCACCACCAACCACCACCACCAACCACCACCAACCACCACCACCAACCAACACCAACCACCACCACCAACCACCACCAATCACCACCAACCACCACCAACCACCGCCAGCCACCACCACCACCAACCACTACCACCAACCACCACCACCAACCACCACTAACCACCACCAACCACCACTACCAACCACCACCAACCACCACAACCACCACCAACCACCACCAACCACCACCAACCAACACCAACCACCACCATCAACCACCACCAATCACCACCACCAACCACCACCAACCACCACCAACCACCGCCAGCCACCACCACCAACCACCACCAACCACCACCACCAACCACCACCACCAACCACCACCAACCACTACCAACCACCACCACCAACCACCACCAACCACCACCACCAACCACCACCAACCACTACCAACCACCACCCACCACCAACCACCACCACCAAGCACCACCAACCACCACCACCAACCACCACCAACCAACACCAACCACCACCAACCACCACCACCAACCACCACCAACCACCACCAACCACCACCAACCACCACTACCAACCACCACCAACCACCACCAACCACCACCACCCACCACCAACCACCACCAACCACCACCACCAACCACCACCACCCACCACCAACCACCACCACCACCCACCACCAACCACCACCACCCACCACCAACCACCACCTGGAATGCGTCTGTGAATGAAGAGTCCGCATGCGAGTTATGAAAGGGGTGGAGGGTTTGTTTACGAATGATTGGTAAACGTTCCGGGAATTCCACCCACGCATGGCAGAGTGGCCTTTCCCGAAGTCACGAGCACGCTGCTTCATGGCAGATCTGCGAGTTTGACACATTGAGGAATTAAATAAAAATGTATTCGTATGCAAGCCTGCATCATACTTTATCTCGCACAGTCCTACATATGACACAATGCTACATCTGAAAAAATACTAAAACTGGCACAACACTACATCCGTCACAATGCTACATCTGACACGATGCGACATTTGACACAATAGTACAACTGACACAACACTTCACCTGACACAATCCTACATCTGACACGTCTTCACACTTATCCTCATCGCTGTGATGCTCTGTCTTCGGGCCTTGAGCTGCACAAGGCCACGGATCTCAAACGCGTGGACAACTCCCGTCACGTACTACCAACCCGCCAGCGGTTCGCAACAGAAGACGTTTGTTCGAAACTGCCCTGGAGCTCGCGATTCAGTCCAACACTCGGAGGCCCGCTGGCTTGGCACGGCTGAGCCGACCCTGCCCGGGATTCTGATCGCCCAAGAATATCTCCTCTGCAATATCGACTCGAGGTACCTTTTTCGTGTGAACTTTATACGTTACATCCCCCTTTTTCCTTCCAGATCCCCTCTAGGTGTCCCCCCACAGCTAAACGAACAATAGAACTGGCATTGGCCAAACATTGCAGTGCTTTCAAACTAAAAGTGCAGCTGCACATTTTTCAATTGCGATTACACACAGAGCAGCGGCCCACGACTCGTGAAAACTTGTCATGATGTGACATGATGTGACATGATGTGACATGATGTGGCATGATGTGTCATGATGTGACATGATGTGACATGATGTGACATTATGTGTCATGATGTGTCATGATGTGACATGATGTGACATGTGTCATGATGTGTCATGATGTGTCATGATGTGTCATGATGTGACATGATGTGTCATGATGTGTCATGATGTGACATGATGTGACATTATGTGTCATGATGTGTCATGATGTGTCATGATGTGACATGATGTGACATGATGTGACATGATGTGGCATGTGACATGATGTGACATGATGTGACATGATGTGACATGATGTGGCATGTGACATGATGTGACATGATGTGGCATGATGTGGCATGATGTGGCATGATGTGACATGATGTGGCATGATGTGGCATGATGTGACATGATGTGGCATGATGTGTCATGATGTGACATTATGTGGCATGATGTGGCATGATGTGGCATGATGTGGCATGATGTGGCATGTGACATGATGTGGCATGATGTGGCATGATGTGGCATGTGGCATGATGTGACATGATGTGGCATGATGTGGCATGATGTGACATGATGTGACATGATGTGGCATGATGTGTCATGATGTGACATGATGTGGCATGATGTGGCATGATGTCGCATGATGTGGCATGATGTGGCATGATGTGACTGTGTTCCCTTCCCGCAACACCCCTACACCTGTATAGCCTGACCAGACTGCTGACGCAAGTGCTGTTAGCGAGCACCTATACGTGCGTGGCCAACACCACGCCCGGCCGCCTTTGTCTCCCTAGTGGCGATGTTTACACACCACACCAGGTACTCATTTGAGGCTGAGTAAACCATGTCCGGTTCCAATCATCGTCACTGGTGTTGTCCGTGAGAGGGAATCGAACTCGGGTCGCCGGGTTCGTAGCGCAAGCGAGCTATCCAGTGCACCACTACCGCACGACCCACATCAACTCGCCGTTTGTCGGGCAGGCTTGGGATTTACGAGTTGTTCGCCCACAACGTACACCTCTTCCGCCCTCACTGTGCTGACGGAATCATCCCCAAGGTCGCACATCAGCGGCCGTGCTCTGTTTGGCAGAGGTTGACAGAGCGCATCCTTGATCCCAGACGCTGCACTCAACCCAGTAGCTTAACTTAGCGTGGAGCAGGCTGGGGGGGCCTTGCTTCCCTGGTGGCCGAAGCTATGAGTTCGGGCCCCCGTGACAACCACCGTGAGATATACGAGAAATAAGAACCGGTTTTAGCCTTTCTGGCAATAAAACAGGAGGTGTGAAGTTGTTCAAACACCAAATAGAAACCTCTTAGTAAGGAATGAAGTGACTGCATTAACCACACACGGTACTTGTGGTGAACATGCAAACAAACATGCTCTGCAAAGGCAATGCGTAATAAATATACGCATTGCCTTTGAAACTGATTGGCCGACACGAGAGATTGCCTTCTTAATGGTCAACACGCGTTCTCTGGTGTGATACTGTTGAGACTTGGCCATACAAAACGGTGTGGCGGGGCCAGGATTTTCACGTAGGGGGGCAACCCCTCCAGCAATGAAAAATGATAGAGGAGTTGTTAGTAAGTAAGGAGTTGTTAGTAAGTAAGGAGTTGTTAGTGAGTAAGGAGTTGTTAGTAAGGAGTTGTTGGTAAGTAAGGAGTTGTTAGTAATAAGTAAGGAGTTGTTAGTAAGTGAGGAGTTGTTAGTAACTAAGGACTTATCCCTTGCTTTTTATTCAACGCGTGTGCGGCGATGTCGCCGCCATCGATCGAGGGTCGAATTCGAACCGCGTTGTGTGATCGGCATCGCACTCGCTGAAGGTGAATGCCTTCAGGGAAGTCGTGTACTGTATACGCAACTTTGCACAATTCTGAGTCACTTATAACTTCTTTGCCGTTACTTATTGCCAATTATGGACTCGGACTATTGTCCTATCATCTCATAGAGTCCCTGGCACGTAATAATATACTACAGTGGCAGTGGGGGTCGCAAAACGCCGATTTATTACTAATAAACCCCAATGATCCGATCGAAATTATGGATTTCGATCGGATCATTGGGATGCCACGTGTCACCACAAGTACGAATGGTTAATGCAGACTTAATTCCTTGCAAAAGGCATCTGATTGTTGTTTGAACATCTTATCACCTTTTGATTTAAAGCTTTCGTGACTGCAGTAATTCATATTCTTAGTTTTTTCGGTAAAGTCACGTTGAAGGGAAACAACAAAATAATAAAATATATATAAAACAATAAAAAAATTCTCACGACGTTTCGACCATAACTCAAACGGTCGTCTTCAGGTGTGTTGGTTTGCATAAATTTATTTTTAAACGGCGCATTTATTTATAAATTTTATAAAAAAAATTATCTTAGCAATCATTGGAAAGATTTGATAAACCATTTCAGGTCTTAATTGATTGTTCACGCTTACAGTGGCTTTCAGACAGCATACATTATAAAAAATTTCGTCTCCCCCCTCCTCTTTTCAGAATATAGATGGACTAGTCCTAAATAAACTGCCAAATCGTTGCGCGTGGCGCTAACGTTTTTATAAATAAATAAATGCGCCGTTTAAAAATAAATTTATGCAAACCAACACACCTGAAGACGACCGTTTGAGTTATGGTCGAAACGTCGTGAGAATTTTTTTATTGTTTTATATATATTTTATTATTTTGTTGTTTCCCTTCAACGTGACTTTACCGAAAAAACTAAGAATATCTTATCACCTCTTCATTTTGATCATCGTACTTTGATACTGGCGAAAAGGTCCCATGACACCGTGAGAGATGTTGTCCACAGCGGCGTAAAAGAACAACAGACGTATTTCATGATGTGATGAGGCAAGAGGAGCCCCGACAGCCTTGGCGTGACCGTGCGAGACAAATCAACTATCGGGGCCCCACCGGACCGATTGCGGCACCCCCTGAGCTGATAATGTCGCCACTATGCCACTGACCCAACCACACCGTCACAGGCAATGACCATTTGAAATCTAACGACGAATTTAAATCTATGCACGAATTGAAATCTATGCACCGACGAGACCGCAGATTTGCACGTGTTTTTCTTCCTTCGTGAGAACACGTGGTAGTTTCACGCCAGTTGTCGGATACTTAAGAGCACGGAGCCACGCTGGTGATGCAGCCTCACTCGATGTCCCGGCTCGGTACCTGATGAAGCTCAAGGCAGTTTGGGTAAAGCATCATACGTTGGTGTTAAACTCAGGTCATGAAAAGTCGTAAGCCACCTCATTGGTCATAATTCACGACCAATACACTGACGCGACTATCTTGGCTGGAGGGTTAAGGAGAAAGAAGTTCGGCATGAAACCACGACCACGTGGCATGAAACCACGACCACGTGGCCCGACCCAAAAAACAGACGACACGAATCATGGCGTGGACGATGGAAACCTTCGCCCCAAGTTCGACGGCAGTCGCGTGGGACTGCGACGGCACCGCCGAAGACTTCACGCAACCTGCTACCACCACCACCACAACCACGACCACCACGTCTCCCGCACGCCACCCCCTCAACCACCACCACCACCACGTCTCCCGCACGCCACCCCCTCAACCACCACCACCACGTCTCCCGCACGCCACCCCCTCAACCACCACCACGTCTCCCGCACGCCACCCCCTCAACCACCACCACCACCACGTCTCCCGCACGCCACCCCCTCAACCACCACCACGTCTCCCGCACACCACCCCCTCAACCACCACCACGTCTCCCGCACACCACCCCCTCAACCACCACCACCACCACGTCTCCCGCACACCACCCCCTCAACCACCACCACGTCTCCCGCACGCCACCCCCTCAACCACCACTACCACCACCACTACGTCTCCCGCACGCCACCCCTCAACCACCACCACGTCTCCCGCACACCACCCCCTCAACCACCACTACCACCACCACCACGTCTCCCGCACACCACCCCCTCAACCACCACTACCACCACCACCACGTCTCCTGCACGCCACCCCCTCAACCACCACCACCACGTCTCCCGCACGCCACCCCTCAACCACCACTACCACCACCACCACGTCTCCCGCACGCCACCCCTCAACCACCACCACGACCACCACGTCTCCCGCACGCCACCCCCTCAACCACCACGTCTCCCGCACGCCACCCCCTCAACCACCACCACCACGTCTCCCGCACGCTACCCCCTCAACCACCACCACTCGTTCCGCTGCCTCTGTCTGCTTGGCCAAGGGACCAGCGACGGCTCGACACTTCCCCTGGACTTTGATTGGGAAAAACATCGCGATTGAAGAGTGGGAAATTGGCACTCGCACGCGTCCTGGGAAACAAAAACACTCAATGCTGCCATTTACCTATAAAGTTTAATTTACATCGTCATTGTTAATAGTATGCACAACATATTTAGGAATGTTACCAATCAATAATGCTTAGATCTCTGATTTTGTAAATTACTGCAATTAAAAAATGGACTGAGGATTACGTATGTACAAGATAGGACACGTGTTTTGGGAAAGTGACAAGGTGACTGTTGATTCCACGTCAACCGGAATGTCGCTCACCATACTCTGCGACCGTCGGTGGATCGTATTGATCTGTCCAACCCCCAGATCCACTGGAGTGCGAGGTGGCCAGCAATTAAGAGCAATCGTATGCATCTATCATCTGTTAGTGTTATTATCCCCCTGTGTGTGGGATTTTACTCACCATCACCACGTACAATCACTATAAACACGGACGTGGCCAAATGCCCCAATGGAGGACCATCTGGAAAAAAGAGTCTTGAGGTCTTTGTGTAGATAGTAAATAAATGATCAGTATTCCTCACGCATATCAACTCGTAGCCAACGCTGGGCCATGGTTGCTCACCAAAGTATTAATGCTAATTAAGTGGCGTTCCCAAGGTCGTGTACGCACTAGTCACTTGCGTTGGGTGTCCTGTATGCGTATGCACATACAGGACAACCAAAGCCTCTTATCTACAGTAAAGTGGGGGAACAATATTTTGCGAATCCTATTAGCCTCCACTTATCCAAGGAGGAAAAATATTCTGAATAATTGGGTGAATTTTCCCCGCAAACTCCTCTGATCCGTGAAACTTTAGCAGATAACTGGAAAATTATCTGCACAGCATGATGGGAAAATCTGTGCATAATTGTGGATAAATAGGAATACGGCCACGGAAAATAGGTGTTTATGAGAATAATAGGAATCGTGGGTAATAGGGTCTCGGATGACAGGAGTTCTGCTGGACAGGACTGTGCATGCATTTTTTATTGCGGATATCTGTGATCAATGCCACACAGGTATGCACGAAACCTAGTTATTAAGACTTAGAAACCAATTCTTGAAATGAAGTAGTCTCACGCACTCATGACAGAAAGCACAACGAGGTGAGACAAGTCCGGCTTCCACTTGAGTGCATAGGGAACCACGGCGCAGCGCGCTCGAGCCTCAGGGTTCAGAGTTTTGCGGCCGAGAGCAATCAAAGCGCCGCTCGTGATTGCGCCAACGAGGCCACGGTTTGGCAAGCCCAGTGGCCGCATTGCTCCGACGATTTCAGTTCCGCAGCGAAAATGTCCACTCGCTTTAAACAAAACGTGGCCTTCATCCGTTGACAGCCCCGAGCGAGCCGTCAACATTTGATTCCTCATTCCAGCGGCAGGGGCCAGCCCATCCTTAAAAAAAAAAACGATTGTTGATCGTTCATCTCCGAGGGTTCGTGTTTTGAGTCAATGACTGAGTGGGATGTGAATGTTCACACATCCCGGAGCGCGAGAAGTGCACCGGAGCGAGCGATGCTCCCCATGGCAGAGAAGTGTAGGTGGAGAGATTGCACAGGGACACGCACGCACACACACAAAGATCCCCCGTGTAGCCTTAACAGACTGTTGGGGCAAGTGCTGTTTGCAAGCACCTGAAGGCCGGCACGGTAAACCAGGGGGTGGATGGCCAGCACCATGCCCGACCACCTTTGTCTCCCTGGTGATGTTTACACACCACACCAGGTACTCATTTGAGGCTGAGTCGACCTAGGGGAGACCCAGGACCGGTTTAAATAATCGGCACTGGTGTTAGCCGTGAGCGGGAATCGAACTCGGGTCGCTGGGTTCATAGCCCAGCGCGCTAATCATCTTACTACCGCTCCCCACACGCACACGCGCACACACGCACACGCGCACACACACACACGCGATTGTTAGCGTAACCCTTCCGGGGCACACGCACATTACAATTCCTGTGTCCAGGTTATATTTCTATTCCTTTGGATTATTCTCTCCCTATAGGAACATTTCATGTTCTTCACATGGAGGAACAAAAGTGGAATTACCTTGTCCGTAAGCAGCATAAATAATTACACAAGGATTAGGGCGAGGGTTAGGGTTGCATAATTTGAGTCTGTTATGTTTTCGTATTGCGTTATGTAAGGAGGAGAGCAAGTAGCAGTGGGGAGCGGGGTCTAGTGTTGTTATGGGCAGCAGCTGTTGCAGAGCGGCTATGAGTGTGCAGTCTCTTCCGGAGTCTCTGCTCTCAGCTGGGCCAGCAGCTCTTCGCAACTGTTCCGCATTTCCTCAGCAGCAGACACCAGCCTAGTGCACACACCACATCCATAGCAACGGTGGTCAGGTGGCAGCATGGGGTAGAGGCGGCCGGGACGCCGCGCCGGCACTTCTCACAGCGCCGAACGCGCGGACCGGCGCCGTTCAGAACGGCTCCCTCTCCTCCGCCGCGATGTCTTCGCAGAGGGGAGAAACGGCAGTGAGCGCCGGCTGCTGCAGGACCGATGGGTTTCATTCGCAGCACTTCTACGTTAAGAATTCGGCCACGGGAATGTATTTAAAGTGTACACACTCACAGTACGTAATTTTGTGCTTTATTCACTCGTTAAAAAAATGTTCTGCTCGACGTTTAGTCCGACTGGCAGTCAACGAGAAGGCCCTGCACGGGGCGGTCGAAGGTTCCTGTGATGACGGCAATCGGTGATCACTACGCGCGGGGAAACCAGTTGGACGTAGCAATTGTAGACGCGCGTGAACTTCCTCACGAATGCATGCTGTACGCGCGTAACAAACCACCGCGCAGCTCACGATCGATCTCCGGTGTCGAATCGGCGCGACTCACCCGTCCAGCGTTATGGGCTCCTGCGAATGCGGCGACCAGATGGCGTGCTTCACTCCGTCCTCGTCCCGGGCGCGGGCATCTGGCCGAGCCCCTTCGTCCGCTGAGCCAGTGGTCCCCTCTCGCCGCCGTGCCCTCTGCGCTTCGTCCTCGCGTGCTTGAGGAAGCCGGCAAGGAGCGGCTGCCGTGCCGCCCCGCGGCCCCGCTTGGTCGCCCTCCCCGTAGCCGGTCGCTCGGTCGGTGGTGGGTGGCGGAGCAGCGTCGCTCTCCCTGAGTGCGCCCCCGAGCGCGACGTCCCAGCCCCGCTCCTGCTCCTCCGGAGTCGCCTCCCCCGCGTGAGCGTCGCCTGCAGAAGGAGCTCCGGGCTTGTTCCAGTTTTCGGCTGCTGTCCCCCCCGTTAATATCATCTAGGAAGAAAAAGGATTTGAGAATGACGGGGGTTTTAACTGTTTTGGTTTATACATCAGGAGGAAAACGTACCATCATAAGAGCATTTTCAGTCTAAATAATAATGATACATTAATCATAATTTCCACTTGTAACACGCTGCACAGTATTCGCTCGCTCTCAAAGAGAGAGAACGACTCAGAGGCGCGAGGAAGCACAGACAAGCAGGAGGCAGCCACGCGATGAGCTAGAACCAACAGTTACCCAAGTTCTGTGCACCTCTGTATATTAAGGTGTCATCGGCTAATTAATAAGTGTTTACATGTGGAAGGAAACCAAACCGTCCCCAGAAAAGCCACGCGTGCGAGGGGGAAACGCTCTATCCCATACACACGGACCAGGTGGAGTCCACATGTGCTGGACCGCCGTCACCTGGCAAGCCACGGAATGGCTCCTCCTCGATCCCCACAGCAAGGGAGTTTTACAACATTTGTGCAAACTCGGTGTTTGTAGCTACCACTGTCCAGCAAAAAAATGGAATCTACTGCCCAAGCTTCATCAGTGTGTAGAGCGGAACAGAAATAAACATTGAGAGGAGCATGGTCCACAAAAGGAAGCAGCATATACTTTGATGTGGTTCAGAAACGGAGACAATCGTCGGCTGCATCATTACAGGACCGTGACGGTTCGACTGAGCCCGTGAACCAACCTAATGGAATCTACAAAGAATGCAGCCGTGGGCGAAGGCTACGTGGGTAGAGCTAACGGAATTGAGCCCCTCGAACCTACTGACCAGCCGGCGCTCTTCACACACGACGGCCTCTGCGAGCCGGACCCGGCGAGGGTCACGACTGAGCGGAGCGCGGGGATGGACTCACGCGGTAGTTTCCACATGACCTAACTAAAACCATGAAACTATTAATCATTCTAAAATATATATATATTTTACCAGGTAAGACCCATTGAGCTATGTAGCTCTTTTTTAGAAGCGACCTAGCCACAAATGATAGCTCAATGGAGTGGCTTATCATCACGTGGTAATGTAGAGCAGCCAAATACTCTAATTGCACGTTTATTCAAAATGTGGAGGGAAAAAACGGAGAACCCACAGAAAAATGGACGTGACCACGCGGAGAACATGCAATCTCCAAATATAGAGGTGTCAGGGTCGGGATCCAAGCCACTACCTCCTGTATACTAGGTGAGGGAGTCAACATCTCACCACCAAAACTTTTGCATTTGTGTGAAACAAGGAAGTATATTTTACTGAGAGAGATTATAGATGTATCCGGCACAAACCGAAATAACATGTTGGATTAAACATCTTGATTTGAGGCTTTCGTGACTGCAGGAATCCATACTCTTTGGTTCTTTCGGTAAAGTCACGTAGTTAGAAATAAAATAAAATAAAACAAATCACGACGTTTCGATCGCAACACAAGCAATCGTCATCAGGTGGGACAACTACAGCAAGAAAAGCTGCTGAAGTAGGCTGAAGTAGGCTGAAGTAGGCTGAAGTAGGCTACTTCGCAACACAAGCAATCATCATCTGGTGGGACAACTACGGCAATAAAAAACTGCTGAAGTAAAACTGCTGAAGTCGCCTACTTCAGCAGTTTTTCTTGCCGTAGTTGTCCCACCTGATGATGATTGCTTGTGTTGCGAAGTAGCCTACTTCAGCCTACTTCAGTAGTTTCACTTGCTTTAGTTGTCCCACCCGATGACGACTGCTTGTGTTGCGATCAAAACGTCATGATTTGTTTTATTTTATTTCTAACTATGTGACTTTACCGAAAGAACCAAAGAGTATGGATTAAACATATTTCGTATCATATTTGCAATCATGTGATTGAGTCACATCTCAAGTTACAAGGATTTCCCAATTTTTGTCCGAGCTCACAAATGCTCTTGCTGGTTAGACGATTACGCCCTAACCGCCAACATCACAAAAAAACGACAATGGACGTTAAACACTCACCGCGTGCTGACCGCTCACTTTATCTTTGGCAGTGCTGAAAACGAGCTGCGTTCTGTACTGTAAGACGTATTGCCTCTCTCTCTCCACGGACGGCGCTCCCGTGGCCGGCACCTCGCCGGGGAGCCGTCGCGCCGGCTCCGAGCGAAGGCTCGAGGCGGAATCTTCCGCCGGCACCGCCGGCACCGCGCTGGACGGGTGCGGCGCCGGCCGCGTGCTCGCAGGAGAGGAGCGAGGGGGGTCCCGTCCGTGATCCGTCGTGCCATTGGGTTCCCCAGAGGCTGGGCTCAACCACAGGCTATCATACAGTGGGTTCCGGAAGAAGAGTGACGGCCGCGCGGTTTTATCTGTCGCAAGGCTACGTGGCTCTCTGTCGCTCGGAGCTCTTCTCTCTGGAGGCGTCTCTGCGAGCTGGTGAGGAGCGTTTACTAATCGCAAGGCCGGCCGTTGACACGTTAGCAGCTCGTGGTCCAGTGACGGAGTGCTTTGAAGTTGTTCACGTGGCGCGTCACTGTGGGCGCCAGAACCCCCTTCTGCTCCTTCTTCAGCTGTGACGCTTCCTGCCATGGCTGTGGAGGGAGGGTGGCACAGAGCAGACACCTGGGACGCGCCGCCAGAGCCGCCCGCGGCTGAGACCGCGGAGTTCAGATTGCGGCTGATGTCTTCCAGGATTGTGGCAAGCTGGCCCAGCGTGTTGTGCTCATCCTACAAGACAAAGGGTAACACGAAAGTGCCGTCGCAGGAGACAGATATCAGGGACGTACACAATAGGTAACGTTTCAGGCAATGGCCCTTTTAAGGCCACAGTATTATTGATGAATGCGTTGAGTTTCTGTTGTCTGTGCTTGCCCACCACTGCCAACACAGCAGCTGCATCACCAGATGTTTCATCATCGAAAGAACGTAACACAGCGGAGAACCGATCCTCACAGTGGTCGGTCACATCACGCAGATTCTGTAAGATCGCAGAATGGCGAAACGAATCTTAACTTGTATTAACAGCCAGAAAGCACCTGGCCCTTAATAATTATGTTGGATCAACATTATAAATGCATGATAACCACTCACTAAATGAGAATATTTCCACATATGTAGTTCTCTTGAGCCGGTGGTCTGGACAATGCCGAGAGCTGTCGTACATGCACTGCTGCCCAGTTCGCCTCTGCATCCAGGGCGGAGGCTGAGTGTGCCGTGCGTGTAGCGGGTGCGATGCGGAGTGATGCGGAATGCCCCTCATGGTGTCGTGTCCGGAGGCGGGGACCTCGCACGGTGAGCGCTGGGGGCCTCGTGTGTCACGTGGTGGTCGGTGTTCCACGCTGGGGGCCCCGTGTGTCACGTGGTGGCCGGTGTTGCACGCTGGGGGCTGGGGGCCCCGTGTGTCACGTGGTGGCCGGTGTTGCACGCTGGGGGCTGGGGGCCCCGTGTGTCACGTGGTGGTCGGTGCTGCACGGTGGGGGCCTCGTGTGTCACGTGGTGGTCGGTGTTGCACGGTGGGGGCCCCGTGTGTCACGTGGTGGTCGGTGTTGCACGGTGGGGGCCTCGTGTGTCACGTGGTGGTCAGTGTTGCACGGTGGGGGCCCCGTGTGTCACGTGGTGGTCGGTGTTGCATGCTGGGGGCCTCGTGTGTCACGTGGTGGTCGGTGTTGCATGCTGGGGGCCTCGTGTGTCACGTGGTGGTCGGTGTTGCACGGTGGGGGCCCCGTGTGTCACGTGGTGGTCGGTGCTGCACGCTGGGGGCCACGTGGGCTGCGTGCTAGGTGCGACGTCTCTTCCCGTGAGGCGCTAGGCCGCCCGATCGAGCACTGGGCTGCCGAGCCCCACTCCACTGTGTGCCGTGCTGACCTTTATAAGTGCTCGCTAACAGCGCTCGCCTCAAAAGTCTGTTAAGTGTGTGTGTGTTGTTGTTGTGTGAGCGTTTTGTTGCACACTTCACGTGGCCCCCGAGTACACCTGGCCTGGCACAAACGTCGTGGTGACTTCACCATCACTTTTTAGTTTTATAGTTTATAGTTTACTTCGTGATGAATGCCGGCTCTTGTTGTTGTTGTGACATGCGGCACACGGCGGCTGGACACGGTGTGGATCGGTGTGGTGCGTGCCGCTCCATGTCGCGTACCTGCGTGGGCAGGGTGGTGTCGCTGAGCAGGGAGTGCAAGCTGCAGAGCTCCTGGGCCGGGTCCACGACGCCCTGCAGGGCGAGGGCGCTCGGATTGCCGCTCTCCTGGGACGTCTCCTCCAAGAACTGCTTCATGGGGCTCCACTCTCCCTCCAGGAAGCCGTTCATGAACGTCATGTAGTCCTCTTTGGTCCCGAACCTGCATGCCAATGTACGACGCCACAACGTTTATCCTGGTAAAATGTTCTTTTTGAAATAAACACTCATTCGAATGGGCGATTGAAGCCACCCCAGTTCTCATAAATGAATGGCCGACCCCCGTCGAAAACCAAGACCGACGAGACGAGCTTTGTTGGCTTGAATATAAAAAAATATATATCACCGAATAAAACAGGGGTCACGTAACTTATCAATCCTGAGAGCCAGCAATGTTGGCATATTCTAAGAACAGCTCGGGTTAAAATAACCACACGTGGCCTGAAAACCTCTAGCACTGTGGAGGCAGTTAGGGTTGGTGGATCACACACGTGTTGTGACGGTCCCTTCCTGTAGGCGTCGAGGAAGAGCCATACTCGAGTGCGGACCAATCTCCACCGGCTCCAACTCCCTTCCCATGGGCATCGAGGAGGAGCTGTAACCTGGCTCGCCAGGAGAAGGCAGTACAGGAGTATGTGGACTAATCTCCATGTGTTCCAACGTCATGTGTGGACTGCACAGCAAAATGTGGACTCCACCTATTCCGTCTGCATGGGATTGAGTGTTTCGCCCTCGGACATGTGGGTTTTTTTCCAGGGGGCTCCGCCTTCCTCCCACATTGTAAACACTCATTGATTGGCCAGTAACACCTTCATATATCGAGAATCGCAGAACTTCTATCTCTACGTGGTGCGTTGAAAATGTACATTATTTATGACAGTTTTAACATGTAGTTGGCTTTCACAACCAATATCAATAATAGAGGTTTTTTGGGGTTAGATCACGTAAATATAAACGTGTCGTTAAACTCGGCTGGTGAGGCTGGTTGTTGTAATCACCAGCGAAACGTCACAGTGCTCAAATTGTCAATGTTGTGGGTTTACTCTCCAATACACAACCAGTGAGCTGAACGAGTAACGAATTGGCACGTTTTGTTTACGTGACAAACCTTACTTATTGGCTGTGTCGGGTGGTGGCGGGTAAACGACACATTTATATTTACGTGATGTAACCCTAAAAAAAAGCTACACTATGGTTATTATTTGTCATCATTGTGAACGCTGCTGATCTACGCCGCGAGAAGCCTCTCCTCCCGCGTTGCGTGGCCACGTCACCTGGAGAAGTTGGCGAGGTTCTGGACGACCTTGGCGATGAGCGTGAGGGTGCGCGCCGTGCGCTCGTCAGGGTACTCCTGGCTCAGGCCGAAGAGGCTGGGGGACATGATGGCCGGGCACAGGAAGCGCAGGAAGAGCGACGCGCTGATGAGCCGCTCGCTGATCTCCGCTCGGCCCCGCGCCTCGCACAGCCTCCTCCACGACGAGAAGACGTCCCGCAGCTCGGCGGGGAACACGCTGCAGCGCACGCACAGAGACAAAGGTCCCCCGTAGAGCCTTCACGGTTTGTCGGGGCAAGTTCTGTTGGCGAGTTGCACCTATGAAGGCCAGGACGGCACACGAGGGGGTGGGTGGCCAGCACCACGCCCGACCGCCTTTGTCTCCCCAGTGGCGATGTTTTTCCGCACCGCACTGGGTACTTATTTGAGGCTGAGTCGACCGAGGGGAGGCCCAGGACCGGTTCAGATAATCGTGAGCGGGAATCAAACTTGGGTTGCCGGATTAATAGCGCAGCGCGCTAACCACTGCACCACCGCTCCCCACTACACACGCTACACGCACACACAGGGCCAGAGTGTGAGCGAACACCACACGGTGCACATCTGAAAACTTAGTGGATTTTCCCCTGGTTTTGATTAGGCCTTAGACAGGTGCCTGGTGCAGGGCATGAACATCAGCACTGGGGAGACAAAGGTGGCTGGCAGTGATGCTGCCCACACCACCCCGGCTTCGATATGTGCCGCCAGACAGCATGTGCCTCCACGGTCCATAAAGCCAAGTGAGGAAGCTTTGTATTTAAGTAACAGAACTGAACTTTTATAGGATACAAGAAGCAGAATCAGAATATTTATTTATACTGGAGGAATCCGATGAGCTATCAAGCTTTTTCACATATGTTCAGTAGGGGCGGGTAAGAACGTTACAACAACAAACAATACAAACATATCATATAAGTGCAATGTACATTAAAGGTAAACAAATCACCCAAACACATACAGATACAACTAAACCAACCCCTTCAGGACTTTAAATCCAGGAGCATGTGGCAAATGTTTGGCGTTACGTGAATGGACGAGGTTTTCCTATTTGGAAATACTGAGTAGAATGTGGAAAATCAACATCGTTGGAGAAATTTTTATTTAAAGCTTTCGTGACTGCAGGGAATCATATTCTTGGTTCTTTCGGTAAAGTCACGTTATTTCTGAGCAAAACTCTTGAGTTGAATCTCTCGCGTGCACTTCTCCCTATATATATCGTTGGAGAAGTTGATATTTTTATTATTATTCTGGCGCTTGTTTACCCAGGAAAGCCTCATCGAGTCTCATGACTATTTCAGGAGGGCCATGCCAAGTTTTCATGGTGCGGGCCAAAATGTTCCTAAGCGTGAAACCCATTCGAGTAATTTTCAGGAAACTGTTCATCATTGGGCCAATACCAGTTACACTGTGGGTTCTTTTTTTTTAGCTGTGGGAGGAAACTGGAGAAATCCGGAGAAAACCCATGCATAACAGGAGAGAGAGAATGTACAAACTCCACGGAGAAAGGCGCCCAAGTTTGGAATTGAACCCAGGACCCTTTTTCCGGCCCCATAAACAGGGAGAATGTTGCGATGAGCAGTATGTTGTACTCGAGGGGGGGCAAGGTTACCGAGACCGTTATTTCTGAGCATAACTCTTGAGTCGAATCTCTCGTGTGCACTTCTCCCTCAATGTTTACGCGCACGCAATGCTCAATACAAACGCTCGGACTTCGCTTGTAAACGTGCGTGGTGTGTGTTTGGACGCTTCCTCCGCGTTGCTGCCAAAAGGTAGTGGGGCTACAAAATCGGAGGTGCTTGAAAAGCTGGCCACAGGATTTCACATGTGAGCGAGGAAACTGGCAGGGCTATGAGACGCAGAAAAAAAACAACATCTGAAGTGAGGTCTGGACAACGTATCCATCACAAGACACTTATCACTGGCGAGGGCGACCACCGTCAGACTCTCTCAGCTGTGTTTTGTCTCTGTTGTTGATGCGAAATGGAGATGGGGGTTGTCGTGGCTAGTCTCCGCACACTGTGGACGAAACATACGGTGCAAACCGTGGCTTTTAAAGAAGCGCCCACCCCACTGGCGACGGGAGCGAGTGTGCTCACAGAGGTGGCAGCCAGGGTGGCACCGCTTGCGGTGGGGAGGAGAGCTCTCAGGGTGCGTGCAACGTGTGCCGAGTGAGACAGAGGATGTTAGCGGTGTTCTCCTGCAGGAGATTAATATAATACAGTTGATCATCGATTATCCGGCTTCCAACATTATCCGGCGAAACCGCTCCAAAGGCTGTTTGTAACCAGTCCGGCGATCGGCACCGTGTGTGTGGCAAAAAAAGTAGCTATACTTGATATCAGTGTTAAATATCATATACACTACATTATACACTACGTACAACTTAAAAAATTCAATTACTGCACCATACACATTACCCCATGCAGAGTCTTCGAGATTGGAGTGGTCAGTATGGTACAGTGAATAAAGTGACTTTTTAAAGTAGGATATTTATTTTGTCTATGTGTATGTTTATTCATCCCAATTTCATATAGTGAACAAATTTAAAACACTAAAAACATACAACACCTAGAAACATGTCATACAGGAATGTTCAATAATAAGCTTTTTTAATAATGATTCGTGATTATCTGGCATTTTTGAAAATCTGGCGCCCCCTTCCCCCTGAAGCCGCTAGATAGATCGATAATCTCCTGTAACAACAACAATAATAATACTGAGAGTGATATTGACAGAGCGCCCTATTTTATGCCGGGGCATCTCAGAGTGCCTTGAACGAGACGACCGTTTCAAGGCGCTCACCTCTCCGCACCGCAAGGGCGCTCTCAGCGACAGCTGTCCCGGTGCGGCACCAAGAGACCCAGCACCCGGGGGGTGGGGGGGGGGTGCCTGCCAGCGGGCATCAGTCTGCCGGCAGGTCGTGGGTGAGTAGTGACTTTGGGGTGGATCACGGTTGGTGCGTGGCCGTGCGACATGAACAGGAGGCAGCTGGTGCATGGTGCAGAGGGTTCTGTGACGAGGCTGCTGAGTCATGGGTCGAGTTAGGTGGCCGCTCGCGATGGCCGGTGCAGGGGACCCGTGACAGTGTTCAATGTGGACGGTGGGAGGGAAGAAGCAGGCTAGGGGGTAGTCGGTGTTTGTGGTCAGGGAAGTGGGTGTGTGGTGGTATCGGTGCATGGTGGGGCGGGAGTACAAGTGAGTGGTGTTGCCATGGTAGTATGTGTGGTAGTGTAGGAGTTCTGGGTGCTGTTGCCATGGTAACGTGTGTGGTAGTGTAGGAGTTCTGGGTGGCGTTGTCATGGTAGTATGTGTGGTAGTGTAGGAGATCTGGGTGCTGTTGCCATGGTCGCGTGTGTGGTAGTGTAGGAGTTCTGGGTGCTGTTGCCATGGTAACGTGTGTGGTAGTGTAGGAGTTCTGGGTGGCGTTGTCATGGTAGTATGTGTGGTAGTGTAGGAGATCTGGGTGCTGTTGCCATGGTCGCGTGTGTGGTAGTGTAGGAGTTCTGGGTGCTGTTGCCATGGTAACGTGTGTGGTAGTGTAGGAGTTCTGGGTGGCGTTGTCATGGTAGTATGTGTGGTAGTGTAGAAGATCTGGGTGCTGTTGCCATGGTCGCGTGTGTGGTAGTGTAGGAGTTCTGGGTGCTGTTGCCATGGTAACGTGTGTGGTAGTGTAGGAGTTCTGGGTGGCATTGTCATGGTAACGTGTGTGGTAGTGTAGGAGTTCTGGGTGGTGTTGCCATGGTAACGTGTGTGGTGGTGTAGGAGTTCTGGGTGGCGTTGTCATGGTAGTATGTGTGGTAGTGTAGAAGATCTGGGTGCTGTTGCCATGGTCGCGTGTGTGGTAGTGTAGGAGTTCTGGGTGCTGTTGCCATGGTCGCGTGTGTGGTAGTGTAGGAGTTCTGGGTGGTGTTGCCATGGTAACGTGTGTGGTAGTGTAGGAGTTCTGGGTGGTGTTGCCATGGTAGCGTGTGTGGCGGTGTAGGAGTTCTGGGTGGTGTTGCCATGGTAACGTGTGTGGTAGTGTAGGAGTTCTGGGTGGCGTTGTCATGGTAGTATGTGTGGTAGTGTAGAAGATCTGGGTGCTGTTGCCATGGTCGCGTGTGTGGTAGTGTAGGAGTTCTGGGTGCTGTTGCCATGGTAACGTGTGTGGTAGTGTAGGAGTTCTGGGTGGCGTTGTCATGGTAACGTGTGTGGTAGTGTAGGAGTTCTGGGTGGTGTTGCCATGGTAACATGTGTGGTAGTGTAGGAGTTCTGGGTGGCGTTGTCATGGTAGTATGTGTGGTAGTGTAGAAGATCTGGGTGGTGTTGCCATGGTCGCGTGTGTGGTAGTGTAGGAGTTCTGGGTGCTGTTACCATGGTCGCGTGTGTGGTAGTGTAGGAGTTCTGGGTGGTGTTGCCATGGTAACGTGTGTGGTAGTGTAGGAGTTCTGGGTGGTGTTGCCATGGTAGCGTGTGTGGCGGTGTAGGAGTTCTGGGCGGTGTTGCCATGGTAACGTGTGTGGTAGTGTAGGAGTTCTGGGTGGTGTTGCCATGGTCGCGTGTAGTGGGATGGCAGTACTGCGAATCGTTGGCGAGGTTAGAACGTGGGTAGAGAGTCTTTCTCCCCTGGGCCCGGCGGTGGCGGTGAGGGCGGTGAGGGCAGTGGACGCTGGTTGCTGTCAGGCGGCTGCACTCACCCCATGGAGGCCATGATGCTCCTCGTGGCCTCGCTGCACAGCTGCACCAGGGTCTTCTGATTGTGCTGCAGCTCCGATTGAGTGCATTTACTGGGGTCCACTTCACATTTAGTCCGTCTGCTGATGATGCCTTGCAGAAAAGCCCCTGCAATAAAACACAAACGCACAGTTGAGGGGGCAACATTCAATATCTTATTTTGAATTCAATATCTTGTTGCTTAAAATGCAACAGTTATGGTTACAAATCTCTCAGATGATATATTTTTTAATATTCATTTACAATCTTGCGCATTTAAAAGAACAATGAGTCAGCACCCGCTGTGGCGTATTGCAAGAGCTGTTTTCCCCCTCATCGTTGTGTCCGGGGCCATCTCTATCAGGGCTCCGCTAAATTATCTCTTTGTCTCGACCACTCCTCACGGGAGCCACGGGTGCCCCGGAAGGAACAGCATGCACGTTGCAATGTCGCTAATGTGGAGAAGTTTCACATTTGTATCGTGACACCAGATTAGAAACGCGGTCACTGATAAAAACAAAAGTGTGAAAATATGCCAGGCTGTAACAACTGGACCACGAAAGTGCGAGGTAGCATGGGCGCGTTGCGCGCCAGTGTTTGGTGCGAAAATTCACGAAGGAATGTGAATTTGGAAGATAAAACTGCTATTTTCATTCATATACAAAGACTGCCTGTATAGCCTGTAACGGACTGATGGGGCAAGTGATGTTTGTGAGCACTTATGAAGGTCGGCACGGCACATGGTGGGGGTGGGTGGCCAGCACCACACCCAGCCGCCTTGGTCTCCCTAGTGGTGATGTTTACAGACTGCACCAGGTATTAATTTGAGGCTGAGTCGACCTCGAGGAGTCCCAGGACCAGTTCCAATAATCATCACTGGTGTTGGCCATGAGCAGGAATTGGACTCGAGTCGCCAGGTTTGTAGTACAGCCCGCTAACCGCTACACTATCACACAACTATACATACACACACACCTACACATACACACACCTATACATATACACAAGACCAAAGACAAAGATCCCTCATATAGACATAACAGACTGTTGGGGCAAGTGCGTTTAGTGAGCAGCTATGAAGCCCGGCACAACACACGGTGAGGGTGGGTGGCCAGCAACCACGCCTGGTCGCCTGTCACCCCACAGTGCTGATGTAAACACAGCGCACCAAGTACTCATTTAAGGTTGAGTCGACTTAGGAGAGGCCCAGCACGAGTTCAACTATTCACCCGCTGTTAGTGGTTGCGAGTGAGATTCGAACTCGGGTCACCGGGTTCACAGTGCAATCCACTACCCCACTGCGCCACCGCTCCCCACAGTGTGTATCGTAAACAAAGGCACATGCACACTAACTGTACCGTGCACATCCACTAAACTGCCTCGAGGCCTGGCCGCTTATGTGGCGGTGACGGCACGCGTACGGAGCCGCGCTTAATTTCTCACTCGTTACAGATCCCGATGCTGCTCGGCTGGCCAGCTGTAGGGAATACCTGCACGACATAAGGCACTGCCACTAGAGTACAAGGCACGCCTGTCCGTACTAGTCACAACCCCCGGATGGTTCCAGCCGACGCGACGCACGGACACGAAGAGGTTGGCCAGCAGCAGGGCATGTTCGCGCGTGGTGGCGGGGTTTGAGTATCGAGGAAACAGGGCTGAGATTCAGGTCCCCGTACAAATGTTATGGGATTGGTACAAATAGAACAGCACCAAAACACAGTGTGTTTTTCTTCTATTGACGTAACATTAACTACAGCCATTCTCCACCGAACACTGCATGAAGGCCTCCCCATGCCATGATGGTCGTGGGGTTTTTATTTATTTACCATACTTCACCACTCTGGTCCTTGTAGGTCGATTAAGAGGCGACGGTGGGGGAAGACAGCAGCGGTTCTCATTGGGGCCGGATTAACTCATAGGCCCTCATATTTAACAGCTGAGGGACGGCAGCACGGCCATCTGGAAATTTTTGCCTTTCATTCGAGACTTTTCCACAGTTAAAGCTGGGGATTGTTTCGTCTGTTTGAAGAAATAAGTGTAGCGAGTGATATACATTTGATGAATTTACCTCGAGTCGAATACATTTGCTTTACTTTTACATGGTCCTGACGTAACTCGCTGATGATGTAAACCACGGGCAGGGATCAAACACAGCGCACCAGGTTCAAAGTAGAGTGCACTGACCACCGCACTGACCGCCACACCACCGCTCCACGCAATATTAACATTCCGCTTGGAAATACACTGACAAGTGAGCCCGGAACCATATCGAATTTTGGAAGAGCTTAGAACCTAAATTTAAGGACTTAGGATTCAACCAGCAGCAAATGGGGCATGGCAACAGTGGGGCTGACCCAGCACTTGGTGCAGGTACGGCTGGCCAACGAGACGCAGGAACTGCTCCACGGACTTGCTGGCCAGGGTGTTCTGTCTGAAGAGGACGTCCGGGTCACAGCGCTGCACCTCCTCCATCACCAGCTCTGTCAAGAAGCCCTGTGCAAGAGGAACGCAGCGTCACTCGCGGTCCGTTTATGGGTAAACTCCGAAAAACACCCACGACTAAAACCACATTTATATTTCCGATGTATGAGGGGGCGAGGTATTTATGTGGGATGCTGCCGTGGTTGCCGCCTGTCTGGGTTTGAGCCACTCCGAGTGGCAGGACTTAATTTGTCCCGAGATCTGGTACGTGTATTGTGTAGTTAACTATACCGTATTGATAGACCCAGGCTGACTGAGAAATACTAAGTCTGGGTTTGTTCAAAAGTGTAAAATGTGGCCAACCTTTGTCTAAAGTTCAAATCCAGAACTTTAAACACCGTCCGTAGTTTCCTGTACGTTTCAAAGAGCACACTAGCTCGACGTTTGTGTATATGACTGGCTTATTCCAGGCGAATATAAAACGTGTTCAATTTAAAGTCTGGCAGACGTCGTACAATCTGTAATGAAAAAAATAAAATAATAATAGAATACGACGTTTCGGTTGCAACACAACCAACCATCATCAGCTAATCATTTTTATTTGATTGTATTTTCTAAGTGACTTTACCGAAAGAACCAAAGAGTAATTCCTGCAGTCATGAAAGCTTCGAATCTAGTTCTGTCATGAACTTAAACCTGTGAACAACGAGACCCCATCACAACAAAGCCACGAGTGCCGGCCGGAAAACAAACGGATTGAACTGTTGGACGGTCTGTTGGTTAATCCACTACAACTTCTTGAGCTTTTGGTCTCAAGAAACAAAATGGCCACACACTGCAGTTATTTTGCGTTGGTGGTCTATACAAAGCTGACCTCTTTTTACGCATGCATTGCTGCGCATCTCTGCGTGTCGTGACAACTACAGTACTCCTATAATTGCCGCTTATTGTCGTTCTGCCACAGAGTGACTCTGCATGATTTCTGTGGCTTGTTATAGAGCGACTCTGTCTCCAGCAGCTGCTTGGCCGCTCGGCCACGGTGCGCGGCGACGCCTGGGTACCGTGACCCTGCCAGCGGTGTGCAGGAAGCGCACGAGCGCCCGCGCCAGCTCCTCCTTGCTCTTGACGCCGAGCACCGGCTCGAGCAGCAGGCAGAGCGGCAGGCAGCTCGCGCTCAGGAACTCGGCAAACTCCTTGTAGCGCTCCATCGGCAGGATGCTGAGCTGCTGGTGCCGCCACTTGATGCGCACCGTGGGCACCGCGCCCTTGCCCTTGCCGAGGTTGGGGGTACTGAAGGTGTACCACTGCTCCACGAACTGGTGCCACTTTGTTCCGCTGCCCAGGGGTATGGAAACCAGCCCCATGTAACTGCTCTTTCCCTTCCTGTGCTTGTCCTTGCCCTTGTACAGGGAAACCAAGACCTGCTTCACAGCCGAGAGGTCGCTGAATTCGAAGTTCTCGCCCCAGAAGACATCGGGCATCGTGCGCTTGCTGGAAGTTTGCGCACACGGTTGGTCGGCTGAGAACGAGATTTTACAGAAATATTCTCCGGTCCCAGGTAGGTCTCTTGCCTCAAGAATCCATAGTTTCAAATCATTTTTAATCCTCCTGGAATTGTTCTGCGTAAAACATACCAAAAAGTGGCATTAATAAAAAAACACATGTCACAGCTAAGCTAGAGGTATGTAAGTGCACAGCATAAAAAAGCTACAAACCATGAGCCGATTTGGAAACTTGCTTACCATCATACGGCACTGTAATGTCATTGTATGCACACCAGCAAATGCACCATATGCCACATAGAGGGTTTAATCATTTATGTAAAACTAAAACCATGCACTTGTTCATTGCCTTCTGGATATAATAATTGTATACGACCCATGCTGTAGAAGAAGAGGCGGTGACGTTTTTGGAGTTGGCGCAGAGTTTCAGAAGACTGGGGTCCAAGTATACTGGAGATGCAGTAATGCACAGCGATTGTTCATCAGAATATTCTGATCCTTTAATACCACGAATGCCACTGCTGATAAGCGTGTTTATATCGCACACGGTTTTGCACTTCGTCTATTTCGCGGTGTGGTGCCGCTGACCTCAGTGCAGCAGGCTCTCTACAGGCTGCTCAGAAGTTTTCCAGTACAGGCGGTCCCCGAATTATGAACGCCCAACTGACGAACATCTGCACTCATGAACGAGCTTCCACAAGATATTTATTTTTTAACCATCTGATTTGCGAACCGAACTCTGGAACTATTTACATTGTTACACGCAAATGTACAATATTTCTTATTTGTGAGTTTTAACGATGCTTCCCTTTTTCGTTGAACCTGAAACATATTTTATAACCCTGACCGTTTGTGCATTTAAACAGTGCATTGTGGTGTTCCGAGTTATGAACCGCTCCACTTGCAAACGGTGGACGGAACATGTTCGTAAGTCGGGGATTGTCAGTATTGGCAATTAGCACTGAGGTGCTGTGAGTGAGTGTTCCATGTGTACCGCTTCCCTTTGGCTCACGGGCCATACAGTGTAAACCAGTGTACTCTGCGCTCCTTCGACGGGGAAGGAAGAGGTAAATCTACACGAACGAACTCTCCTGAAACCCTCTCGCCGTGGCCAGCAGAGCTTGACGTTGGCATTTAGCTCATACATGTTGCTGCCATTCGCAGGGATAGAATGGAATCTGCCAGTTTCTACCTTCGCTGAAGAACTCCAGAGATTTCTATGACGGTACTTAATATCAACATATATTTTGTGTTGAATTTAGAGTATTGATAACATATCGCTTTCATACTCTTTAACAGTAATTAATATATATCGTGTAGTACAGTACCTTTAGTGGGTTTTACATGGAATGCTTGTGTTTCTGCTGTAAATCACCTTATTGTTTCTTCATGCAGCCATCAGTCGACAAGTTTGGAGCTCACACATTTAGACCAGTGCCGTAAATTCCACATCACAAATAAGGTGATTGCGATACATTGATCATTTCACTCAAGGCCCGTTACAGATTGTACAGTGATTATCAAGATGCATAGAGATGGTCTCTTCGCATCTTGGGTGACATTATTTTTAAGATGGTTCCAGTGAAAATGTTTAGAAAAATTTGTTGTAACTACTGAAATGTAAATTTTGATTTAAAGCTTTCGTGACTGCAGTAATTCATATTCTTAGTTTTTTCGGTAAAGTCACGTTGAAGAGAAACAACAAAATAATAAAATATATATAAAACAATAAAAAAATTCTCACGACGTTTCGACCATAACTCAAACGGTCATCTTCAGGTGTGTTGGTTTGCATAAATTAATTTTTAAACGGCGCATTTATTTATTTATAAAAAAAACGTTAGCGTCACGCGCAGCGATTTGGCAGTTTACCCAGGACTAGTCCATCTATATTTTGAAAAGAGGAGGGGGGAGATTAAATTTTTTATAATGTATGCTGTCTGAAAGCCAATGTAAGCGTGAACAATCAATTAAGAACTGAAATGGTTTATCAAATATTTCCAATGATTGCTAAGATAGAATCCATCTTCTCGGTTGAAATTGTCTCTGTGCTTGTATATGTGGATAGCCTCATGAACGAATCTCTCATGGAAGCCAGATGGCTTACAAAGAACCTCTGTCTTGGAAAAGTCAATGGCATGTGAGCCTACTGAATTAGAACAATGATCTGCTACGGCCGAGGTGTTGGTCCTACCGTGTTTAAGGTCTGCTTTGTGTTCACGAATGCGGTCCGAGACATGGCGTTTGGTTTCTCCAATGTAACTACTACCACAGAGGCAACTTAGTTTGTAGACACCAGGGTATTGTATGTCCGGAATCACATCTTTTACAGACGGAACCAGATCACGGATTTTATGTAATGTGTTGAAACGGACCTGGATCTTGTGTTTATTCAGACGGAAGCTTTTGGAGATCTTTTTTGTGATCCCAGCAATGTAGGGTAAAGTGATGGTTTTGAAAGGCTCCTCAAGAGGGTTCTTCTTCATGGTTTGAGTGATAGCTTTGCGGATTGTATAGTCGGAGTAACCATTAGCCCTAAGAGCTTGGTGTACGTGCTTGAGTTCACTGCTTATGTGTTCCTGGTCGGATATGCATTGGGCTCTATGATACAGAGTCTTGATGAGATAATTCTTCTGTGATGGATGGTGGTGGGAATCCGGTTTCAGATAAGCATCCGTATGGGTAGCTTTCCTGTAGACAGAGTGGCTCATTGAACCATCAGGTCTCTTTTTAATTAGGACATCCAAAAAAGGTATCTTGCCATCTATTTCGACTTCCATGGTAAATCTGATGGCTGGGTGTATGGAATTGATGTGGTCGAAGAATAGGTCTAGAGCAGGCCGGCCATGTGGCCAGATGACAAAAGTGTCATCCACGTACCTCTTCCATAAGGTTGGGTGCAGAGTGGCAGTCTGGATGGCGTCAGTCTCAAATTTCTCCATGAAAATGTTAGCTATAACTGGAGAAAGGGGGGAGTCCATTGGGGTGCCCTCAGTTTGTTTGTAGAAAGTTCCATTCCAAGTGAAGTATGTATTGGTTAAACAGTGTCTCACCAGGGGGGGTACCTCAGTGTTTAGTCCTTGATGAACCAAGTCTTCAATGATTGCAATGGTGTCAGGTACAGGAACCTTGGTGAATAAGGAAACTACATCAAAACTGACAAGCAGGTCGTCTGGGGACAGGGAAATACCCTTGATTGTCGAAACCAGGTGAGTAGAATTTTGTACCGCAGAGGTGGTCTTTCCAGTGAAAGGACGCAGGATTTCAGACAAAAAACGAGCTAGTTTGTAGGTGGGGGAGCTGATAGTAGAGACTATGGGACGAAGAGGTGTATCAACTTTATGTATTTTTGGTAAGCCGTATAATCTTGGTGGCCTGGCAGCAGAAGGTTTCAACGAAAACTGTTTAGATTGATCAATTAATGCGGTTGAATCAGAAATTATTTTGTTGGTTTGTGTGACGAGGCTGTTGGTGGGATCTCTTTTTATTTTTGTATAACTACCATCGTCGAGTAATTCTTTAATTTTGTTGTTGTATTCTATTTTATCCATGATGACAGTAGCATTGCCTTTGTCAGCTGAGAGAACTACAATATCATTCCTCTTTTTTAATTTATATAATTCCAAACGCTCATCTTTGCTGAGGTTGCTAGCTGGCATCTTAGCGTTTTTGAGAGTTGCAGCGATTTCAGATCTTGCTACGTCTGCAGCGATGTGACCCAGGCCCCTGAGAGCAACGTCTACTTGGGCAATTATATCATTAACTGGTATGTGTTTAGGTGTGACTGCAAAGTTTAGACCTTTAGCTAAAACGGATTTCAGACCATCGGAAATAGAACTGTTACTGCGATTAATTACGACTTTATTAACGTCTAACTTTTTGGTGTGTGGGTCCGGTCTTTTGTTGAAGAGGTTAAATTTGGAAATAAGGTTTTCCTTACATTTGGTCGACATAGTAGCAGCTGAAGAGGCAGTCATATTGTCTACATGTTCCCAATCCGATGTGGACATTATTGCCGTCAATGATAAGTGTGATTTGTAGAGTGTCTTGTCTAACTGATCTAGTTCTGTGCGTATAAGTCTGATTTTTTCTGAGATAAGAGCTAAGCTAGTTTTGAAAAGAATTCGTTTCGCATTAGAAGAAGTTACAGCAGCAGAGGTCAGTGTAAATGCGATTGGTATTACCCCAGAGTCGCGGCATCTCTTCAGTTATGGTCGAAACGTCGTGATAATTTTTTATTGTTTTATATATGTTTTATTGTTTTATATATTTTATTATTTTGTTGTTTCTCTTCAACGTGACTTTACCGAAAAAACTAAGAATACTGAAATGTAGTATGATGCAATACTTGAATGATCAATCACAAGGGACGCATGTTTAATTGGTGCTTGGTTTGAGATTCCATGTTAACACAAAAAATGCCCCCTTCTGATTGGAACCATGTTGATAACATGACTGCGGCCTCTGCTGATTCAAAATCATCACACTGCCATACATAGCAGGCGTTACCAAAAAGATTTCCAAAATTCTAAACAAACACAAGATGCAGGTTCGGTTCAATACAGTACACAAAATCCGTGATCTGATCCCATCCGTAAAGGATGTCATTCCTGACTTACAGTACCCCGGTGTTTACAGACACAGATTTGTATCTGCGGTGACTGCTATATCGGGGAGACGAAACAACATATTTCTGACCGAATTCGCAGGCACAAATCAGATTTGAAACACGGCAGAACGAATTCTTCGGCCGTGGCTGATCATTGTCTCAGCACAGCGGGTTCTCATGGCATTGTTTTCTCCGATACCAAAGTACTATGCAAACCTCCCGGTTATAACCAAAGATTTGTCCATGAAGCCATCCAGATATACAAACATAGACACAACTTCAACCGAGTGGATGGTTATAAATTAAGCAACCACTGGAAAGATGTCATAAACCAAGTCAAAACTTCAGCTACCTTATAAGCACACAGCCTTTTTTACCATTTTTTCATTGCCCCCGTGCAGTGAACCACCGCTTCCCCTGAACCCTCAACATAACAAAAGACGGATTAACTTAGCCCCGCATGCCATCGTCGTCCATCGCCCCCTGCTTGGCTCCTCCCCCCCCCCTTAACCTGTATATAAGCTCGAGGGTCTAAGAGCTCCCCACTTGATGCAGCTATCTTGCTGTGACTGTTCCACTTGAAGACGGAAGCTTGTGTTGCCTCCGAAAAGTCGTGATTTAATTTAGTTGTTTTCTTTTATTATAAATTTTATTTTACCTACATGACTTTACCGAAAAAAAAACAAAGAGTATTTTCCATACCTTGTCTTTAGTGCTGTCATGATCCAGATCAGGATTGTTATGCACGTTTGGCAGATAATCATAGGAACTGCTTCTGTAAAACAGAATCGTGTATTACAAGAAAGTCAAAGGTTGTCATGCAGCATCCTAAACCAACAGAATAGAATAAACGTCACACACACACGATGCAGCCCGCTTTTACAGCGACAAAAATTAATGTAATACATTTTTTTTACAAATTATATATCAAGAAATACCACAAATACCTCATCAAGAAAGGAAGCAAACTAGTTTCATACAAGGTGAAACGATTATAGCAGCAGCAGCAGTAGCAGGAACAGAGTGACCCTGTACAGAGTACATGGTAGAGGCAGGCTAGTGGTAGAATCAGCAGTGGACTCTTGTTGTCTCTTACTCCCCTCACCTTACTCACCCCGGCAAGGGGAACATCCCCTTATGGAGGGCCAAACAGGACTCTGAGATACCATCGAGATGCAGTCACACATTGACACACATCTTAACGTTATGTAGTAACATTGCAGAAAACATTAAATATGTACGTATGTCGAACTACTTTCGCACCGCACGTAGCCAACCGTGCTAATCGGAGGTGCGGGATCACTTCTGCCGCACTCATGCAACGCAGCGCCTGCTCTACTCTCACTAATAGAGGCGATATATCTGGGTGAGAGCTCCAGAGTACACACGCGATTAGGTTGCTCGTAGTGAGGGACGAATATCGCCCGTGAGCGTGTTTTGAAGAGAAAGGCCTCGTGGCCACGGGCCAGATGAAATACAAGTCACGGGTCGCTTCTGACCCACAGCCCATGAATTCCCCCGGCGCTGAGATAGAAAGGACATTGAGTCAAAGGGTCAGGCAGATGCAGACCACATTTGTGTGGGCCACAAGTAGGGTTGGGACACTGAGAGAAAAACAGAGATACAGTTGATCATCGATTATCCGGCGCACGATTATCCGGCTGCTTCCAACATTATCTCGTGGTCCCGGGCCGATCCGGTGAAACCACAAAACCATTCCAAAGGCTGTAACCAGTCCGGCAATCGGCACCATGTGTGTGACAAAAAAAGTAGCTGCGCTTGATTTCAGTGTTAAATATCATATACACTATATTATACACTACATACAACTTAAACAATTCATAATAACGGTTTTTGGGTTAGATCGCGTTTATTTATAAATGTGTCGTAACCCTCCACCACCCGACACGGCCAATCAGCAAAAAAGTGTCACGTTGACAAAAGACAAATAATTCACTACTTGTCAACGTGACACTTTTTTGCTGATTGGCCGTGTCGGGTGGTGGAGGGTTACGACACATTTATAAATAAACGCGATCTAACCCAAAAACCGTTATTATGAATAATATTGGTCGCGAAAGCCTACGTGTTAAACTAACTTAAACAATGAAAATACTGCACGTATATACATCACCCCATGCAGAGTCTTCGAGAATAGAGTGGTATGGTACAGTAAATACAGTAACTTTTTAAAGGAGGATGTTTATTTTCTATTTGTATGTGTATTTATGCTGTTACATAGTAAACACGTAAAAATAGACTAAAAAAACATGTAACAACACCTAAAAACTTGATGTCATAGAAGAATGTGCAAATAGAAGATATTTTAAATAATGATTTGTGATTATCTGGCGTTTTTGAAAATCCGGTGCCCTCTCCCCCCGGATAAATCGATAATCGACTGTCGGACACTCCATGGTCGTGTCGGGTGGTGGAGGGTTACGACACATTTATAAATAACGCGATCTAACCCAAAAACCTTTATTATGGACACTCCATGTTTCTCATGAAAACATCGATGTGTGCTAAGAGATCGAAACGAAAATATCAGGTGTTTTCGGATGTATTTTTCTCATACACTAATTATATACATAAAAGGAGTCATAATGTCTTGCATTATTTTGGCCACAGGTCATAACCCCATTGGGCAATGAACTTTCATTTTCAATGAGGACCTTCGTCACACTGAAGAAAGCCACAGAAATCATGCACCTAATACTAATTTAAAAAAATCTGCTAAATTCACACATCTCTTCCTACACATAAACAATACAGTCATTTTTTTACACATCCCATAAGCCACACAGTCTTGCGGGAGTGCATAGTTTCATCAGCATTGGCTCAAAGCAAGAAAACTCTAAATCTGTTGCAATTCACAGTCTTATCAGCAGAGTCAGGAATGCTTGAACCAATATTGGTGAACTACCAGATGTTTATAGGCAATTACCCATCGGTTGGGTATGGGTCCTAGTGTGATGTAAAATGAAATAATACACAAATGAATCATCAGCGTCGTTGTGATGGCTGATGGGATGTGTACAAATACTTTTTTAATTTTCCATGTGGAGGAACAGATATGGGATGTGGAGGCGGCGGCGGATTGCTTGGTTATTTATTTTGTTACTGATATTATCTTCACAGCAACATCATGAGCAACATTTTGGAAAAATATCAGTCACAAGATACAGCCAAAATGCCTCCTGCACATACATGTGCTTCGTGGCTCCAGAATAAACACCACCTCATTCAAGAACCAAACATCATCGCAACTCCTCCTGGCTTTGACATTCCTCCTCCTCGTCGAAGGAAATTGTGGAATCATCAACCGCATGAGAACATCAAGAGGCCGATGGGCACATCTCCTTTATGAATGGAAATTTTACGACAAGCCACAGGAGTGTGGGTTTGCATGGCCACAATCAAACTATGGACCATATAGGAAACCCATAGAGACTCATAGATACACAGAGATACATAGAGAAACATAGAAATAGTATCCATAGAGACTCAAAGAGATACATTGAAGACCAGCCACAGGAGTGTGATTGTTGACATGCAACCCAAACTATGGATGGTATAGTATGCTTCCAAATTCATTGCTATACAAAATAATTGAATAGTCTATGGGCAATGAAAGTCTATGGGCCATATAGTAAATCACTGTAGTCTGTATTCAAAGGCGCCATTTAGACCCGAGTGGCATACAGAATTGCTCGCCCACATTAACAACGGACTGCATGGCCACACAGTGGAGCGCAAATTGTAACTCACATGTCCAGGTGCCAGATTTCAGGCCCGCATCTCCTTCAGTAATGGAACATTAAAGACCAGCTGCAGCAGTGCGATTGTGGCCATGCAACCCAAACTTTTAAACCATAAAGTTTAACCACTGCCATCTGCACCCCTTCAATGGAGGAGAAAGAGCACAACTACCAGAACTATCTCCTTGAAGCCCTCTCATCGAGGCAAGCAGATCTCGACATTGGCATTTAGCTGCTGAACATGTTGCTGGCATAATACGCAAGAGCAGAATTTAATAGCTTCATAAATAGTCACTGACATGCACCCTATGAGTGCTCACATCTCATGCCCCACACGCCACGTCACTAACCTTGGCTTGTGTTTGAACCAGTCGTACACGTTGGAGCAAATCATGAACTTGGAGAGTGCTTTCAGGGTCCCAGATGAGTCTTTCCTGTCTTGTTCCAGCATAACCTGCATGCAGCAAGCCAAGTGTAACCAGGAGAGTGCTCAAGAGTGACCGTGGTCACCAAAAGTACATCAGCAAAGCTAAATTAAATAACGTATCGTAGTGAAACAAATCGAAATCAGACCAAAAAACAACCGCGCCACCTAAGAAGTCTAACATCTTGCACAAACACAAATCAATGTTCAATAATATAAGTTCCATGTGGCGCAGCAGGTTGGCTCGGGCAGATAATTTTTAGATCGATTAAAGTACATTTACAACATTACACTACAGAAACATGAAACAGCTATAGGGTGAATTTTATACTTGGGCTTACATGATCGTGTTGGCACAATACTGATGCTTTACGATAACCCTCCAACACACAACAGAGATAATCAAAATGAAAATCTCAGTTGTCACGCTGAGATGATGATGCTGGATGTAATCTCCAGCGAAACGTCCAATAAAACTCTCAAAATGTTGTTTGCCTCTCAACTTTCCTCCGGTTTTTTTCCTGATAAACCAAATTAATCCATTTAAATAATTGCCCACGTGGTTCTGTCGGGTGGTGGAGGGGTGTAAGTTAAGAAATTGTTATTATACGTGCACGATAACCTAACCCAAAAATAAACTAATTGTGAATCAGCTATGGCGTGACTGTGGGTCACTTCTGCCCACTCTGTTGAGTTGGCAACCTGATCAAACACAATTTTAATCTTGCACTCGTCTGTAAACAGACAAGGGTGGCACATGTGAAGAGTCATCACACATCCCAGAAGGGTGGGCCGCATGGGAAGGAGGGCATCATTGCCGGTATGTAATTAAGGCTCTCAGTATTGAACAAGACTGGAGGTGTTATGGAGTTAAAGAATGTTAATGAGGAGAATAAAACACCGCTTTGTGAGAGGAGCCGCACGACTTGTTGACACAATAAATTGCGTGCTGCTGCTGCGTTGGCAGCGGTGCTAAAGCATAACGCAATAAAGTCCTCAACACAATCCTAGATCCATAATCGCAGTTTTTTGGGGTTATTTATTTACGCGATCTAACCCAAAAAACCTCTATTATGGATATTGGTCCCGAAAGCTCACGTGTTAAACTGACAAGCCTAGATATTAACACTGTGGCCTTAAAAATAGAAGTCTATGACAGGTGACGTTTCGGGCAATGGCCCTTCTACACAGCACACGGAGAGGCCAGAAGAAGGGCCATTGGCCGAAACGTCGCCTATGAAGTATCGTCTCCCGCTCACCAACACCCCCTCGCAGCGAGTTACCTGCCGCGTGCAACACAAATCAATAAACACAAATACAATAAACACAAATCAATAATCACAAATACAATAAACACAAATCAATAAACACAAATACAATAAACACAAATACAAATCAATAAACACATCGCCCTTGGTGCGAGCCACCTACCCACCCCCCTCGCGTGCCACACAGTGCCAAGCCTTCATAGGCTGCTGCTGCTGCTGCTCCACGTCTGACAGCACTTGCCCCAGCAGTCTGTGGCAGGCTACACGGGGGACCTTTGCCTTGACGCGGGCTGCTGCTGCTGCTGCTCCACGTCTGACAGCACTTGCCCCAGCAGTCTGTGGCAGGCTACACGGGGGACCTTTGCCTGGACGCGGGCCGCTGCTGCCGCTGCCGCTGGTGGTGAAGACGCCGCGGGGCGGGTGCCAGGCGCTATTATATATTTTTTTTACATTTTTATTAAAAATAAAACAATAATTGTTTAGCCCTTATTATTTGTATGAGTTCTACTTTATTATTTTCTATCTACGTGACTTTACCGAAAGGACCAAAGACTGAACTCCTGCAGTCGTGAAAGTTTAAAGTCAAAAGGCGAACTCGGGACGGTTGGGAACCGCCGCGTGGCGGCCCCGCGCGCATGCGCAGTGGCGACTCGAGGCCGGCCCCGTGGCAACCGGCCCTGACTCTCGCCTCTCCTGGCTCCGTCACACTTTGTTGTTGTTATTGTTGTTGTTATTGTTGTTGTGCTGCTTGTTTGCACTTTAGTTTCACGCTAGTTTGACAACGCCCAGCTCTTCAGTCGCGTGGAATTTTGCCGAAGGTTGCTCGCGGTTTTAGAATGTGGTGCAGTGACTCGGGTTAAGCTGTGACCCACAGTTATTTTAAATAGTTGTATTAAACGGTGTTTGTTTAATTCAGTCATTTGTAATTAATAACATCGCTTGTTAATCAAAACGCGTTGGGCGTTAATTACGCGTGAACGAAATTGGAACGTAAACATTGATACGCGTTATTTACAGTTTGCCGGACTTGGCGTGGCCGTGCGGCCTGGAGAGGTTTCCTCTGTGTGGTAGACCACCACGAGCTTGCTGTGGTGGTGGTGTGGTGGTGGTGGTGTGGTTGTGGTGTTGGTGTGGTTGTGGTGGTGGTTGTTGTGGTGGTGTGGTTGTTGTGGTGGTGGTGGTTGTTGTGGTGGTGTGGTTGTGGTGGTGGTTGTGTGGTGGTGGCGTGGTTGTTGTGGTGGCGGTGGCGTGGTTGTTGTGGTGGTGGTGGTGGCGTGGTTGTTGTGGTGGTGTGGTTGTTGTGGTGTGGTGTGGTTGTTGTGGTGGTGTGGTTGTTGCGGTGGTGGTTGTGTGGTGGTTGTTGTGGTGGTGTGGTTGTAGTGATTGTTGTGGTGTGGTGGTTGTTGTGGTTGTAGTGATTGTTGTGGTTGTATTGGTGGTGTGGTTGTAGTGATTGTTGTGGTGTGTTCTTTGGTTCTTTCGGTAAAGTCACGTAGAATGAGAATAAAATAAAACAATAAAATTCTCACGACGTTTCGGCCACAACACAAGTAGCCGTCCTCAGGTGAAGAAACAGGACTGTCCAGAAGACAGCGCTGTTGTGGTGTGGTTGTTCTTGTGGTTTGTGATTATTGTAGTGGTGGTGTGGTTGTGGTGGTGGTGTTGGCGTTCGTGGAAATGGTGTTCCTGGTGTTGGTTGTGGGGAGCGGTGGTGCAGCGGTTAGCGCGCTGCGTTATGAAGCCGGCGACCCGGGTTCGATTCCCGCTCACGGCCACCAACACCAGTGACGATTATCTGATCCTGTCCTGGGCCTCCCCTAAGTTAACTCGGCCTCAAATGAGCACCGAGTGCGGTGTGCAATCAACGCCACGAGGGAGACAAAGGCAACCGAGTGTGGTGCTGACCACCCACCCCCTCGTGTGCTGTGCCAGTCTTCATAGGTGCTCGCTAATCGCACTTAGCCTCAACAGTCTGTAGGGGGGATCTTAATCTTTGGGGAGCGGTGGCGCAGTGGTTAGTGCCCTACGCTCTGAACCCGGCGACCCCAGTTTGATTTTCGTTCGGGGTCAACACCAGCGATGATTATCCGAACCGGTCCTGAGCTTCCCCAGGTCGACTCGGCCTCATCGTACCTGGTGTGATGCGTAAACATCGCCACTAGGGAGGCAAAGGCGGCGGGGCGTGATGCTGGCCACCCACCCTGTCGTGTGCCATTCCGGCCCTCGCGTGATCGCTAACGGCACTTGCCCCCAACAGTCTGTTAAGACAACACGGGGAGTCTTGTGTTGGTGGTGGTACTGTGAAACGATGTTCTTGTTACCCCACAGATGTTACACACCGCGATGTTTGGCACAGATGTGGCGGCCATCTCGGACACCATCTTGTTGAGACTTTTCTGCATGGCGGTGTCAGTGTCTGGGTCCTGCACTCAGCAGCAGCCAGCAGCACACACAGCACACGTGATCACCACTCGGTAAGAGACAGCAGCACACACGGCACACGTGATCACCACTCAGCCGCTGACAGCCAGCAGCACACGGCACACGTGGTCACCACTCGGTAAGAGACAGCAGCACACACAGCACACGTGATCACCACTCGGTAAGAGACAGCAGCACACACGGCACACGTGATCACTCGGTAAGAGACAGCAGCACACACGGCACACGTGATCACCACTCGGTAAGAGACAGCAGAACACACGGCACACGTGATCACCACTCGGTACGAGACAGCACACACGACACACGTGATCACCACTCGGTACGAGACAGCAGCACACACGGCACACGTGATCACCACTCGGTAAGAGACAGCCAGCAGCACACACAGCACACGTGAATACCACTCGGTAAGAGACAGCCAGCAGCACACACGGCATACGTGATCACCACTCGGTAAGAGACAGCAGCACACACGGCACACGTGATCACCACTCGGTACGAGACAGCAGCACACACGGCACACGTGATCACCACTCGGTAAGAGACAGCCAGCAGCACACACAGCACACGTGATCACTCGGTAAGAGACAGCCAGTAGCACACAGCACACGTGATCACCACTCGGTAAGAGACAGCCAGCAGCACACGGCACACGTGATCACCACTCGGTAAGAGACAGCAGCACACACAGCACACGTGATCACCACTCGGTACGAGACAGCAGCACACACGGCACACGTGATCACCACTCGGTAAGAGAAAGCCAGCAGCACACACAGCACACGTGATCACCACTCGGTAAGAGACAGCAGCACACACAGCATACGTGATTACCACTCGGTAAGAGACAGCCAGCAGCACACAGCACACGTGGTCACCACTCGGTAAGAGACAGCAGCACACACAGCACACGTGATCACCACTCGGTAAGAGACAGCAGCACACACGGCACACGTGATCACCACTCGGTAAGAGACAGCCAGCAGCACACAGCACACGTGATCACCACTCGGTAAGAGACAGCCAGCAGCACACACAGCACACGTGATCACCACTCGGTAAGAGACAGCAGCACACACGGCACACGTGATCACCACTCGGTAAGAGACAGCCAGCAGCACACAGCACACGTGATCACCACTCGGTAAGAGACAGCCAGCAGCACACAGCACACGTGATCACCACTCGGTAAGAGAAAGCCAGCAGCACACAGCACACGTGATCACCACTCGGTAAGAGACAGCCAGCAGCACACACAGCACACGTGATTACCACTCGGTAAGAGACAGCCAGCATCATACACGGCACACGTGATCACCACTCGGTAAGAGACAGCCAGCATCATACACGGCACACGTGATTACCACTCGGTAAGAGACAGCCAGCAGCACACACGGCACACGTGATCACCACTCGGTAAGAGACAGCCAGCAGCACACACGGCACACGTGATCACCACTCGGTAAGAGACAGCAGCACACACAGCACACGTGATTACCACTCGGTAAGAGACAGCCAGCAGCACACACGGCACACGTGATCACTCAGTAAGAGACAGCCATCAGCACACACAGCACACGTGATCACCACTCGGTAAGAGACAGCCAGCAGCACACACAGCACACGTGATCACCACTCGGTAAGAGACAGCCAGCATCATACACGGCACACGTGATTACCACTCGGTAAGAGACAGCCAGCAGCACACAGCACACGTGATCACCACTCGGTAAGAGACAGCCAGCAGCACACACGGCACACGTGATCACCACTCGGTAAGAGACAGCTAGCAGCACACACAGCACACGTGATTACAACTCGGTAAGAGACAGCAGCACACACAGCACACGTGATTACCACTCGGTAAGAGACAGCCAGCAGCACACACGGCACACGTGATCACTCAGTAAGAGACAGCCAGCAGCACACACAGCACACGTGATCACCACTCGGTAAGAGACAGCCAGCAGCACACACAGCACACGTGATCACCACTCGGTAAGAGACAGCCAGCAGCACACACGGCACACGTGATCACCACTCGGTAAGAGACAGCCAGCATCATACACGGCACACGTGATCACCACTCGGTAAGAGACAGCCAGCAGCACACACAGCACACGTGATCACCACTCGGTAAGAGACAGCCAGCAGCACACACAGCACACGTGATCACCACTCGGTAAGAGACAGCAGCACACACGGCACACGTGATTACCACTCGGTAAGAGACACCCAGCAGCACACATGGCACACGTGATTACAACTCGGTAAGAGACAGCAGCACACACAGCACACGTGATTACCACTCGGTAAGAGACAGCCAGCAGCACACACGGCACACGTGATCACTCAGTAAGAGACAGCCAGCAGCACACACAGCACACGTGATCACCACTCGGTAAGAGACAGCCAGCAGCACACACAGCACACGTGATCACCACTCGGTAAGAGACAGCCAGCAGCACACACGGCACACGTGATCACCACTCGGTAAGAGACAGCCAGCATCATACACGGCACACGTGATCACCACTCGGTAAGAGACAGCCAGCAGCACACACAGCACACGTGATCACCACTCGGTAAGAGACAGCCAGCAGCACACACAGCACACGTGATCACCACTCGGTAAGAGACAGCAGCACACACGGCACACGTGATTACCACTCGGTAAGAGACACCCAGCAGCACACATGGCACACGTGATCACCACTCGGTAAGAGACAGCCAGCAGCACACACGGCACAGGTGATCACCACTCGGTAAGAGACAGCCAGCAGCACACACAGCACAGGTGATTATCACTCAGCAGCAGACGGCCAGCACCACTTGTAGCACAGGTGATCACCAGCAGATGAGAGACATAATCTCAAGATTCATATTTGTTTTGTTTAACCAGGCGAGAACTCGAGAAACACAGATGAATCACATTTGTAAGAGTTACCTGGCTCAGAAGCAATGATATAAAATAAACATGAGCAGCAATGAAGCAAAGAGCAATCAGGCCCATAAAACAACCATGTATAAATTATAACAAAAACAACTGTGTTTCAGAAAAAGTTGATCAAGAAACTGTCCACAAACATAAATAATTTTAAGTAAGATATTCAACTTTGTAAGCACATCACTTTACAGTATGTTTGAGAAAACAGGCTTTTTTTCCAGAACAAAGCTCCAGTAAAAAAAATCCTAGCTTTTACACATTTGCTAAAGATGATGATTTGATTATGATAATCGCAAGCAACTTAGCGACGCATCTCAAGAATAACGTTTAAATCGGTACATGTTGCGTGTCGGGAAATATCGGTCAGAAACTTGCACTTGTGGAACAGTAACTGAAAAGTGCGCACAGGAGCAAGAATATATGCTTGCTTGAAATTACACAGAGAGAAAGAGGAGCACATGGATCAGTGAGCAAACACAAACTAGAGACAACATAGTGACGACTGAAGAAGAGCAAGTGGACTTAGGCAGGGCGCGTCGCTTGCAGGGTTGATAGCTGATGGCCGGGACTGGGGATGGAATGGCAGCCAAAGGATGGAAACGTTGTGTGAGAGAGCAACTACAGCGGAAATGGAACGAGATCAGTTTACGTGCGGGAGTGAGGTGGGTTTGTGGCATCGCAGGACCAACGTGGGGAGGCCCCTGTACAGCAGTGGATAGGCCATTGGTAACGATGAGTATGTAGCCTTTGGATAACCACACGGACATCATTTACCCGATACAACTACATGGTGCCGTCCTCGCCCCCCACACGCAGTGACTGCGATGCGTGCGCCGCCTCGGCTGCAGATAAGGAGTTTAGTGGAGGTCGGCGATCATGGGTGGGTGGTAATGTGGATAACGGGAGCACAAGATAGGACGAGTTTCCTTGTCGAGTCAAACTAATCAATGTTTGTGTGTCGTCTCTCTGTCTCTCGGTTGCTCTGTGTATATCTTTGTCTCCCTCTGTCTCCCTCATCCACTGCCTCCACTTCTCTCAGTCGACATCAATAGGATGGCACCCGGTGAAGGAGACAACATCATCTCACTACCCCGGTCCCATTCCTGACTCCCCTCCACACAACAACGTACACAGGGAGTTGCCCTGTACTCTCCTCCACACCGCAAGGTCCACGGGGGAGTGCCTTGCATTCCCCTACACACAACACATACGGTGAAGTGCCCAGTACTCTCCTACCCAGAACAAGCTACACGGGGAAACGCCCCGTACTCTCCTACTCACTACAAGATACACAGGGGAAACGTCCTGTTCTCTCCTACTCACTGTCAGCTACATGGGAGAGCACCCCGTACTCTCCTACTCACTACAAGATACACAGGGGAAACGTCCTGTTCTCTCCTACTCACTACAAGATACACAGGGGAAACGTCCTGTACTCTCCTACTCACTACAAGATACACAGGGGAAACGCCCTGTACTCTCCTACTTACTATCAGCTACATGGGAGAGCACCCCGTACTCTCCTACTCACTACAAGATACACAGGGGAAACGTCCTGTACTCTCCTACTCACTATCAGCTACATGGGAGAGCACCCCGTACTCTCCTACTCACTACAAGATACACAGCGGAAACGCCCTGTTCTCTCCTACTCACTACAAGATACACAGGGGAAACGCCCTGTACTCTCCTACTTACTATCAGCTACATGGGAGAGCACCCCGTACTCTCCTACTCACTACAAGATACACAGCGGAAACGCCCTGTTCTCTTCTACTCACTACAAGATACACAGGGGAAACGCCCTGTACTCTCCTACTCACTACAAGATACACAGGGGAAACGTCCTGTTCTCTCCTACTCACTATCAGTTACATGAGAGAGCACCCCATACTCTCCTACTCACTACAAGATACACAGGGGAAACGCCCTGTACTCTCCTACTCACTACAAGATATACGGGAGCATGCCCCTGTACTCTCCTCCACCGCTTCGTCCCGTGTGCACTCCCAGGAGGAATGGCGCTAACCCAGTGTGAATTCGATGTAACCGCATTGACCGGACGCGCGCTGCGAGTGACTCACGCCGCCGCCTCGCACCCCGCGCCACCAGCCCAGCACCGTCTCCACGCCACGCTCGGTGCCCCAAGCCGATACCGCCTGGGCTCGCTGGGGTTCACGTCATTAAATTACTTACGAGCACGCCACTCAAATATCCCAACTCCTGCACTCTCCAAACGAGGGCTCCGATCGTCGTGAACTCACCTCGAGTCTCCCTAGCCTGGATCTCCGCACGAAAAGGTGACCGCCTGGTCCTCGCCGTCACTTTCGGACGAAAACTGCATGCCGCGTCACAAAGGAGCGTGTACCGCCTCATCGCTGTGCGTCCACTCCCCACGCGGCTCGGTCAACGGTATCCCGCTGTTTGCTGCCCCCTGCCCCCGGTATTGTCTTGTCTCTGTCTACCCTTTAGTCCACGAGCCCAGACAAGATATTTCACTTGTCGATACCACCTGAGCAAGGTGACATCACTTCAGTGGTTTCAATCTCGATGTGGCCAACATAAAATTAAGTGATAACCTACTCAACCTGAAGTTATCAAATAATCCAATTCATGTTAAGCCTTGTAAATAAATCAGAGCGACTGGGAGTTTTGCGACCTTACGTAGTACTAGTTTGTGCTCTGGCCCATCGACTTTTTATCGGTCCCTGTGTCTCTCTCCCTGCTTCTCCCTCTCGTCGTCGCGCTCGCCACGTGCTCATGCTCCTGTTGAGTGTGGCTGTTGCAGCTCCAGTCCATTGCGCTACCTTTTTCCCTCCCTGCCCTACCAAGGGTCACGTGACTGCAGTGTTCAAAATATTTGGCGTCGCGTATTTATATATTGCTTCCATTTTTTCGAATAATAAAAACATCTTTCTATTCTGCCAAATGCAAAGTAGATATGCGTGCAGCCCGAATACCAGGGTACGTGTCACACGCACACTGGATACATTTAATCAGTGGAATTTTACCAAAGGACATTCCATGAGATTCACATTACCAGTCCACTCGCGTTAATGAAATGGTAATGAGCAATGTCCCAGCCATGGTGGAACGGGTCTTGTGTTTCGCGTGTCTGCACGCGAGGTGCCCAAGGGTGGCAGTACATCAAATGGATTCGTTCACTTTGAGAGTTATCCCCTCATGGGAAACCGTGCGTGACACTGCTGAATAAGTCTTGAAACTCTGTGAGGCTTTCATACATTTTATTTTAATGCCATATTTGTTTTAATTCATAAAGTCTCGAGACTTGTATTCAGGACGGTTCTGTCAGGTTCTTTTTGCAGTAGGGGCGATGTTAACTATAGCTTAACTTTATTTTACCAGGTAAGGCCCACTGAGCTTTTTCAGAAGCGACCTGGCCACAAATGATAACGAAGTGGCTTATAATGTGGAACGTTATTGCAGCCAAATACTCTGAACGCATGATTATAAATGTGGAGGGAAAAAATTGAGGACCTGGAGAAAAATCCACACGACCACGTGGAGAAGATGCAAACTTAAAATATACAGACGTCAGGGTCAGGACTAAACTTATGACCTGCATAGCAGGCGAGGTATTTAACATATCGCCTATGTGTTGTGTGTGCAATCCCAATTGCGTGATTTGAAAGAAAAAATATCAAAGTTGCCCAATTGGGACCATAACTGGCACAATGGCCTGCGAATTACATCAGGATCTTTAACGTCCACTGTGAACGAGGCAGGTGGCGTGTAGTACGTATTTCTATGGTTAATTTGCCCGCACTACTAACCAGGGCAGCTGCTAGATTAGAACCAGCAACTGCCCTGGTTCACAATATACTGGGCCATGTCGCTATGTTCACAATATCTATAGTGTACATGTATCGACACTGTATGGAGTGTTTTTCTGTTTGCCGTCAGGTAACAACACCATCAATCTGCAGTGCATTTCACTTGGATACAAAACAATGGACGAAACATTGTCAAGAGCGCACGGTCACAGCACTGTGTTCGAGCGCCTTGTCGAATGTGGGTGTTACGACTTAATGATTTGGCTTATTCCTTTTAAAGTAGTATTTACAGTTTCTCTGCGACACATTACCACCTGTGTTCATAAACCGGCAACTATGTGACGGTGACATCGTCAGCAAGCCGGCCTCGAGAAGGCGATAAGGCCACAAAGTAAACTGGTGACACCGAGAACACCATTCTGCCGGTGAAGAAAACGAAAAATACAGAGATATATTTACGAAACTGGTGGTTCTAATCATCCCCTCCGAAGGACTGCAAGGCAGGAGTTGGCATTGTACTTGTTCGTGCATGGAACTTGTGCCCTGGCAGCCCGTTCAGGGTCAGCCCACTGCGAACGTGTTAAAAGGTCCCATTTAGGAGAGGCGTAATGTATGAATCTGACAAATAACGACAAGCCGTGCTCACAAACACGTGCGTGCCGCGCACAACAAATAATCCTCAAACCAAAACTTGACGCGGCTTTCCAGGGTGGCGCTGTTGGAATTCCCCCACCACAGCGACGACGCGAGTCGAAGTCAAGTCCACATGCGCTGTGCTTACCTCCAACACCGACGTGTCCCGACCTTCATGTCCCAAAGGAGGACGGGGCTCCTGTTGTGACTCGCGGCGACCACTCGGCGCGTTCACCGCATTGCTCGTTCAGCGTTTGTCTACGACGAAGTCTCCCTTCGCTCGGCTGTCCCCGGCAGCAGCTCGCCACGGACCCACTGTACTTTACACACAAACCTTTGTCCTCGTGTCGTACAGCAATGTTTACACAGCAACTTCTCACCTTAAGTTACAGAACTGTACACCTCTTGTTTAATCATTTACCTGGTCTGGCCAGGCTCCAGGGCGCCTCGAGCACCCGGAGTTGGATATCCGCGTTATTCAGCTGGGGGTCGATGGAGGCAGTTTCACACGGAGGAGGCTTGTTTGGGTTAGATCGCGTAAATATACAAATGTGTCGTTAATCCCGCCACCACCCGACACAGCCAATTAGTAAAGTTTGTCACATAACAGAACATGCCAATTCGTTACTAGTACAGCACACAAATGTGGCTGTCGCCTGATGAAGCTGGTTGTAATTACTGGCGAAACGTCGTACTCAGAATGTAATTGTTGCGGCTTTACACCCCTACACACCGGTGTGCTGTACTAGTGACGAATTGGCACGTTCTGTTACGTTGGCTGTGTCGGGTGGTGGCGGGTTTAACGACACACATTTACGCGATCCAACCCAAAAACACCTTTATTATTGGCGGTGTCAGTTACCAGTGACTGCACAAGGATCGCAATGATGTCACCTTGACACGCACACACTCACAACCTCACCTGCACATCCAAATCCGCACGCTCGCATCAACTCACTGTGCACCGCGGTGCGAGTCTGGCGGGCCGAGTTCGATTCCTGGCGACGGGAAACATCTCTGACGCTGGTCCCGAGGCACCCGAGGTAAACGCACGGGATGGTGGATGGAGGTGGGGGTTGGTGGATCAACAAGAGATGGAGGTGGGGGTTGGTGGATCAACAAAAGATGGAGTTGCAATTGGTGGGGTTTGATGGATCACTAAGATATTGTAGGGTAGGGGTTGGTGGACCACCAAAAGATAGGGTGGGGTTGGTGGATCAGCAAGAGACGGGGGCTATAGTTTGTCAGGGTTGGTGGATCAGCAAGAGCTGGGGGGGCGGGGTTGGTGGATCAGCAAGGGATGGGCGTTGGAGTTGGTGCGGGTTGGCTGTGGGGTGGGCCTCGACTCGTTTTTCCTGGCGAATGGGACCAACAAACGTCAGAAAATGTTTGAAGGGATAACTTTTGTGGAATAAAAATTTATTATAATCAACTTTCGGCAGAATCGCACGAAAGAATGGATGTAAAAACTATGAATGTCGCCCCGAATCACTGAAGGCGATGTCAGGAGGGCGCGGTGGTGAGACTCGTGAACACTCCTCGACCGAGGATGTCTCCCGTGCGAGAAGTGACCCTGGGAAGAAAAAAAAACACGCAGGTGGACAGAGACGAAACAAAATGATTAAAAACCAGAATAGGTTTTACCCTTTCTGGCAAGAAAACGGAAGGTTTTAAGATGTTTAAACACCAAATATAAACCTTTTTTCAAGGCATCAAGTCTTCTTTTCAAGGCAAAAATATGCAAACACGCTCTGATAATATAGCAAGGCTGTAGCCATGGGATTAACATGGGGGGGGGGGGACCAAATCCTTTAGGGGGTCCCCCCCCTAGAAAAACATATAAATTTGAAAACGAATTTCCTGCCTAAAATATAATGGGATTGACTTTTTTATTTATTTTATACAATGTCTAATAGTGTATATTATTACATTGCTCTGTTTTATTATTTTTTTACCTTTTATTGTTTAATTATATGTAATGGAAGAGATTAGGGATTTATAAAGTATAACCACAATCATATAAACAGAAATCTATTTTATAGCAATATACTGGGAGGGACATTTTGAGCATATTTGAATATTGGGGGGGGGGGGGGGATGTGTCCGGGTAGTACAGCTCGTTATAATATACATTGGGGATGTGTCCCCCCCAATATATATTATAACGAGCTGTATTACCCGGCTTCGCCCGGGACTTGGATTCACCACACCCGGCCGCCTTTGTCTCCCCAGTGGCGATGTTCACACCACAACAGTTACTCGTTTGAGGCTGAGTCGACCTAGGGGAGGCCCAGGACTGGTTAAAATAATCGTCACCGGTGGTGGCCGTGAGCGGGAATCGAACTCGGGTCGCCGGGTTCGTAGCGCAGTGTAACGCTAACCACTACACTGCCACTCCCTCCACACACAGACAGACACACACACAGACAGCGCGCTAACTACTACACTACAATGCGTTACACTTCCACGTGCGCGGGTCACGTGACAGACGTGACGTCACAGCTCACTTGCCGTGCAAAAAAATATGCATTATTGAGCTCCCCCCCTAAAAAAAAGTGTTTTATGTTTGCATGGTGTACAGTCTGGAAAGTACCCACATGGAAAATTTGCAGTTTGTTGCATGTCGGGAAGTACGCTAAACATTTTGAACAGACACACATTCACAACTTTGCCTTTTATATATATGGAGATTATTATAATTACGGCCTTGTAATATAAGCATTATCTTCGAAACTGATTGGCCTACACAAGGTATCTATTTGGTGTGTGAATATCTTAACGCCTGTTTTATTGCCAGAAAGGGTAAAACATTATTTTGGATGCTTGCAAAGGAGACACGAAACCAAAGTCTGTGACAACCTGCTGGGCTGACCACGTGGCTGTCTAGCGCAATGAAACTTCTTAATAACGACAGAGTGGACAATACGCCTCCTTACATCCAAAATATGTCCCTCGGCATACAACAATATATACAAGTACGTTTTACACAACTCATCAGCCATCACAATGACGTTATTATGAGTTTGTGCTATGCGTTACTAAGTTGAGAGTCAAACCGAGTGGGACCCTTATCTCATGGAGAGGGTCAATAAACCCCTCGACTATCTGGGCCGTCCACTCCCCCAGGGGACACTAAAGACCCTCTGCCGTCATTCGCAAGAGTAAGCCCTTGTGTGCCAGCCTCGGGGTGGCAGTGCAAAATTGCCACGTTTCGAAAACGACGCCACAAATTACTAAATTTAAATAATGCACAACCGCCAGTCGCCACTAAGTAATAATAACGTCACCACGGCACTTGTGCCAGCCTATGTGCACGTTAAGGCCACGTGAAGTGTCGAACGCCCGCTGGAAGGTCACAGGACATACTCAGCGAGTGCTGGGCCTGTAGCATACGTTAAATGGGGCCCGCAATTAAAACATCAATATTAAAACACAAATGTTTCACTTGCATAGTAAAGTAATTGTATGTTTTCATTTGCTATACAGCCAGATAATAC